AACAGGTAGTTTTCCTTTAGAAAAAAAAGACCTTCACGTAAACAAAGATGTTGTACTATTGCTATCGAGATAGTTTTGTTTAGCAGAACGAGAGTAACAATATAAAAAGGTTCCTTTTTCCTACTGCCAATTATGTCTTGCAATGATTAAATCGCCTTCAATTATGCTCTGCAAAGAAGTCAAGTATACCCAAGAATGCAGAATAGCACCTCAACACGACATGTATTCTGTGATAGACTACTGGTAAAGGAAAACCCAAGAATAACTTCTGAAGCCTTACTCTATTCTGTACGAAGACTAGTCATTGTAAGCTATTAATGTATATCTAGAGCGGTTGGACAATCATTGAAGTAGAAGTACGCTGAATTCAGGATAAAGTTCCTTTAACACAAAACTAGTTTACGACTCTTTTAGTTAACAAAAAAACAATGTGATTGTAAAGCCTAAATCTGGGGACATTTATAGACTTATAAAGAATAGAGGCGAAATAGCTTTTATTATGATTCAAACTTTCTTAGGATAAAGGTAATAAGTGAACTTTGGGAGCCACTGTGAATTGCAGAATCTCCAAATAGGGATTTATTGTGATTTATCTCCTTTGGTCCATTACTTTATTGCCGGAGCGGGATGAGACGTGTCATGATTACACCATATCAACAAGTTTAGAATGACGATGCTGGTAAAATATATACAAATGTGATAACGCCATTTTTGTTTTATTCGCCTCGTTATTTTGCAATGAGTGGGTTGTGTAGTATAATTTAAAGAATAATATGATGGTGAGCTTCCCTGTTTGTATCCGAACCCCGCGCCCCTTTCACTTCAATGAATGTGTGAGACGTCATATTTCAATATGATCCACTTTTAGTGCGTATACAACACGTTTCATTTGATCACACCCTATTTTTATTACACTGCATGAATTTATTCCGCGGGGAGTTTTTTTTATTTATTAGCCTGCAGCCTTTTTATTTTTTTATTTTTGGTTGTATAGGGGAAGCTAAAAATAGCTCAAGAGGGGAGAACCAATAAGCTTTCCGCGGATCCAAATATAACCATTGATTGTTTTTAAACCCTTTTTCCGCGGAGAGGCATTGCTATATAAAAGAGGGCCCAAAAAGAATAAGGTTGTTTGCTTTTTATCCATTACAAACAGAAAAAAAAAAAAAAAAGATGCTCAATTTACAATCTGAATCATTCTACGAAGACGTTTTATTCGAGGAAAAGTACCTCTCCAACGAAGTCCAAACCAGCTTACATGACGGTTACCGACTTTATCCTCTTCGTGCCAACGATTACGAACGAGGCTACCTTGATGTACTCTCTGTCTTGACAGAAGTGGGTGCTCATACTGTTGAATCATGGAACACACAGTTTCAGTTCATGAAGAAGCACAATGATACCTACTTTACCATCACTATTAATGATGAACGCACAGATCGTATTGCTGCTACAGGAACCATCTTGATCGAACACAAGTTTGTACATAAGAACGGTCTCGTTGGTCATATTGAAGATATTGCGGTTGACTCCACACATCAGGGTAAGAAGCTGGGCATCAAGATTATTGAGGCATTGAAATATATCGGTCAAGCCAATGGTTGCTACAAAGGTAAAGCTAATGAAATAGATTCAAGATAACACATTATACTAACTTTTGCTTTTAGTGATTTTGGATTGTGCAGTAAAGAATATTCCCTTTTACGAAAAGTGTGGTTTCACACCCAAAGAAAGCCAAATGGCTTGGTATATTCCCCCTCAAGAGAAATCTAACTTGTAGATAATAATATAAACACACATAGACAAATTATACCCTATTCACACTTCCCATCCTTCTTTATTTCTTTTAAATAAATTTACGTGCATTGTTGCGTAAATGGTTTAGCTTCAAGTAAAAAATATTTTGTATTTCAGGTCGTTGTGAATGTGTCATACAGCCTTGTATCACAGTCTTGTCACCATTTGTTTGGAAATGTGTCAATCGAATTTGATCGCCAGGTATAATTTGTACAAGATTTCCCTACATATATACAGGCATCTTTTAGTATACATATATACCACTCTCTCTATTAATAACTTACAGTATCGACATGATGCACTTCGATAAACTGTGGATCAAATGCAATCACATACGGATATTGAAATACAATGTTCTCAGGATTCCCTTCCCATTCGCATAAAAGCGGTAACCTATCATAAATAAATAAAAAAGGGTTTTAGTAGATGCACACCAACTATAAACAATGTTCCTCCATCTTACTTTTGTGGACCCCTTTGAACAAGCGAACCATTCCGATTATTTACATAAAATGAAAACTTGTTATAGCAGAGCAAAAACTTATCATGAACACGATACATGGCCAAAGGTTTCAGGGCATCCGCTTGACGATGTACAAAATTAAACTGCGGATCTCCTTTATCGGGTATATCTCTGCCACCCACGCCTAGATTTTCAGGGTCAATAATTTCAAAGCCTCGTTCGCAGACGATCAATAATTTGGATTTAAGGAAATGAATGTTCGTAGCTTCTGCGCCCACATAGAACTCCTTGTATTTCTTAAACCATGCATGACTGGATCTGCTGGTCATCAAAAAGCCCGTCTTTTGAGTAATGTACTTTTCATTCTTGGGATCTCGTAAATCATAGATGGGCTCTAAACAGGTGAAAATACTCATCGTGTTCTTCTTCTTTTTAAATATCACTAGATCTTTTCCATTGCAGAACCCGACTTGGAAAAAATGCACATGTTGTCCTAGTTCCTGTCCTAAGCGTTCCGGCGATTTCCCTTTAGCTGCAGTAGGACAATCCAAACGATCTAAAGGATAAGCCTTTAAAGTTTTATCTACCACATCATTCCCGTTTAGTTTTTTTTTTCTCCCTTAATCGTATTCTCTCTCTCTCTCATAATCATTACCTGCCAATACCAACAAAATGTGATACTCTTCTAAAATAGCTAACTGCGTCACATTTTCGCATGATAACACCTTCCGAATACCAACCCTGTCTATACTCTTGAAATAAACACCAGTGTCTGTTCCAACCGCAATTTTGTGTTCATCGTGAATCGTGACTATATAAAGTGTGAATTAAAAGGGTGAGAAGAGGGGGGGGGGAAAGAATGTTACATTCAAAACTTACCGAATGGAACAGTACAATTCACTTTGCCTTGTTTTACTGTAGTATTAGGTAAAGCCACCGAGCGAAAGGAAGTATCATCCAATGTAATAACATCATACACATTCTCACCAAGACGTTTCTTTAACGCAGTCTTGGCTTCATCAATCGCTACTATCCATTTTTGTTTTTCCTCGGGCAAGCAAGAGAAAGTATAGACCCCACCTCTTTGACCCAAATGATGTAAAGTTAAAGGCACGAATCCACTGTAAGAGAATGAAGACCCATGCAGGTATCCTGTGGTTGAATTGGAGAGTAAATTTCGTGTGGTAGAGGTGGCGTGGATGGTCGTATCATTGGCAGTGCCGATATATAACATTTGTAACGGGATGGGTCTTCTCCAGACACGGTATACGTCAGTGACCGAAGCAGATTTTCGCAGTTTTGTCATGAGAAGTAAATGATCAAAGACAAAGATGTGTATATCGGACTTTTCAGTGACTTCGATACCGTTACTACGTCTCTTGATATCTCCCTGATAATATAGTCTTCGTTGAGGATCCGTCAATTGTAAATCTTGAAATTCGCCCTGCTTAAATGTGATCATATCATTGATACGTAAGATCTCTACACGTTTTTTGAAAAGTTCTGCTAATGCGTCACATTGAAAGGCGACTTTTTTCACCATATCCAAACATTTGACGAGATAAGCGTGATCGGGATGCTCTTTATCGGTTTTTTTCAAGATGGCGCTGATCAAGAGTGGATATCTTTGCATACGAGTGACAGGGTTTAACAAGAAATGGCGAAACGGCAACCTACGCATTCTCTTACTCTTTTCAACCTGAACTATAAATCTTTCAAAATCCGGATTGTTTCTCTCCTCTGATTTCACCAGATATTCTGCCAACGACACACGGGGACAGTATTGTGAAAAGGGATCTTCAAAGTAAGCGAAATGTTTGATCAAAGTATCGCCTACCATGGGGACATAATCATTTTCATGCTGTAAATCCAATAAATCCTTATACATGGCCGAACTCACCTCATTTAGTTCTGTATAATTTCCAAACACTTCCCTTACAAACTGCTCCCGTTTCTTACGAGAGGAGATGATGGTGGATTTGGTTAACAAGGGCGTGACAATGACTTGGGATAAAGTGTCCAGGTCATTTTTGTAGATTTCTTCCGAATAAATCATTTCATTGATGGCTTCTTGTCGAGCTACTTCCTTCTTTGACAGACTGCGTAAAAGGACTTTGGGCACGCGTTGAGCCCAAGCAATCTGATGTTTAGCAGCTACCCATCCTTCAGCGCCAGATGAAAGCATATGCTCGGTGGATGAAGGTCGACTGGCAGTACGTGCCTCTGATGCTGTGGTGAAATTTCCCGGTTTGTTAGGGCATGCGTATGCATAACATCCTGGTTTCCCAGGTAAACACATGTAGCTATAACATGGCAATAAGCCTGTCAAGATGCCGGTAGGAACATCCTCATCTGACATGTCTTCTTGTAATGTATAGTATTCATCGGGTGAGTTGAAAAGTGCACCCTGGATAATGGACTTTTGTGAATAATGAATTGGCTCGAAAAGAGGTGGTGTTGCCTTCATTAGGATATTCGCTAGTTTTATGCAATAATGTACAGGAACGCCGTCTAATAAATCTCTTAACATTTTCTATGTATGTGTGTGTGTGTGAGCATAAATATGTATTAATGTTGTTTGAAGGAGAAGGGGTAAGACTTACAATGGCTTCTTGGCCGGTAAATGATTCAGGATATTCATTGGCACAAAATAAGTCTCTCACGTTTTCCAATCCTCTGATTCGCCTTAAGAAGGCTTTACTGAGAGCAGAGAGTAAAGCCAGATCTGGAGGAAATGAAGTGATGGGTGTGGATGTATCTGAGGTAGAGGATGGATCGAATTCTTTTGTGGTGATGATGGTGGGTCTTGGAGTGGAAGTGACTTCCTGTTGTTTGTTTAAATAGGTATTTACATAGTCAGAATGATGATGATTTGATAAACCAGGTTCCACAAAAGTGGCGGCTCCTAAAGCCGGTCGTACACCCGATGATGATAGTGGCTGATGTCCATTCTCAGTGGTAAATATCGGCGAAGATAAAGTGGATTGTGGTGTCTCGTTGATCTTCTAAAAAAGGGAAAAGAAAAACCTTCTCAATTGAATAATTCAGCCCTTTTTTGTATTTTTCCTTTTCCGTTCATTATCATGGACTTACGTAATGTCGATGGGTGGTATTGGATCGATGCGTTGCATGAGGAGACGCTCTCTGAGGCTGCTGTAATGATTGAGCTCTGGTCGGCGTGTGGTTGGCACTTTCTTGGCTTAATTCGCTAATGTAAGAGTCCACATCCCTCATTACCCCATTCAAGTTGTCCACTGTCGCTTTCTTATCTTTTTTAATGGGCCACATTTATATTCTATGATAGCATATATAAAAAACAAACAAAAAAAAAAGAAAGGTAAAGAAAAAGGGCTGCCTTTTTTATAGTCTTTTTTTTTTTTTTTTTTGTTGACAAGAGATTAAAAAAAAAAAAAAAGTCTGTGCATGTTTGCGGTAAAACAAAAACATTTACCTGTTTCGTGACTGCTGGAGACTTGGCACATATACTTTGAGCCGGGTCAATTTAAAGGTTTCCATGGTTAATCACCCCAGTTTCAAACAGACCCGTGCTTTGATTGATTAGACAGGGTCTAATTCATATAGGCACTGCTGAAATATGTGTTTATTAAGTCTCTCATATACATATTATATAAAAGCACCCTGTAGGGGACATTTATCCGAAAATCGGTATTATTCTTATCGTCGTATGCACTAGTGTGTATATGTTATCCTTACGTTATATGGGGAAGACACATGGACTGTCAGATTTTGTTGGTTTTTTTTGAATTAATGTATAATCATATACAATTTATGGGTAAACAAAATACTTCTTTCCCGTCAATGGGAGCTGCATTTCAATATGTCCTCATTAGAAGGGTCACACAAAAAATGTGCTACCCAACAAAGCACACAATAAAAAAATAAAAAGCCGAATTGTTTTTCGTTCGTTATCAAAAAGGTTTTGTGTATGGAACATGATGGAATATTAGAAAAACCAACACAATGGGTACACCGAAAATAACGGGCGTCATACTTCTTTATTAAATCTGACGTTATTTGTTCATCATACACATCCATCCTTCCGTGATAAGCCAGATTATCTGAAACATCCTTCTATCTAATCGATCAACCGTGGTTTATAGCAAAAAAGCTTCATGATGATCATTTTATTTTTTTATTTTTTTAAATTTTTTTTTTAACAATGCTTATTACTCTACTAAAAATGGCGATTAAAACAAAAAAGCTTGTAATCCAAAATGGCGAGATTTATCAGTTTAAAATACAGACACCAAACAACTCTGAATTGATTGACTGGGGGGACATTGTTCTCTTTCTAAAATTTACATAATTTCACAATGGGCCCAAGTGATCACGATGATATGATTTTTTAGATTCATCCAATGACTGAAAACTTATGACCATATGTATCATGAACCTTACAAACTAGAAAGACATCATAAAAGATCCAGCAGATGATGATTCTATTTCAGTTGTCACGTTAAATTTTACCATTTTAAAAAGGTCGGCCATTCTCACTATAAAGTGGTTTTTGTTTTAGCTGATAATCATCATATTGTAACACATTAGGGAAAAAATGATAACTGGATAAGTAAAAACAGCTCGTTGAGGCTTCCGCTCCTTGTGTGGGTCTGCAATGAAAGGCTTAATGTTGCATAAAGTTGTTCTAAGGTGAGCTTCAGTTGAAGAGGAAGAGTTTTAAGTAAAGCAACTTTTTTCATCGGCAGTAATTAATCGTTAAACAACATGAATGAGAGTATAGCTGACGTGCTTCTTTATACCTTAATGCACTTTTAAAGTATGCGGGTATTGCAATATCAAAGTTCCAGACGTCTGTCACTTTTGTTGCTTGTACGGAGTTTCAATATATATATTTTTTTTTTTTTTTAGGGTCCTTTGCTTTGCTCAAAAAATAAATTTCTAATGTCATTAACAGCATAATAAATAATAAAGTAAAATAATTAAATAATATTTATTGAGATTAATGTGTAAAAAATAAAAGATGGGAAAAGTTTTGTATGGAATAAGGCGAAATAAAGAGACCATCCGAGAGTCACCAAGAACCAGAGGAGAAAAAGACAAGCTGTTCTAAAAAAAACTACTCATTAAACTTAACCCCAGTTCGCAGGGTATTCCCCATTCGCAGGGAATATTATAATCGTAACTATGTGGAGACTACCACCAGGGGATCTTTGCCTACACTAACGGATTGTTAGCCTCCTAAGCCCTGGAGCACATATCTAAATCGTGACTACAGCTACAAGCTCTCACCGGATTTAGCCACACAAGGCCACTAGCTTATACTGTACCGTGAATAAAAGAAGACCAGAAGTAGAACAGCTGCCTTAAATTCTTGGAACTTTAGATGAAGGTAAGATAGCATAGCCTTGACGCGAGTTTGAGAGATTTGCAGAGTCTTGGAGGGGAGTTTTGAAGAGGCTTGACGCCAGTTTAAGAGATTTTCAGAGTCTTGGAGGGGAGTTTTGAAGAGGCTTGACACAAGATGAGAATATTTGACGAGGGTTTTAGAGTTTCAGAGGCTTTGGATAACCTTTAGAGAGACTCGACAAGAGTTACGTGCTTTGAAATAGACTATAGGTTTGCAGAGTCCTGGGAAGATTTGATGATATTTATAAAGTTAGGAAGATTTGAAGAAGTTTGTAAAGGTTTGCATATTAAGAAGATTAGTAGTATAAGTTGAAAATAAAGATGAGAGAACGAAGTGTAAATACCTTTAAAATAATACATAACCTTCACGTGGCTCATTTTTTATTTACACAGTCCATAATTAAACTGGTTTAAGGCTGAAACGCTGGTCGGAAGTCGGTTGCGATGTTTTTTTTGTTTAAGGAATAAAAAAAAGAAAAGGCATGAGCAATACAGTGCGTTGCGACATCACTTTATACGAAGTATATAGAAATACCATAAAAGATAAATGAAGTGGATAACTCTTCATGAAAACAAGCATACAGATAAACATCAGCGTACAGGTGAGAATAGAAAGTCTTGTAAAGTACATGATGTCAATATTAGTCAATAAAACATATAACATCATATGACGAGATCAAATATTGATGTGCGGAATTATAATGGATTGTTCTGGATCAGTAATGTAATGTTTACCTCAAACCAGTAGAATTATTTTTAGTAGACTTCAGCTCCTTTGATGATAGTTATATTATCGCAGTAGAAAGTGATATTTCATTTTATCAACGTTAGCTGAATATTTCAGCACAACCGACTATACACCCACGTTGACAAATTTTGAAGGTAAAGATAAAACACTTCATTGAATTCAGATACAGTGTCACTGTTTTGGTCAGAGGATAGTTATAAAAATTACTCTTAGAATTATGTAACATCTTGTAACCTAAACTTTAGTCAAATCGGACCTTCCGTTTAGAGTGTTTAACCTGTAAGATTATTTAGATGTAGGATTTTGGGGTCATATTGTTATTTAATAAATCGAGAGATCTCCAGCGAGATACCTGAATGCTTATATAAGTAGTAGGTTTCCGATAGATTTCCCATCGTCTTAGAGAGGCGCTATTTACGCTAGTATACCTTTTAAAAAATATATTGGAAGATGATAGCATAAAGAGTAGCATGGATGCAAAACACCGCAAAATTTCTATCGCGGTCAATTTTTGATCAAATAATAACCAGCAAAAATGCGATGAATTTTTGACCGCAATCGCCGCGATGGCGGTCATTTTTCTCACCGTAATCGCGGCGATGGCGGTCAATTTTCACACTTTTTGACCGTAATCTTCGCGAATGCGATCAATTTCTTCACTTTTTGACCGTAATCTTCGCGAATGCGATCAATTTCTACACTTTTTGGCCGTATTTATCAAGAATGCGATACTATTATTGGCCGTATTTCAGCGGTATCCTTAAATTATCCCTTGCTTATCAAATTTTATACCCTTGTATTATGAACAGTTATGTGTTTATGTTATGAATAATTTTATTAAATGTTTATAAAATAATAACGGCAAAAGGGATTATGGATTATGAGGTGAAATTACAGGTAAAATGGAAGGGTATTATACAAATAGAAAAGCTACATACCTAAAATTAAAAATATTAGTGGGTGGCTTATGTAGATTACAGTGCTATTTTATTTACCTTATCCTATCGCGTGCTTTGTATTGATACGTAAGAGTATTATACGAATAGAAAAGCTACATATCTATAATTAAAATTATTAATGGGCGGCTTACACAGGTCACAATCACTTATTTATTTACCTTAGCCTAGCCTAGCGAGAGTTTTCTATGCATTATATCTATAGACTACAGTGTTAGAGTATAATACAATCAAATATAATCACTGGCTTACATTACAATTGAATGGTTACAATCAAAAAGAGCAGGTTTAGTTAGTTGCACAGAAGAATATTGAACTTACCTTCACGGATGCCAGAAGTCCACTAACTGGTTTACCTTATGTTTAGGGATGGGATGGGGGCTGGACACCTCTATATTTACAAAAAAAATTGTATTGTCATACACATACATCAAAGCTAAATACAAAAAAATATTGTTGGGGAAAGAAAAGAAAAGATTTTATTTCTAAGAAAAAATAGAAGATTTTTTTTATACAAAATAAAAAAAAAATATCTGACGTGATACAAAATCTCAAACCCAGTCCATGAACCAAATCATCCGTTTTGTTTCTCTTATAAAATCATCAATAATTGTCGTAAAGAACTATTTTTTTCGACTAAATTATTCTAATAAATATTTTTTAACCTCTAAGGATAGCAAAATCAATATTTGAAGCTATTTGTTTTTTTTTCGGAGTTAAACTTAGGCGATTGCGGTCAAAATTGGATATTATCGCCAAAAATGCGATATGGTCAATTTTTGACCGCAATCATGGCGATTGCGGTCAATTTTTAATAAATCGTTCTTGAAATTTTGCGGTGAAAGCGTTCTCCGCACTCGATCGATGTAACTATAGGCGTGGCCTTAATTAGTTTCAAACACTTAATTTATCATGAAGAGGACACGGGCTGAAGGAATCATGTGAAAGATTGTTTAATCTTGCCGATCTTTTTTTTTTAATCCGTTGCACAAAAAGAACATCTCCCATGATAAAGCAAAACTTCAATGCTCATTTTCTCGACATCCAATGAAGAAAGTAACCATGATATGCACACAGATGAGGTGAGGATTTCACGGATTATTCAAAGGATAACACATATGTTCAAAAAGTAGTGACAAAAAAAATCAAGTTTGTAAAAGTAGCCTAGACAAGATCAACAAAGTAAACAAAAAAAAAATTTTTTTTTGGTATAAAAGGGAGACTGCTGCGAAAAAAACGTCCTTTATCTTTTTATTCTTTTTTAAACATTAGAACAGAGAAGTTAGCATGGCTCGGCACAAGAATGACACTATCGACTCTGTTCGTTTTCCGTTAAATCTATCCACTTCATTACAGATCGGGCAGTGTTCCAAAGGCCGTAGTAATCCCTAAAAAGATTACATTGAGGAGTCTGCTGGTTGTCAAAGTCGCTAGGCAATGGCCTTGGTCGTTGTCTGTATCGCTTCATTCGGATTTCAGTACAACAATCTGACTGGGGCTTGTCGCCTTTTGTTCCAGGAACTTCTTACTAAAACTAGTGCCACACCCGTTGCTTGGTGGAGGGTGAATATAGAGCGTGTTACTAGACGGTGGGATGGTCGTAGCCGTTTGAAGCCAGTCGATACGTTCTTGGTCATTGGAATTGGTGTGGGTTGTTATATTTGGTCGGGATCTGATGACAGTAGGAAGTTTAGTACCCGAATGCATCTTGTAAGTGCTTTGCCTTGTTTACGTCTACGCTAGAGATATTGCATTCTATAGGCAGCCATAGATTGGCATCCTGTTGGACAGTTACCTCATCTACACGGAATGTTAACCTTAAAGCCAATACTCGTCCAGGTGCGGTTGCTACGCTTCTACTGCCAGGGTAAAAAGCACCACCCCAACATGGTGTAGGGGGTATTTGGTCCTGGTGATTCTTATGTTGCGCATTGTGGGTAGGTGGCATGTAGGATTATCAGGTTCTGTATTGAAGATGGTTTATCGGAATTTACTTTTTGGGTCAGGATGTGCTTCCACCTTCTCGTGGTCTGGCCTGTTAACCAGCTATTTTATGCTGGGAACTAGGAGAAGCACTTATTAGCATAGTTTATATCATAAAAAATAAATAAATTATATTTTTTTCTCTTTTTTCCTTTAACTTGACCATAATAATTAAGACTTATAGTCTCATCATAAATTTTACAAAGCCTTAATAAAAGACTGGTATCTTTTTGGCACCAATAGTTTTTTTCTTCTTTGTTAATGTCAAGTAATCTTGGTGTACAAAAAGGAGCAATCACAGCCACCAAGAAAAGTTTAATCTTAATGGAGCTCAATAATGTGAATGCTTGTACTAAAAGTTGGACTATTGAGACATTGAAAACTAAGAACGTAACCAACTCAAGTAGCCTTTGTCGCAATCAGACAATGTTTTGCTTGTGTGTAGGGAAGCATGTTTACTACTCATTTGAGTGAAATGGGTTAAAAATTAACATACATCCTATTGTCCTTCTTTGTAAAATTACACACTTTATTTACTTGCGGCTCAATTTCCGTTGTGGATACTCTCTGCTCTTTTTTTATTATCTATTTTCTTTTTGCAATCCTGTTATAACGGAAACAATGATGAGTAGTATCTAGAAGAAACCTAAGCCAATTCACAATGCAAAATAGTGTTACCATCTATATATTTATTATAGGGCTCTTGAAATAAAAAAAGATTGTTTTTGCTCTTTATTCTGGGGATTTGGTGAACGTCCTTGTAAACTATCAGCCAGAAATGAACCCAAGCTTTCTAGTACCTCTTGTTAACAACCAATGTTAAATCACCACAATTCATATACAAAATGAATTATTCAGCCAGTTACAAAATTTGCCACATAAGATGTTCTGATAGCGTATGAATACATCCTTGTTATTTGCATGATTATTAAACGTGTATGGCTCGATAAAAGAACTTCCATAATTGACAGTCATCCAAAATGGCTAGACTGTTTATGCAATTGAATGGGGCTTCAGAGGTATAATATTCAGCTAGGGCCTCCCTTCTTGAGAATGACAAAAGCCAGCTTTAATTACTCTAAAATCGGTTTTCTCCCTGCACAGTTGGAGGTAATGCAGTCATCGCATGGCATGGTAGGCATTTTTTCAGCGGTAAAAAGGCACGTAGCGACCACCCCCTTTTTTTTCTCTGATGGCTGCATTCAATTGCAGCGTAACCATTCCCAACTCGATTCAAAGTCTGAGGGCTGATATTTTCCTAGTCACCACATTGTGATACCGACTTTTAAGCAATCTCTCGGTTTTTAATATCAATGAAAATGTACAATAATGCTTAGTTTGTATTGGAGTTTCTCTGAAATCTCTATTGATTCTATTTTGGCAATATGGTCATTGAAATAGAGCTACTGTGAAAAGGCATCTCCTTTCTCTTTAATATGGGAACAACACTCGATCTTTTAAATGAGTGTCTTACTTCTAATACTGAACCAATACTCTCTGAATCTGATATCATTACGTTGAACGTACATAAAGATGAATATAAAGGCTGGATAACGAAGCAAGAAGAGCAACTTTATGATAGAACATTTTTGGTACCAAACATCTATTTTGATGTGATAACCAAACTATCGGTTATGTAGACGTGCTATAGACATGGATACACTTTTATTACCAAGAATATGACGGCAACCTAGCTAGATCAGTTCAACACGTAGTTTTATATATGCTAGTCATGCACTTATATCAAATACAATCACCAAGTCTAAGTTTTTGAATATTTGTTTTGTCTGCCTGTGATAAATTTAAGCTTATTAACACAGTTTCGTGATTAGGGTGTATCATTAAGGCTCTCGTAAGAAGAATAATAAAAACGTCGGCACAGAGCTCGAATCTGGATCAGATTTAGGGATATGATACTGGTGTCTATGATCGTTAGTAGTCCTTCATCCAAGCTTTTGATGCATGTGGTTTCATGTTTTGTATTATGTACATCCTGTAGCTTCAATTTTTTATTTGAAAAATACCTTGTGTGTATCGTATGTAAAAGAAGTACATGGGAAAATTAGGAGTATATTATACAAGCGATTAAAATTACAAAATGATGGAAACAAGGGAGGTAACGATGGGAATGTTTTTTTTTTAGATATGATCTGCAGGTTTGTAAACATCTGTCCAACCGAAGCTTCTTTCTACTGCTTCTTCCCATTGTTTATATTTACGTTCACGATCTATTGAAACAACTTAGTTTATATACATTCATGTGCACTTTATAATTCTTACCATCGTCATTCCATTTAGCATTAAAAGTATCTTCCCGATCAACAGAAACCTTTTTTATGTCATCTATACTCTTCCAAATTCCAGCAGCATAACCCGCAGCGTAGGCAGCACCAAGTGCAGTGGTGTCACGCATACCAGGACGAAGCACGGGTATACCTAAAACATCGGCTTGGATCTGCATGCATTGATCTGAATTTGACATGCCGCCATCCGCCTTTAATATTTTAAGTGGCACGTCTCCGTCTGCTTTCATTGCTTCTAGTATAGCACGAGTTGAAAAGCACACAGCTTCAAGTGTGGCTCTTGCAATGTGAGATTTATTTGTGTATTGTGTTAAACCGACCAATGTACCACGAGCATCATCACGCCAGTAAGGAGAGAAAAGACCAGAAAAGGCAGTAACAAAAAAGACACCACCTGTGGATTTAACTTTGGCAGCTAATGCATCAATCTCATCCGACGTCTTGATTAATTCGAGATTATCACGTAACCATTTTACAGCAGCTCCGGCAACACTGATGGATCCTTCTAAAGCGTACGCAACAGGACCGCCAGGACCAAATTGGTATCCAACGGTAGATAACAAACCACTTTTTGATATTACTGGTGCCTCACCCACATTCATTAATAAAAAGGCACCTGTACCATATGTATTTTTTGCCTCTCCAACATCAAAGCACTTTTGTCCAACTAAAGCAGCTTGTTGATCACCCAAACAACCCATGATTGGGACACCTTCCAGAGGGCCCCATTGCATTTTACCATAATTTTCTGCAGATGAAACGATTGTTGGTAACATGTGAGATGGCACACCGAAGAAACTATGAAAGGTATGAGTATCCCATATGCATTAACGCAAATAAATAAAAAAATTTACTCTAAAAGACGCTGATCCCATTGACGCGATTTCAAATTCATAAACATTGTGCGACTAGCATTTGTTACGTCAGTAATATGTTTTCCACCTTGAATACCACCTGTCAGATTCTTTTTTTGTATATATGTGAGTAATAATTTTTTTTTAGGGTGGGGGTGGGAGAAAATAGTTTACCCATATTAACCAAGTGTCCACTGTACCAAACATGGCTCTTTCGTTTTCGACAGCATGCATTACTTTTGGCACTCTATCCATTAACCATTTGACTTTGACGGCTGAGAAATAATTGTGAATGGGTAAACCGCAAATTTCCTGAACATCGATGTTTGATTTTTTCTGTGCCAATTCTTTCACCAGGTTATTTGTACGTGTATCACCCCAAACAATAGCGTTGTAGAATGGCTCTCCTGTTTTACGATCCCACACCAACGTTGTTTCTCTTTGATTGCAAATACCGACGGCTGTTTAGATAATAAAAAAAAAAAATATTTAACGTCCCACTTTTTTGCATTGTTTTCTTCCTAGTTTACCTTTTAAATCATGAATATCATGGCCCATCATACCAAATTTTCTAACAGCCTCATCAGCACAGCGAATCGCTGAATCTAATAGATCGTAAGGATCATGTTCGATCCAACTAAAGAAACGGGGGGTATCAGTATAGTTTATGGGAGACAGATATCAAACTCTTTTCTTACCCTGGGCGAGGATATATTTGTTCAAATTCTAACTGATGTGATGTGACTAGGTTTCCACTTTGATCGAAAATTAAAAACCGTGTTGACGTTGTTCCTTGGTCGATAGCTCCAATATATTGTGGCATTAATCTAGTATATTTTATGTGGAAAAAGATATATATATAAAAAAAAAAGAAAAGAGATGTGTCGCGGGGAGCACAGACTACTCAATTTTTTTTTTTCTTTTTTTGCGCCTTTTCCCGAGACCAGTCACATTCTGGCTCTTAGATTTACGTGATTAAAGCCGAAACTTTTTTTTTAGTCCTTTTAAATAAATAATAAATTTCCGCTTTAGAGTCACGCGTATAAACATTGAAGTATATTCACTTGGTTCTTCTCTTTTACTTCCACGTGTACATGTATAAACATTCGTTTTTTTTTTCTTCTTCTTTTTACTTTCTTAAGTTATTGTCCTCCCAAGATTTTTTTTCAAACTGAGATGGATACAATCGGAACACCTTTTTTTTCCCGCTGATAACAATCGTGTGCAAAGAGAGATCTACCCAGCACGAATGGAAAACACCAAATAATCCACTATCTTCCATGTATAAATCAAGAGTATTTGGTGTACACTTTATCATCTTTACAGGGAGCCAAGGTTAAAACATAAAATAAGAAATGTAATCCTGGGTTCTTGATCCTATCGGTGTAACATCAATCCATCACTTGCATTATTTAAAAGAGAAGATACAGAAGACTTTGCCACTTTTTTTTTTTGTATTTTTTGGGCATGTCATTTTTACTCACAGTCGGATTAAGCATGAATCTATTTAAAGTCATATTATTTTTTTTATCTTTACATAAGCATTACTTTAAGCACATATCAGGAGGAGGAACTGTACTATGATATAAGCAATAAAACTCCCTCAAGTGGCGTTTCATTTTTTTTTTTTTTGTAATGAAAGTAGGACCATGCATTTTAGAATTGTTTGTTGCATTTTCTATAGAAGTTACTGTAGGAGATGACGAAAATACCGCCCCCTTAACGATCAATGTGGCACAATCAAGAGTTTTCGGAATTTAGCTTTCTTGTATATCGTCCTTATTTGGTAGATTAAGAAATCACACATTATGCCCATGCATAAGCTTCTTATATGGGTGTTTCATAAGCTAGAGACTCTACCTATTAGATGAATTGGATTGTTAGTTAATGCACGTCATAATGAAAGACGGGAACAGTAGCGTGGCTGGTGTAATAAATAATAAAAAAAACGTGGTATATCTACATTTTGAGCCAAATAAACTATATGACTTTTTTATTTTATTCATGACGTATTTTTTGGGATATATGTATGGAGGGGCATAAGAGAGAGAGAGAAAAAAAAAAGAAGAGTTCATACACTAACATAATAAAATAAAAATAGGTTGCGTGAGGGGGCATATTTGACTAATTAGCAGAAGAAGGGTTGGTATTGATATACATCATATTTGAAGGATAATAATATAAATTATCAAGCCATTGTTGGTCATTATAAATTGAATCGTCATGGTGAGATTTGTCACTCTGCAAAAATATTGTATTGTCACCAAATTTGGTTACAAATGATGAAGCTTCTTGTGTATTGTAATACAGTGGATGCTCAACCGTGTCAGTGTAAGTCCATTCTGGTAAGCTACCACTGGTGTTTGTAAAACTTTCTTGTGGACACTCTTCATAGGCTGAATAAAAATAAGCACTTGGCGTATTGTTACTATAGTAATTATTTGGTGTAGTCATCAATTGACTGTTGCTAGTATCCGAGGATGCAGTAGGATAATCGCAGTATTCATTGTTCATATTATAAACAGCTTCTGCATGATTTATATCGGGAGATATCTGTTCTTGTTTTACCATTATACTTGTTGTAAACAATGGAGAACTTGATGACTCTAAGTATAGATTTTCAATATTAAATTACAGTTAGATTTCATTCTAAAAGGATGTTACCTTTTTTTAGGCTAGTTTGCTGTGTCGTAGTAACAGACTTCTTTCGATAAGGGCCTCTTTTAAAACCCTTTTTACGTTCTTTTCTGGGTGAGTCGAAGCATGTGTCGGTAATGCCAAGTTTTATACATCGTTGACAAGGCCTTCCTTCATCGCATTTTTTACAAGCTTTTTGGCAATTGACTAGTAAAGAAAAAAAAATTATAATTAGAAAATGCAACACGTGAATCCAAATTCGTGTAACAGACAATTAAATGTACAAGAGGATACATACCACATGCATTTTTAACCTGGCTTCGACGTTTGCTTGTGGTATTCGTTTCAATGTGTTCATTTGTTATATTCATATCGATGTTTGTGTAGGAAGTCTCAAGCTGATTTGAGCAATTTTTGTTGTCATATACCATTTGCCCTTTTTGTCCGGAAAAGCTGCTTTTCCAGGAGAGATAATTATACAAAAAAAAAAAGTAAAGGGAAAGAAGAAGAAAAAAAAAGACCAATCAAGAAGAAAAGAAGAAGAGAAAAAAAAAATTGGTAATTGTTAATTTATTTAATTTTTTTAAACTGTTTGTAATAACATAATGAAAAGTAGTTTTTTTTTTTTCTCCTTTTGTTAGAATCATATGTAAAAATAGTGTAGTGTTTGTAGTTCACTATAAAGCATGTTTTTTATTTATTATTATTTTTTTTCAGTTTTTCTTGCTTTGACTTTTTAACTTTTCGTTGAGAAAAATAAGGTATTGTTCTTTCAAAGACACTAGTGTGTAATTCGTTAATTTTTTTGTGATACACAAAATCTTTGTAACAATAAAGACTTTTTTTTTTTTTGATAAAAAAAAAAAAGAGAGAGAATTTTCTACCTTGCAGATTTAAGTAAGGTAGGTGAATTACACGTGGCATTCTCACCCAATCAAAAATAATAATTCAAATTGATCCCATCTCGGTCAGGGCAGTATGTGCCACAATAAAATATAGGGGCCTAAAATAAGAAATATGCCGAGAGGTGTTAAGTTCTTCTAATCATTCTGCCAAATCAAGTTTCGTTTTTGGTCAGGGACCAAATTTAAAGACCCAGACTGTTTATAATCTCGAAAAAGAGATCTGATCGTTTTAGCATAGTGTTATTGTTACACCATGATCTTTCTAGATAATTAAACTTCTTTGCATCAAGAGGGCGAAGTGAGTATGAAAGAAGGAGCGTACGAGAAGGTCTTTTTCGTGTGACGGGATCCGGAAGACGTTCAAACATTAAGGGTTTTATGTCTGACAGGGGGTTCCGTAAATTTATAGATGATTCCATCGTCATGGTTACCAGAACAATTAAAATGCATGGTCTGATCTGGTTAATTATGTTACAGATTCTGTGTAAGATAATTAACGAGGAGTTTGTATCAGCCACCTTGTGCATCTATTAGCCTAAAAAAATGACCCTTGAACAATAAAACTTGATAATGACTAGTTTTTTTTAATGTTGAACAAAAAAGATTTTTTTATTAATTACAAAGACTAGCTTATGAAAGAAATACAAGTTTTTTTTTTTTTTTTTTGGTTAAAAAAAATGAGGTGATTTATGCCCAATCCCAAGTGATAGGAATCTAGAGAAGAACGAAAAAAAAAAAAAAGGTTAATCTTATTGTCGGTGATTGATGCTTAATTGTCAACTTACTCGGCCCTTTGCAAAGTCACCAATTTTGCCGAAAGCACCAGGACTTAAATCAACATCGCCGGATTTACAAGGAGGACAAGTATCAACAATTTTAACCTTTACGCTGCCATTGGGACCATGGACATTGATGTATTTACCACAAAGAGGATTGTTATTAGGGTTAGCACCATTTTTCATTTGTGGAGCATTCTAAATAAACAATAATAGAGTTAATTTAAAATTAAATATTTGTTATTTTGTTGTATTATTACCAAAGCAGCAATCAAATCAGTGTCTTTTGCGTCCCAGCCACAAGAGCCTAATCCTGTTCCATAGTAGGTACCATCACCAGAGTATTTTCCGGTACTGCTAGATCCACCAGCATTCTTCTTGGTAGTGGTTTTCTTAGTAGTCTTCTTAGTAGTCTTCTTGGTGGTTTTCTTGGTGGTCTTTTTGGTAGTCTTCTTTTTGGTAGAAGTCTTCTTTTTGGTAGATGATTTTTTAGTAGTCTTCTTAGTAGTCTTCTTGGTGGTCTTTTTGGTGGTCTTTTTGGTAGTCTTTTTGGTAGTCTTCTTCTTAGTAGAAGATTTCTTTGACTTTTTATGAACCTTTGATGTTGATCTTTTGGTGACTGACTTGTGTTTATGTGACTTATTGCGGCATCTCTTTTCAATCTCGCTCTTCCACATGCTGTTGCGACCAACCAGGGCCGACTCAAGCACGACAGGAGAAGAAAGGTCACTAGGAGATTCAGAATTGACCTGCTGGAACAATAAAGTTGAGGTGATAGCAGTAATTGCTAAAAGAGAGGAATGTGTAAGACGCATGCTTTTTAATCTTAAAATGACTGTGAAGGGATATGATAAAAGAAGGGTTTTTTTTTTATGGATATAAAGAAGGAAACAAAAAAAAAAAAAGAAGTTTAAAAAATAGGTTCCCTATTTATATGTCTTTTTTGTTCGCTTGGTTGCGCGTTAATATAAATTGACCCAATCATGACTTGTCAATAGACAATTATCGATGCTCAATTTGGAAAATGATGTCTATTTCTCTCCTGTTTCTCATGTGTAACATTGCATTATTCTCTCTCCCGCTCTTTCTCAGTTCATTAAAACTCCTCCCGCATTTTTTTTTTTTTTTTTTTAAACGTAGCACTTTTTTATATATATATTTCCACCCCGTTCCCCTCCCCCCACCCCTTCTCCCCCCATTACGTTTACGTTTTTTTTTTTTTTAGTGTGCATGATTATAAATTTTATTTAATTCTTTAAAATGTTGCCAAAAGTAGTCTTCTTCCAACCAATGTTTTCAGCAGGAACATCAGTGAAAATGAAATAACCGCGTTCAGAACTGATGCCCAACTCTTTTTCAAGTTCTTCAGTGACTGCAGCAGCTAACTTGGCGTTACGTTCGTTGTCTATAATAAAGTATTGAGTAAAAAACAAAAAAAAAAAACGCGAAATAATAAAAAATCTCTTACCAATATGACCAATGGAACCAACCTTGGCAAGGAAACCAGGCTCATCAGAACCAGCAAAAGAGTAAGAATCGACCTTTTGATAAGTAACGATACAGTACTAATTTGTAATATCTTGTGTTAATCATCCCCATATTTATCCATTTCATATTCTAAAAATACACTTACATCTTCGGGCTTGCCGATTCTTTCAGCAAAGACCTTACTTAAGCGTTGAGTAAAGGCCTTGATGTCTTTGGGAGTTTCTGCAGAGATAATTTCAAGAATGGGCATTGTGTGATAATAAAAAAAAAGTTTAATAAAAAATGAAAAAACAGTGAAATAGTCAGCAAAAAACCCAAATTTATTTATGTTTGGGGTTATCTGAAAAAAGAAAACCCCGTTAGAGACATTTTATCCGGTGGCCTCCAAGTTATGTAATCGTTTTCCAATAAGATATGTGTCATCATGTATCTTACGGAGCCAGTGTTTAATCAAATGAATACTTCCTTTTCCCAGGGTAAACAAACAACCCGTACAAAATAAAATTGGATAAGACGACCTGAATATCAACATCTTGATCAATGGATCATCAATGACTATTTTTTTTTTGGATTAGTAAGTCACGAAAATTATTCTAGAATGTATTTGATTTACCGAAAATACGAAAGGCAACCACAGTCAATACACTGGGCACGGTGATAATCATACAAAGTCCCAGTATAATTGACATGATCCTCCTTGCGTCAAAGTTTCTCCATTGCATCATTGTCTCACGAAGTGGAATTTGAATCGGTAACATCTTTATCAGACTGTAAAATAAGCTTAGACAAGATAATCCTATGGCCCAATCCTACAAACAATATGCGATTAGATAAAGAGGAGAGGGGGCATGTATGGGATGCACAAACATTAGATTACCATTGTTAGATAAATATCAAATACAGGCTCTTTCATATCTGATAATCTTAATGGCATCAGCACGTAAAGATCCATCATGATACCAACTAAAAATGGTATCACCATTCCAAATACAATCATTGTGCGCACGAAATTAGCAATCTATAATAAGTAGTAATTTAAGTAATCCATTTTTTCTGACACCCATTTTAGTTGAATTCTTCTAACCTTTTGTATCTTGCTGTAAATATATTGCCCGAGGTTCCAATCTGTCATGCCTTGTCTGATAATTTGATATTTCTGTACAATCGAATTTAACAAAGAACTCATCACAATCATAATGTATGCACCCAAAGCAAATGAATACAAGTCATGCACAAGTCTGTCCGGGCTAACTTTTGTAAACAAATTTCTGCCTAATTTTACTTTTTCTGAAATATTAATAAAACCTTTTTTTTTTCTTGTTTAATTAACTTACATGGTACCACAGAAATGGAGCAAACAAGGATAGAACCGGTTGTCCAAATTAAAAATAAAAAAATAAAGATTCTAGTGTAAAAATAGTTTGGAATGTAGACAATGGTCGTGTCTCTTTCTTCGGACTCAGAGATAGCAGGATGGGTTCTTTCGGATATCAATAATGAGCGTAAAGTAATAGGATGGACAGGTACAATCATTCTTCTTCTACGAGGCACCGCAATGGGTACATTGTCATGTGTGGGGACCCGAACAAGTTCTCCTTCAATTTCTTCTTCATTCGGATACCGCCCTCCAAACATAAACGATGAAAGTTTTAATTGTCCAGATACAATATGCCACCATCTCATTAACGCTTTTTTAGAAAATTCCCGAGTATCTACGTATCCCATCACTGGTTTCAGTAAGTATTGCACCGCCAAGAGATCAATAGGCAGTAAAGATATAGGAATACTACCAACAAAAAAAAATACTCGTGTAAGTTGTCTTTGTATAAAAGTGTTGCTAATTATACACATCACACTTACTCGAATTTCCAGATAATAGGATAGATACCTCCATAGTTACTCACCAACAAGGTGACAAACCCCATACCAACCATGATAAGCATGAAATAGGTTGCGCCACTTAACAACAAATGGTTCAGTAATACAAGTATAGGCTGATCCACCATATCCTGTACAGGATGAAAATGAGGGTCATTGGGGTCACGAATAAAATAGAGTACACCAGGACGAACAACTTCACGTACTAAAGCAACAAACACAGAGAAATGAAAGATGAAACCAGTGCCAACAAACCAATGTAGAAATACTCCTGAATACGGGTTCAGCAGTACAAAATGAAATCGGCTCTTAATAGAGTATTCCGTAAATAGGGGCAAAGTAGATATATCCAACAAGACGCCACACACGGTTGGAAATACAACCAGTTCTAAAAACATAAAGAACAGTACCTTGATAAACACTCCCTGTTGACGTAGTATCTCATTTGTAGATCCACTCTTGTTTCTAGAAAGATACCATGAACCAATAGAAATAAGAACCATGTATCCCACTACTGTACATACCACTCTATCAATACTGCCCTGTTCCGTTGCACATTGTCGCCAGCGTTTAAAGATAATGGCAGAGATGGAATAGACATTACTCACAATTAATTTCCAGTTCTGAATCGTATTCGTGTGATCAAGTATACTACTCGTCGTCTCGGACAAAAGCTGTGTCACACTACCACCTCCATTATCATGCAATATAATATGAATTGATTTTACTACATAGTAGATTCCGGACTGCATGTTGCTATGCATGGTCTTGACATACACGGGTAATACCTTTTCGAAGTTGTTGTAAACAAGCGAAATCGTGTTAAATGCAAGATCAATCGATGGATCTAGAACTAGTCGTAACATATATAGCGGCTTATCCACTAAACTGGTTGGCCGAATCAAAATAAATGATCTGCCAATCATGTATGGAATCCAAACAGTAACACATAAACACAGGTTGATCATCAGCGACATTAATATCGGATTTTGTAATAGCATGAATAGGTTTCCACGCATACCGATCGCCTCCAAAATGTTGTCCATATTTTCCATTACATCAAAGTGTTCATCTGCGGGCGCCTCTTCGGGTTGTTCCTCTGCCACATTGATTGGTGCGTTCATAGACTCATCTACAGGCCCCTCTTCTGGTGGTTCTGAAAAATAATCATTATTGGTGCTGGGTTCTCCAAACTCACTTGACCTCCAGGTCCCTGTGGGAGGCGACATCGTCTCATCGGTTGTGATTTCCTGTTGTAACTGACTCTTAGTTGTGTCTTGTTGATAATCTCTCCAACTTGCAAAAGGTGACTGAGTACCGCTAGGTGGATTACTATCATCATCGTTGTCATCATCACCGTTGTCGTCTTCCGCTCTCTGATAGTAGCCTGCCACATTAGCAGAGTAAGGATTATTGTATTCGAGATGATCATCACTGGCGCGTCTTCTTAATTGTTCCAATCGATCTAATATCGGTGGTGAAGGTGGGTGTGCTGTATTTTTAATGACCCATTCACGAAAGAGATAAGCAGCTACAAATACGATGACCACCACAGCTGTAATGATTTGTCCCTGAATACAGTCGGACACAAACACTCTTGTGGTATACCTCGAGCCTTTCCGTGTATGTGCAATTGAGTTTCCAGTGATATTTTCTCCAGACCAGAAATAAAATCGCCATGTCCATACAGTGGATGTTGGTAAAAGAATTAACCAAACAATCATGACAAGGAGTGTTCGCATGGTTGTTACACAACCTCGAGAAAATCGTCGAATGCATTGGCCAAGTAATACTCGAAGTGGCATTCTATCTGGCATATCGTCTCGGTAAATGGGTGTAAATTCAAATGCATGATCACATAGTTCACAATACCTAATTCACTCAATGAGTTTGTCTGCCTTTTTCGGAAGGGGTTCTCCCTTTTTATATATATTACTACTACTTTTTTTTACTATGTGAAAGCCATTGTAATAAACTAAAGTGTAATAAACATGAGTACGAACAAGGGAAAGGCGATCTATAGTATTTTGTTGTTTACCAATCCTGATGAACAAAGCGAATGCTGCCAGAGCATTTACATGGGTGAAATAAAGGTTGGACTAAAGAAGGCCCACCTCGACATACTCTACAAATGCCTGCAATTGCCCAGAAAAAAAAAAGTCAGGCAAGATCGAAAACAATTGCGTTTTTTCGTACCTTGATCGTCATCCATTACAATATAAATTAGATTGATGAATAAAACAAAGTAATTTTATTTTCTAACATATGAAAATCCGGGCTGCAGAGCGGACATTTCCCGTGATTGCTGGATATTGTGTTACAGTGATTGTTTGTCCTGCTTTTTTTTTTTTTTTTTTACCGTTTTGCATTTACCAATCCTCATTTGCCGGCACTGTATCTTAGGGAAGAACTGCAAGTGAATACATCCTTCAAAAAATCATATAATATAGAAATACCCGTTCTTTATAATATATTATTTCTATCAATATATCGTCATACACCCTGATACCATAGGAACACGTACTTTTTTTTCTCTTTCAACATCTTGGAAGGATATACAATAAAGCCGAGACTCACATTTAAATGTATACTAGATATTTTTTTGTATATCTATATATTTCAGTCCAATGATCAAATATAAAAGAATAGGGCTGTACGCTTTAAATGCATTAGGTAACATAAGTCTGAACGAAAGGAGCACATTATTATGGTTTGCTTTCATTGTCCTTTTAGATCCCACAAGTGACACCATAAAATAGAATACAGTTTTAGATTGAAATGGAAAAAGAAAAACATCAGCCTTTTTTTGGATACGACATAAATAGGTGTCAGATAAATGTTGTAAGAATCAAACTGATGTCTATGTCATTCAGTATGTTTATGCATTTGATCAGAAGAGGATGATAACAAACCACATATATTCTAGTAGCAAAGAGTAAACGATACCTTATATACACTGACTAATCAACTATTTATTAAGTTTATTCGAATATTTAGTATTTTTATCAGTGGCCACAAAGAGGGATCCAAAAAAGAAAAATCGCTTAATAGCCAACCAGTATCGTTGTAGGCTTTTAAAAAGTAGACGGACTGTGTTTCCATGAATAAATTTAGGTTTAATGATAATCAGTTTCAGACTAGACCTGTACAAAAAGGTTTGAGTCCTCAGTATTGTCAATTGTATCTTATCAAGTCAAACTTCAAAATTAGCAGATGTAACCAAAATTACATACTGGCTCCTACAGAAAAGAAAGCTAAAGAAAGGGGCAGCATATTTTTACCATGTTGTAGCTTTGTTCGCAACATTACAAATTTCCCGGACAAACACACCTAACAAAAAAAATTGTACTGGTGTTCACAAATACAGAATCCATGATTCTCATCTGGTATTAGAAGCAATTGAAGGTTAAGGATATACCATTTTCCAGCCATATCTATGAGTGGTGGTCAAAGATCAAAAAAGTACATATCAGAAGAAACTTAGATACATTAAATTCCCGCTTGTGGTACTGTCACTACCAAAGTCTGTACATACATAAACGGGATAAATATCTTGATAGAGAAAGATGAACTTTTTGAGAATCTGTCTGTTTTTTTTTGTTTTTTATTTTTCTGTTTTTTGGTTTTTTTTTAATTTTTTTTACATTTGTCTGAAATAAAATATTATTTTCTATGAAAATCTTATCTGTTCAAAAGTGGGCTTCTTTTGTCTGAATTTAAAGTGCTAAACAACAAAGAATAATAGAACCTGAATTCCCTGAGAAAAAAAAGACAGCTTGGTTACTAAATGGGAAATGGTTACACTTGCCAAGCCTCGGAGAAAGATGCGTAAATATGGACAACGGTAATCATTGACATTTACAGGCTTACATATTATCCAAATCTTAAAATGGTATACATATATATATATATGAATAGCGAAATAAAACTAGAATTTCCGGGAAACCCGTCGATACAAACCTTGGTAAACTAAACTGTCGAAAATGTCAAAATTTCGTTTTTTCGGAACATCAATGCTTGGGGCGAGGAGGAAGAAAAAATCAGTTCATATATTTATTTTTAAAGTACACAATACGGGTTGAAAACGGCAAAAAGCATGTGCAGCACTAGGTACGGTAACCATAGACCCGTCATTTATGTAGAGATACAACAAAAGGGTTTTCTTTATAGTTGTACACCGTCACCTTGTTTGGCAAAAGTGGAGAGTGAAAGCTTAAGATTTATAAGAGTTCGTCCAAATTTAGTAAGGAGTTCGTCTGTTTTTAAAAAAAAAGGTTTCTTTTTCAATTGCTTTTTGAAAAGAGTCAAAGAGAAACGCCCGAATTTTTCCTTTTGGAAGGTCCGAAAATCAAGTAAAAGGCGCTGTATTCTTACGCCAAAAAATTAGCGTGCGTACTCGTATCTTTATAATTTAACAAAATCTTGCTTTATAGGGTTCAATTCCGGAGAAAAAAGGTGCAACCATGATAAATGTTTCCTTTTTGCTTCTAGGCTGGCAATTGTTGCACAGCCTGACATCCGAGCTATCCGTGAATTCAGGTAAAAAATACCTCATCGGTACTGTTTGTTGAACGTACTTACCTTTAGTACAAAATACATTGAATGGTTTAAGAAAAAAAGCCCTAATGCAAATTGTTACATAATACCAATGATACACACAATCTGACGTACACGCTTCGTTTGCACTACCATCGTGCGATAAATGACCTTTTGCAACGAACTGAGTTTATGTTGCCTTTTTTACCAAGAATTATAAACCTTTCTTTTTTTTTATGAAAAAAAAAATCCTTTACATGGAAAATCAAAACGCGTACTTACATTGTTTTGACGGTCAATGCTTTTTTTTTAAAAAAAACTATAAATCACGCAGCTCTTTTTAGATCTCCGGGTCTTTGGGTCGGAATTTATGTGATCTGCGCATCGATGGTATTTGCCATGTGCAGAATAAGGTTTCAGTGCCCTGGAAAAAATGACATGAGGTGCGGAAACAAAAAAAAAAAGTCGATCAAATTGAACCTCAAATAGAATAAAAAGTGAACTATTCTTCAACTCGTTTTTTTTTCTTTCTTCTTTCCTTACACTTATTTACACTCATTTTGTATGCACAGAAAAGCTGAAGAAAATTATAATGGTTCCAAAATTAGTGTGTCAGATATAAGCACGATCAGCAGCAACAATAGTCAACGTTATAGTGACAATCCACTAGGCACAAACGATTTTGGACAGTTTGACATTATTGATGATCTCGACTATGATGATGTGGATGATGGATTAATAGGTACAGAAAAAATTGTAGGGTTCATCTTGTAATACACAGGTCTTAACTTGAATTTTTACAGTTGATCAAGAACTGTTACATCAATATAGAGAAGCTATTATTCGCCAATTATATGAAGGAGAAAAGAAATTCCTTGAAACATTAGAATTCATTTTAAATACTTATTTGTATCCATTACGCAAGAACACAAAAACATCGACTTTTAACTTTTTGGGAATGAAAAAGGCACCTTGCACAGAAAAAGAAATGACATGGCTATTCAGTAATATCGAAGCTCTTTATAAAGTTCATGTTGAAAATATGGACACATTAGAAGAAAGGTATATCGTATTTGTCATTTTCATTGTGTCATATTTTATTGATACACACAACCTCGTTAGACTAAGCATTTGGGGTCCAACTCAAATCATTTCGGATATTATCCAGACCAGGGTAAAAAAAAAAAAAAAAAAAATACAAGAAAAAAGAGAGAGAGAGCAACCAATTTCTAACTCACTTTTCAGTTGGCCCAAACACGAAAGGCTTATATAAATTATTTTGACCAATATGGTACCATGATCACAACGTTTGAAAGATTAAGTCGATACCAGCCGTTTAAAAAGTTCATTGAAGTAAGATACACAAAGCACCAAAAAAGTAAAACGCAGGAAACTCAGTTCTAATTTGTTATGTGTGTCTAGACCGTTGAATCTAATAGTAAAGGTGTAAACTTACTGATGCTTTTAAAATCTCCAGTCGACTGTGTTGAACGTTATGTCTTTCAATTAACCAAATTAGCTGATAGTACCTCTACAATGCATCCAGATTACATTGGATTAATGCAATGTAAACAACGCATTCAAGCTTTGGATGTCGAATTTAAAGCCCCGTAAATATTGCTTATCGTTTTTTTTTCGGCCAATCGTATTTATTCGACCACCTTTTTTATTTCTATCTATAGGGTAAATGATGCGCTTAATGTAGACAAAGTATATCAAATTCACCTCAAAATGACAGGCCAGCCGTTCGGTGTCAAGGCCGAGCGCAGAATCATTCTGCAAGACAACTTTACTCGGCCAAATAGATTAAGTGGCGAAGAGACGTGTTATTTCTTATTTTCTGACATGCTGGTATTCGCAAGACAAAAATCAAATACTTTGCAATACAAGGGACACATCCTTTTACAAAAATCAAAAGTGAAACCAAACGTGAATGATTTTTCTGTGGAAATCATTTGTCCCTTTCAAGGCGTGGACTCTTTAAATACAACATTTATGGGTTCTCCAACCACGCATGTGATTCGCACTTTAAACAAAATAGATCAAACAAAATGGATAACTTGCTTAGAAGCAGTCATCACAAAACTCCAATAACCCACACACACCTTTTTTATGCACTCTACCACATTTTCACACTTAAAGAAACCACGATACCTTCATTTGCTCCCCTTTTTTTTACTTTTTTTTTGCATTCAATTAAAAAAAATATATATATATGGTCACGTCATTGTTTTGTGTTTTACCCTTTGACACCTATTTAGGAAAAATCAAGAAGTTTTCGAGTCGTACGATTAACAACAGCTACAGGGTTTTTTTTTTTCGTTATTCTTTCGTTGCTAAATCGTGTTTGTTACTTGCTTTAATAAAGGTTTTTTTTTAGTCCAGAACGGCAAGGGCCTCAACCTTCTTGAATCATTTACAATCGAAACATAAAATTTTGCTTATGGTTTAAACCATCCCTGCTTCATTTAAGTAAAGGTCCACGAGTATGGATTCTTTGAAGTTTGGCAATCAGCTTTGTATCACAATCAATTTATCGTTAAATTTTTGTTGACTACAGTTATCACACTTCAAATTTAGACGAATCTCAAGTCATTTTTAGAGGTTGGATACCACAAAATAGACAACCACACATTTTGGTAAAGCCAGGCATAACACACCGTTGCCAAGGTTACCATTTAATATGGGAGTTGATTTGATGCCATAGGTTTGGATAGCCACAATTTTGACATCACCATCACCCCGAGCCCATTGTAAGGACTTGTGGGAGTATCTTTTGCATTACTACATCATCACATATCTATATAATTTGGTTTCTAATTAACCCTCTTCATCATGACCCTCCCATCCTCAAACACGTACTTTTTACTAGTCACAAGGGATAAGACATACTGTCTGTCTTGTGAAATCATATGAATGCATCGTGTTGGGTGAAGTGGTCACCAGTTGGTCAATTATGATAAACTGCCTATTTTATATTTGTCAAATCCCGCTAGCTTCTTTACCGTCTATACTCTGTTCCTGTTCAAAGGTGTTAAGTTTTCAATTCATAAAAAAGGTGAATTCGTGTGTTCAAAAATAAATAAACACTCATCAAATGTATATTAATGTGTAGCTAAATGCTTTACATTCCTCTTATAAGTAACGAAGCGTCAAGATTATGTACACAGTAATGTAAATGATAAACAAAACTGGCATTTTGAATTTGCTGGTGCTTTCCTTCGACAATTACCCAGATCTAAATATTTGTCTTGAGTGTTCTTAAAGATTTCGAAAAGTAACCTGAGCACTAAAATCAGATATTTTCGAGAAGGAAAATCTAGCGCATTCATTACTAGTACTTGGAGATAGTCATCGTAGAGCTCAGAAAATGAAACTTATGGTTTAAATTGGCCTGCTTCTGAAATGTCCTGATCCTTGCCCTTATCAAAATTGCTCATTGAACAGACATCTTGGTATTAAAACGTGAGCGCATTTTGACTAAAATAAAAAAATCTGATTTAAAACGTCATCAAATTCTGCACCAATCAGAGATGTTTATCAGGCCTATTACGTGTAGTTGTTTTTTTTTTACACACGCACGCAAACACGTACACGAGTACACACACTACAAAATAAAAAAAAAAGAAAAAACTATAAAAATTTTAAACCTATAGGTTCGACTGTAATAAAACGAAAACCAAGATTCAACTCAAAGTGAGTATAATAGTTATTCATCTCTATTTTTTCACTTTTTCCAGAGTGTGTATATATTTTATATTTGAAAAAAACTAGATTGAATATTTTTTTTATTTTTTCAAAAAAAAAAAAATAATATTAACAACATGACCAACCAGATGGTGTCTCGATTCAGAGTCAAGAAGCTCTCTCCCAAACACCCACTTCCTATTTATAAGGAGTATCAATTACCAGACCTCACTGATGCTACAAACGTGCAAAGGGCCGTACCTCAAATAGAAACAGGTGTTGAAAAAGAGGAGGAGGAAGAAGTACAGTTGATATGGTTACATATTTTTTATCTTTTACAATACAATTTATACTAATATTTATAATTATAGCATGATTTACAAGCCGCCATGTCTGCTGCTCAAGCTGCCGTAACTACTGGTGCCTCTGTTGAAAATTATATCCCAACTCCTGATGCGTCCCGCCTTATTCCCACCGAAGAGTATGTTAGTCTTTATAAGAAGAAGTACAAAGAACCCTCCACCTTAATCAGATTTTCGTCTACGGTCGAAGATTGTGTCGGCTGCCCTTACGTCATGGACGAAGAAGACGAGGTCTTTTTGAATAATTACATTGCTCAATTTCCCAATGATACATTATCAGAAGATTCGTTTGAGAAGATCATGTGGGAGTGTGAATCTATTACAAATCAACAGTGGCCACATCTTTACTTGGTAAGCAAACACGTTAACTTCAAATTTCTATGTACTGAATAATAATAATAAAAATAGGATGCTACATTAATTGCTGATTACAAGACATTTATGGATAATGTACCAGACTATTCTAAACTCAAGACCTTGGCAAACTTTTCCATCATCTTTGACTATTGGCGTACGCGTCGCTTACAGCGCGAGGGTAAATCTATTATTCCTCAGCTGAAGTTCGAGGAGATACTGAAGAACGAAGCGGATCCCTATGTGTGCTTTCGTCGTAGAGAAACGAAGCCTATTCGAAAGACAAGGCGTACTGATCAACAATCACTTGAGCGTTTACGTAAATTGCGTAGTGAAATGGAAATGTCTAGAAATTTACTGGGCATGGTCTTGCGTCGTGAAAAAACCCGTAAAGAAGGACTCGTACTGGAGCATAACGTATTTGAACAAAAGAGGATTATACATGAATATCAAAGGACTTTGGGTATTAAAGAGGATGACGATATATTAATGCCAAAGAAAAAGAGGCATGTTGAAAGCTCCTCTGGTGCTACTATCAAGATCCCACTACACAAGCTGAACAGGATATATAAATCACCCACACAATTGGCTATGGAAGCCGAATTGAACAGAAAGAGAGAATTGGATTTGCCTTATAACGATGTCACTGATTCTCCTTATCAACCCTTTCCATTGCCTATTCCACAACAGTTCTATCAAACATTGGATAACAGCCAGCAAAAATTCCGTAAACGTATGGGTCGAAATGGTCGTGTCTTTATTGATCGCATGGATTATGAGCCAAAGGAGAAGGATTCTAAATATCGATTTGATTCTGATGCCAGTGATGGCGAGGATCTGATGGAAATTGATGAGATGGATAGTTTGTATTTAAAACATCGTGTTCAATTATTGTCCGAAACAGAGCTTCGAAATCTTGTTACGGTTCCGTTCCTGACACCATTGAATATGATCAATATCAATCAAGCACGTCAAGCTGCCGCCGCCGTTACCTCTCCTGCTCCTGTACGTCCTGTTAATATTCCACAAACTGTATCTCCAGCTATCACAACAACACCTTTAAAGCGCCAAAACAGCCGAACTAAAATGACACCTCAACAAGCCGCTGTAGCTATGGCCAACGGAATGATCGCAGCAAATATGGCTGCGGTAGTAAACGGTACGTCAAGTAACAAAGCAGCAATGCAAATGGCTATGGCTGCTGCCCAACAACAACAGCATGGTAAGTGAATACATGATATAAGAATATTTTGTTCGCATAATTAATCTTCATTGCAGCTAATAAGCAACAACAACAACAACAACAAACTACAAAAAACCCTCCATTATCACTTCACTTTTAAAAAGAACTTGCCCGTTGCCATTGTACAGAAATTCTGATTACCCCCCTTTTTTCATTTTTTTATTCCCTTTCTTTTAACCCTGTAAATTATGATCCAAATACATGAAAAAAAAATATATAAATATACATATTCACTAGCATACAGATTGTTATATCACCCCCTTCTCTCTCAAGGAACTTTAAAAAATAAACAATCTCTTTTAAACAAAAAAATAAATCATACTATTTAATAAACAATAAATAAAAATTGGGGCTACTTAAAACGCAAAGAAGCAGGATTAGGAGCAACAAAAATTCCAGAATTGATCGTTCCTTTCATACCAACAACGATAGCCATCGAAGTATTATATGTGTTATTCGCTTGGATTCTTACGCTCGTTCCAACCTGTCTGACGGTTCCTTGTGAAACGGAGCTTATCTTCACATTAGCAGGGGCTGTAAATTCGATCGTGACTTGGTTTGAAAATGGCGAAGCAACTGTACGACGAGCATTTATCACGGCTTCAAACTCATCAGCAGTAGACGAAACAACGGTCAACTGAGCTCCAACTTGTGATCCCTTGTATGCTTGAGGTACTGCTCCTCCAAGAATCTGACGAAGGCGAGAAACAGCTAGGATTGCGGAGCATGTGTTTGAACCAGAAGATGCATATCCACAATAGATCGATGTACCATCAGCCGTGGCAATACAAACAGTGCTAGACGGGCATGATGTAACGGACCAGACAGAATGATCACAAACTGCATAAGCTCCACCGCTAGTACAAACAAATTGGCCTTGTGATGAACAGGCTTGGCCGTTGGATACACAAGAGCCTGGAGAACCTGAAGGAGGACCAGGAGGAGGAAGGCCCGTTGTGGGAGTAGTTCCATAAGAAGTAGTTGTAACAGGATTTAATGTTGTTGTAGTGATAGGAGGAGATCCTGTGCCAGAATTACCCTTGACTAATGAATAAAGACTAGAAGCAAAATTGCCATTATTCCAAGCTTGAGAGGCATCCCAAATTGAGACACCGCCATAAGAAGAGTATTGGCTGGCAAGTTGGGGTACAATTGTACTGATTGTGCTCATGGGTATGTAACCACTACCAGCAGCTGTGGAAGATCCCGGAAGTGTTAACATAACTTTGACATTTTTATTTGGAGATGTTGATGAAGCCCAGTTAGCCCAAGTAGCAAAATTAAATGACCCACCAGCTGCAGAGCAATAGTTGTTATAAAATTGAACGTTGACATAATCAAAGGCAACAGCATTAATGACTGACCCCAAAATAACATCAGGGAATGGACATTGGGGTGCAGCTCCAACTATAAACCCAGACCCAAACTTGGCTTTTGCTGCAGTAACTAAAGCTGCATAACCGGTAGAGGGACCACCTTCAATATCAAGATCGATTCCGTCAATCACGGTGTCACCGAAAGGTCGTGTCGATGAGCTACCTCCACCAAATAAGTCCCATAATGTCGTGGCAAACGTAGCGGCGTCAGAATCTCCGGAGAGACTGTAAGCCCCAGCAGCTCCACCAAGAGATAGAATCACCTTAACGCCAAGACCCTGGCACGTTCGAATATCTAGTACAAGTTAGTTAAGGCTGGGATGATGTGATATTGCAAATATTTACCGTTTCCGACAGAAGGACATGAAAGTAACTGAAGACCAGGAAAGGTGGTTTGACAAGCACCAGCTAAATTCATACCAGGAAGTCCACCCACATTGAAAACATTGAGAAAGGATAAAATAACTGCATCTGCTTGTCCAGATTGGCAGTAGTAAGACAAAGATGATTGGGTAGATCCACCACCAGCAGAATTCTATAAAAGTTATTAGAATTGGTGGAAATTGTGCAATTACAAATATCACTTACTTGACCCCAGTAGTAAAATACGTTAGGCTTACTAGTCGAATAGGCCGCCTCCACGCATATACTAGATAAGAGAGTAGCAGCAGTGATTCCAATAAAACGTAACAACATTTGAAATAAGATAATTAAGATAGTGAGACTTTTTTGATTTTACATCGTAACAAGTCAGCTTATATATAGTTGTCATTATGAGGGTAACTGTCAAAAAAATAAAGTAAGGTCCCGTTTTTAATTTCAATCTGATGATGCTTTCTGCTTACATTATAATTGTTTGCACAAAAACAAAAAACAAAAAGGACCGTACATATTATCAATCGTATTTTGAATGTATCTCCCTTCATCACCGTGTACCAATCATTTGTGTGTGTGTGTTTAAGCGATACAAATGCGCATTGTATGGGTTTCTGTCATGTGATATTATTTACTGCAGCATATTATATAATCTCCAATCATGCCATTTTTGGCAGTTTTAGTTTACAGCTATTTTGTAGTCGTTGTAAGATAAAGCTACATTGATAAAATACAATAAAGATACTATTATATAAGTCAGAATGACTGTTTCATGGCATGCGGGTTATTGGATTTCGTGTTATTGTACCATATTACGTTTGCAAAGTCACCCTTACACCACCATACATTTAAAAGAGATATAATGGAGAGGTATCACCTTTCATTTATTCTAGTAGCAACGTTATGTATACTAAAAGCAACACAATCTATATGAACTAGATGATGTATCTTACAACAAGACAATTTTTATTAGATTATATGTACACATATTTTGTTTATTTTTAAAACTCGTAATTTTTGTCACACGTAAACCAACACCCTATCATTTCCAATTCATTTCGGCCTTGAAACACACTCACACACTTTTATACCAATCACGGGATTAGAAGAGAATATATCGTATCTAAGCAGATTGTCCATTTCGAACTAACGCTAATAATGGCTAATAAATTAAATCAGATTTACATAGTTAAGCTAAATCCAATTAAGCCAATCATACATACCATTAATTTGTGTGTGTGTGTGTAAGTGTGTGTATGATTTATGGTATTGGGTGTTCCTCGGAAGAACACACAGTCATTGTTTCATAATCAGTACTCCACGATTATCAAGTAAATACTACTGATTTTTCCTTGCAACACCATTAACAAAGCCTCCTTTTTAACAAGTTTATATGACACACAACTTAAAATCATGATAATATATCCATAAAATTAGTAGAATTTTAGCAAGTACTAAATACTTATCCAACATGTTAGTAGCAACATCACATGTTTAGATACCGTTCCGAGGAATATTAAAGAAGATCACACCCACGTTAAGAATAAACAAATGCTATTGTTGACACGCAAACAGTGATGGGCATTTGATGTTTTAATTTAGAAATTTAGACAATTAGTTAAGGACAAATATAAAATTGTGAAAGAATATACAGAATTGTTTCATCTCTAAACTTTTTTTTTAAAATAACCGGTATCTACTGATAGCCAAGTTTTATTTTTTATAGTTTAGTAATGAGAACAGCTTATAAAACTACATCAAACAAAATAACCATATGGCATAATATTTGCATAAAGTAAATCAATAAAGACCCAAGCTTCTGTTCGAATAGTGTATGTAAAATTATGACCTCAATTATTGGTATATCTCGATAATAGCTTTTTTTCAAAGAAGTAATACGCAATTGGGAGCTATTGTGATTAATGATCTACTCCTGACTCGATTTGCTACAGGGTACATGGATCTTCGATTTCTCTGTCCTGTGATAGCAGCATATCTTCACGAGTTCATATATCGCATAGATATGTCAAGCATAAGCCACCTGTTTGAGGAAACAACTAAGCGCCCAACCTCTTAAACACCTCTCCGAGATTACAACACAGAAAATGCATCCTGAAAGTTAAGATTCCTGTTATAAACAGAATTGCTGTCTGGTGTATATGCTATAATTATAAGCTTTATATTTATTTGCAGCAGTCATTTATAAGCTTTTTAACGTGGTTCTTTTGTAATCAGTTTAGAGTATGTAACTAGATAAGGTGAGCATCTTTGTATTATAAATTTCATAGATATTGGGCAAATAATAACAGAAGGGATCAATAATTTACGTGATAATACTTGATGTTTGGTTCGTCTCAGTCTTTGTAAAAAAAACAACAAATACCTTTCATTTTAAGGCTACCGTTTAGAGCGATACGACCGCATTTATCATAAAACATGTGAAAGTAAGTTATGTTATTCAAAAAAACTTAAGCTAGAATTCTACTTATTACCTCTTAAATGCAAAACATATACATGTATATATGCCGTTTATATGTGATATATTAAATATTAGTAAGTTAGTATTTATTTAGAATAATATAACTAGCAAGTAAACACTATTTTATTTCATCTGCCTCTTATGATGCTGTAACATCATTAAATGTTGCTATCTCCTCATAGTAAGTTGATCAAAATGGGGTTCACTATCATGCTTTACTCTCATTGCTTTTTGAATGTTCTCTTCCGAATTTCTTTTCATACAAAATATCAAAGCGACGTTCATCTTGCCGAAGGGAGTACCATTGCTAACAATAGCTCTGGTATGAAATTGGCCAAATTCCGAGTCGTATGCAAAAGGTGTAAATTCAATAGTAAGTTCTCCTTTACCACAGCTTCGAAGGTCACATAGATACTTCATAAATGATATCTCATTAACTACTTTCAATTGACAGCAATATGTCGCTAACTTGGACGCCCATATTAAAAATTCAAAGTTGATACGTTCTTCCAAAGTAGCGATCGAAATAGTGAGCTTCTTTAAATTTCCAAAGTGTTTTAAAAGTTCTAACTCTTCATCCCCATAGAGCTTGTAGTTTGCTAAAGTAAGCGTCTTGATATTTGAAAAAATACAGGTATCTTTGACGGAGTCTCTAATCTCATCAAATGTATGTCTATTTTGTGCGTAGACAATCTCGTAAAAAATAATGTCAAGTTCCAGTAGCTGCGGTGTATCATCACCGATTAGTTTAATCACAGAAAGTAAGCTATTTGAAATTTTACCCAAGCGTAATTTTTTCAGCTGAGTAAAGTTTTTCAAGTTTGAAAAAGTGATGCTTTTGAGATGTAGTTCTGTCAGACATTCACCAAAGTAGTTGCAGGATTTCTCGTAATAGTATGGGTCTTTAAGCTGCCCGATTGAAGGGATTATTTTTTTTAATAAAAACCAGCCTCCATTGGCCGTTAGCAATCTATAGAATCGCTTCCAATCGATACAACCACATTCAAATGTTTCTACGTTAGGACATCGTAATATGATTTTCCCTAAAATTCTGTTGACTTGGTCAAGACTGCCTTGTAGTTTCAAGTGTTCAACCCATTTTCCCGGTTCGGTTACTGATTGCAGTAGCATTTTATACGTACGGCTGGGCTTATCAGCATCAACTAAAACCTGTTGAAAAACAGATGATTGAACAAGAGAGAGCCATTGTTTATTGACATACATGCAACAATATAATTGGGATTCGTCATCCCCTATTTGTTTGAAAATTAGTTTTAATATCTCGAACGGGATTATATTGATTGGAGATGTCATTTTTAATAGTTGGAAGAAAATGAAAAGAAATTCCAAGTCATTGGGTGTGATTTTTATTCTCATCAATAAATCAATACAGTGATAAACCAATACAATTATAAATCAATACTACAGTGATGAATCAACAAAGGTGTATTGACGCACGCACACATTCATAGTTAAAGTTTTATTCAGACAGGTACATATACAATACGAAGTATTTCGGCTACAATGTCAGATGGAAGATTAGCATCCATGTCTTCTTTTTCCATTTGATCGTCACGCTCATTTATAGCCAATACATGCAAACGATGACTAAACACCTTTTCTGCTGCTATTGCGACTAAGTCTGGTGTCAAATAGTCCCTTTCAAACAGCGTTGCCAGAGATCTGTAGAGAATTAATACCCGTTTACTTATAAAGTGATGTTTCTTACTTTGTCACAATGACTAAATCCTGGCTACACCTAGCTGTCAGCCCACCTTTAACTCTTGGATGTGTACGGATTCCCACAACTATGTCCCTAATATAACGTGTGATATCGATATTGACATGCACTTTGGTCGCTCTCTCTGCCAGTCCTCTAATTTCCTATGCGACATTAATATTAATAGACAGAAAAAAAATCAAAAGTCATGTAAAATTACCTCGTATTTGATCAAGGAAACCCTTCTTGGATTTAGTTGACGACTGGGTTGACTTATCGGGTGGAGAAACATATCTTCCTCAAAATTATAGCTCACAAAAAAGCGATCCATCTACATATCCATTAGCGAACTTCATAATTTAGCTTTAGCTGATAACCCTACCAACTGAGACGATATAGAAAGACGATTGTATCCTTGGGGTAACACAGAAATAACCAAAAAGCATGGCTTTGGTACATTGTATCGGACATTGGATATTCTTAATTCTTTGGTAACAATCAATTCCAACAACAGAGCCTGTATTGATTCGTTCGCTGAATCTAATCCTTGCATAATCAATGTCTGTGCAATTCTGGTTGATGCAACTGTATTATTATAAGACCTTTTCGTATCCTCATGTTCTGACCATCGTGACTTTTCTCGTTTATGACCGTTAAATTCCTTTTGCGTTGTCGAATTGGTATACATAGGCGTGGAAGCATTCGTTCGTGATATGATAAATGGTGGTCTATCCCTCTTTTTCAAATTAAAATCCACTGGACTAATTGGTGTCATATGGTCTTCATCTGGCAACAAAGGGAACTAAAATATTATAAGACGAAGCTCTACGTATGCCTATTTTTTTTTGTACCTTTATGCTCGTATTACGACTTCCAGTCACTTGATTATTGCTGACCTGGGACCTTTCGGAGGTTCTTGAATCCAAAGTTTGAATAGAGCGACTTGCTTTATGAGAATGCATGGCAGCTTCATGAGTCTTGTTTTTTAGTGGGCCTGAAGTCGCATTTAAACGGTCTATTGAATTTTCAGAATCTTCCCGGGTGCTGAATAATGTATCGACTAGATCCGACCTTGTTTGGTGTTCGTGACATGTCATTTTTGCTGTAGTAAATCCGAACAAACATCTGCTAACCTGATTTAATTAAGTGAATATAAAGTGATTCTTGTTGAGTGGTTTGTCAATTACCTGAGAAGCCATTTGAGTTACTTCAGCTAATCGATCAGGGGGAGCAGTTAATATTAAATGTTTGTCCCGGCCCGAGATTAAACATAAAAGAATTGAAATGAATAAATCTTGGTTAAAAGCAAAGCCAGCTTGCTTTTTTAGAACTGCCATTCGAGTCTTAATCCATTCTTTCGAATCTTGCGACATGTTTGTACAGCAAAGAAAAAGACATACATTACTGGACATTGGGGCCAATTATACTTCCGCAAAATCATATGCGTGTAACCTTATGACAAAGACGTAAAATTAAATGTCCTTCCATACAAACTATCTCCTCTGGTAACATGGCTAAGCTTCTTTCGAAAATAATGAAATTATGTCAAATCAATGAAAAAACAACTATATAATCTCAACTTTAAATTATTAAGATACATAGGAAGTAACAGCAGCTCAACATCCGAAAAAGCAAAGTTTTAAATTTATCATGTTATTGAGTCTTGTTTATGAGATTTCAAAAGATCTACTCCCAAGATTTTATAAGATACAATAATAAAATGCATCAATTGAGTACAGCTGGCTTAAAGCTGCAATAAAAATCGGCTGAAACCTGTTTTATAAAGGGCTAATTTAAAAATAGCTTCGAGAATTTTTCTCACCTTCCGTTCTCCCTTGTCAATAATGATTCCTTAATATTGTGATATCCCTTCTAACTCCTCGTTACAATCATCGTCTTCGTAAGACTGAAGGCATCCTATATATCATTGTTCCTTCCCCCTGCAAGATATATCCCTTCACAAACTCATCAGCACGGATTTTCATCAAATAAATGGATTTCCATCTACTCTATTTTTTTATGAATTCCGTTAAATAACTTAGTGCTGTTTAAAAGTCAAACGATTTAGTCAATAGTATAAGCTAAGAAGATAACACTTGTCCAAAAATAAAAAATAAAAACTCTTGAAATACACCCATGGCTAGCAAAACAAGGCTTGAATCTCAAGATAGATAATTTACTGTTATACCACACCTTCTATTCACGTTAATATTGCACTCGTCTGTATTAATCCTACTGAGTTACTCACATCTTAATGTTCATTAATGTACTTTGGCTATAGGTGTCTCCCGTATTTTCCAATATATGTATACATATTAAAACTAAACTGCGCCAAAACCATTTGTTTTATCACATGTTAGATATTTACATCAAAGGACTACTATATTTTTATGAAGATATTTCTTCAATAGTTATAATGAACTTCCCTATTAAATTAGTATTAGCCGTGTGCTTAAAAAAAAGTATGTAAATTGGCGCGGGAGGGCTTGCTCATGTCACACAGCGGAATACACACAACAAAAATGAAAACCATCAAGTTTATTAATAGTTTTTTTTAATATGCAGTAGTTTATAAACACATGATGGGGGAATGAAAATGTAAATTTATCTAGTGGAAGGGAGATTGAGCTCTATATTGGCCTGGAGGAGGGGTATGATAGCCCATCATCGGAGGTGGTGTTGCGTATCCCCCTTGATAAGGTAAATTGAACGCAGGTGATCCCCCTCTGACTGATTGAGGTTGTTGCATCATTAGAGGTTGACTTGTCGAGGTATTGTATTGTGGCCTACTGACATAGCTTTGCTGACTATAATATGTACCTTGGCTATATCCTGATTTTTGAGATCCATGTGACCCGACTGAAGCATTATCATCATGATAGTATAAACCACCATCATCATCATACAAACTCTTCTCATACTCATCCCAAGTCATCAGCGGTATAGATTTGCGGTCAAACTTTCCTTCATCAGCCATGACTAGCTTCTTACCCTTGTCTCCCATTACAACACGCGTGTTACCCCAAGAGAAATCGTCAAAATGCCAGTATGAGTAAATAGGAATTAAGAAAGAAAAGACAGGAATAGCAAATATAGATACAATCATCCAAATGATGTGTTCCCATTTTCTGTGCAACAGGAAAATAACTGCTTGAAGACCATACACACCAGCTATAGTAATAATCGACATTACAGGAACACCTGAGGTAGATGTCGCCAAGGTATAAATAAGATAGACAAGATAACCTACAATAGCAGGCTGAACCAAAGTACTGAATAAATCGAGCATAACCACGAATCTCATAGAGAAACAGCAGAAACCACAAAGTTGTGGTAAAAACACAAGCTCACCCAAGTTATGAATAGTTGAGTTGATCCATCGACGACGTTGGGAAAGCAGGACACTCCATTGATCCGGAGCATTTGTAGCACACTTAGCATCAGAGACAAACTTTGTCTTGTAATTGGGAAAATGTTTCAAGATAAGTGTAGTCAAGTACCGATCTTCACCTAAATGGAGCAGATTCTTTTTGTGCAAAGTATCAACCTTATTGATTGAATAGTCTTCCAGGATCTGATTTGATATTAACAAGGGCTGATTCTTCAACGGAGCCCGAATACGATACATACAGAAACAACCAGGTAAACAAGTGACAGATCCAAACAGAGATTCAAATGCTTTGATAAGATAATGGGAAATAAAGTATTCGTAAACTTGGATCATAGTGACCCAACTATCTTTTTCATTTGACAGCACAGTTTCACCACACAAACCAATAATTTTTGCATCATGAGCAAAGACAGATACCATACGATTGAGACCGTCAGCCATTACTTCGGTATCTGCATCCACCATTAAAACGTACTCGTAAAAGCTGGGGTTAACACCGATTACATTTTTGATTTGGTGGTACAATTCCAATTCCATTGGGGTCATGGCGCTATTGAAATGTACCTTATTCAAAAAGCTCATCAAGATCAATTGACTGTCACGTTTACCACGGTTACCAGGTTTCTGTCTTTCAGAAGGCTTACCAACTTTTGATACCACAATATATGGCACAACATGACCACGACATTCGTATAGACCCGAATAAATTTTGCCCATGTTATGTTGTTTTTGTCCTTCTCCTACCGAAAAGAAAGACAGAGCTTCGGGGTCTGTATTCGAATCAACACCCAAAATGTCCAATACGATACGTGAAGTAGGACGATCATTACCACCACCGATAACCATACCGTCACAAATCAAGAACAGTAACTTACGCTTATCATCATACTGCAATGAACCAATTGAATCAATGGTTTTTTTCAATTCCTCTTCTCCTTCTGTATAGCAAGGCACTTGACAAATCACAAACTTTTCATGCTTTTCTGGTTCACGACGTGTACGGAATTGAAGGGCGGCCAAAAATTTAAACACGATGATGGCGCAAAGAAACACGGTAACAATTAACAACAAATATTCTGCAAACAAACACCTGGCGGAGTTACGTTGATCTACAGCACCTGCATAATACAAATTTCTCAAACAAACTTGTTGACGTAACTTAATATCGTCTGCCAAAGGTAATGCGTTCCAACTTTCAGTAATATCTTGACCTGCTTTTTGCGTAAATAATGTCACAATTGAATTATCTAAAAAGTTTAATTCGCCAGCATCGGGTGTAGGTTGACCATCGGGAACATCGAATCGTCGACCGCCCAATACGTAATACGTAATATCGAAAATGTTGTTGTTTAAAATAACCCATTGACGAGGAGTCTTAATGCCGGACATGTCCTTGGGATTTATTGCCTGTTGATTGATTTCTTGAGGGCTGTAACCCATGGACCCTTTTTTATAGTTCTTTCTTAAATAAGTCATTTGCTCAAAATACCAGTCAGGACGAGGATCCCCACTGTTTGGTAAAAAGTTGTGGTAGCGGGCATTGGAATCCGTTAAATTTGGGTTAAAGTCCAACGAGACATAAGGTGAAACGGTACCAGAAACACCTTGGCACAAAGCAGATACCTGCACGGGAAAGAGCGCAGAGGCATCTTTTCCTCCGTATTCCAAGACAGCCGATTGAGGAATGACAAGACTAGCCCAATGATGGGGAGCGAAGCTGGTCAAGTCGAATACTTCACCACGAATTGTGACATAGGCATTATCAGGTGTTGAATGACTTGCAAGTTCTGATGTTGAGAACACATTTTCATGAGGACAAACCAATCTACCGAAAAATACCAAGAACCAAATAATAAAAGCAGATGTCAATAAAATACAAAGGCAAAGTGTCATTTTTTCTCGCCATGCAATTTGAATATCCGGACGTTTCATTTTACCACACCAAAGTAAAAACGGGGTTGGAATCCACCATGTCATGAACCAAACAAAGTTCAGCCAGTGGCGACGAGCCGGAGATAACTGTTCTACATCTTCTTCAGGTGCTTCTTCTTCAACAACTGCTGTGGTAATCATTTGTTTCATCTCGTTTGTAGCAGGCTGTTTGCCATAAATCTCGGATCCATATTGCGAATCTGTTTCGTAATGACTGCTTTGTTGATCAGGTTGGTGATATTCATCTTCTGAAAGGAAAGACCTTTGATCATCTGTATAAACAGAGCCTCCAGCTGCGGTTTTGGGTATAGGGAGACCAGCCATAGTAGCCACCATAGCGGCATTTTTGTTATCCAAAGAATAATCTGCCTTTGGCAACAAAAATTCTGTATTCGAACCAAACGACAAATTTGACAAAGAATCCGAACTATGATCTCTATCCATGTGAATCATGGGAGCGGCCAAAGTAGCCATATTTTCATGAACTCGCTTTTCTTCCTTTTGTTTCTTTTGATCTTCTTTTTCGACTGAGCGTAACCCATCTTCTAAAAATTGCCAAACAGTTTCATTTAGAAATATCTAATTTTAAACAATCAGCCAGGGCAGTCTTATTACTTGTTTTATTTTTACCTTTGTAGAACCCAGGGCAGCTTGTTCAGTCGACCAGTTGAAAGCACCTATAGCAGCCTCACATTGGTCTTTCGCATCGCCCGTAAATTTATCCACCCCCTTTTCATTAAGTATATTTATATAACGGTCTAAAAATTCGTCGTGGAAGAAGCTTGTGGTATAATGGACTGCCAAACGTTGACATATATGAGGGATACCAAATGCTCGTATCTGAGATCGAACGCGGTTAGTATCAAACTGATTTGGTGCCGCATCATCATTTGGCCTAATGCATAAAATAAACCAAGGAACAGTTTCATCTAAAGTTGTAATCAAATCGTCCAGGGCTGTATTCAATTGAGATAATAACATGGAAACGTTTCGTTTAGGCGTAGTTGGCTCATCCAAGATTGGTTCTAAGGTGCTTCTTCGACGTTTTGTCGTTTTTGTCCTACGCATGGAAGGTCCACGTAACGGACCACTGGGTTGTTGTGCACTCATGATAGCATCGGTTTGCTTTGGATGGTTTTCGGTTCGAACATTATTATCAGCAAACAATTCCAAAGCGAAACTGTTGTATGAGGCTGGAGCTGTTTCACTTCCTCGAATTAGTTGTACTAAATCAGCATTTAAATTATCTCTGTTAGACTCGAGGAAATGTGTGGGACTGTATGCGACTTGTCCTGCAAAATGTTGAATAGCGAAAAGCCGTTGACCTGTGTCTGCCGATTTAAAGCTAAATGATGCATGATTGCTGTTGTATTTTCCAAAAGTATCCAGCATGCTAAGATCGGTTGATGTAGATAATTTGGCGTGATGGTTGATTATATCTAATAAACCATGTTTGGGTCTTGTTAACAAGTCTACACAAGCTTGGTTATTGAAATAAGGCACATCCGCCACATTCAAACCCTCTTGACGGTATTCCTCGATATCCATTTCAAAAATTGAACGTTGACAAAAGTTTTGTAAACGCTCATCGGCCAAATTAACACAAAACGAGTTAAAATCCATGTTATTGAGTCTAGGCCCTGGTAGATCCAAAATGCCTATAAAATTATGCACAGCATCACAGCATAATTTATTATTCATGTATTCTACCAGCCAAGTGAATAACAAAGAATACAAAGCCTTCACGATATCGTCACGTTGTTTACAGGCACCAACCGAGTCCAAAATAAGGGTTGTTACGTCTTTTTTAATCAGTTGTGTCTTGTAGGTCAATACATTTTCCAAGGCTCTGGGATCTACACCTAAGAAATCCGCACATAACTCTAATGTAGCTGAATTCTTGACAAATGCAGCTTCTTGGATGGTTGGATCGTCTATAAATTCCAATTGACCCAGATGTAATAAACAAGAAAGGAATTGCCAGATACGAGCCTGGTACTTCTTGTTGATACCTAATGTTCGCATTGCTCCTTTCAGGTTCTTAAACTGGTTAGACTCACCACCGGAAGCGGCCATATTTCTAGGAACATATTTGTAGACCGTATCATCCCCACCGAGTTGTAATATAGATTTTTCTTCTGCAGAAGTCCCACCCAATAACTGATAAAAGACATGAAAAGTTTGCTCGTTTCCAGGACATTGCGTTACACGGGTTTTGTCCAATAAATAATTAAGCAGCTTTGCACCGACCATCCGACCTCGTTCATTAAATTGCAACTCCAAATACTTTCCAAATCTAGAAGCATTTACGTTTAAACCTGTACGCGCATTACCGAATGCCTCCAGGACTACTTGAATATTGGCTATTTGAGCTTGAAGTTTGGTTTCCTTCTTTTGGGAGGATAAATGAACAAGATGATCCAGGACAAATTTAAAAGTTTCAGTCTTTCCACTACCTGATTCACCACTAAAAATATGAAGTAAAATATGTTTAATCTTTTGTTTTTGTTTTTAAGTCTCCCGATGCCCCCCTTTATCTTTGTTGTTGATTTTTTTAGCCCCTCTCCCTTCTGTAATTAACTTACTTTAGTATCAAAGATTGATCAATGCCTGTACGCCTCATATGTAAGTAAGCTTGATTTGTCAGTTTGAATATATGAGCTGGCAATGGCTCCAATAATTCAGATCCTGTATCTTTGTATTCGGCGACGTACTGGATGCTTTGCAATGGTAGTGTCTTGTACGGGTTGATAGCCACAAGAGCGGAATCACCGATTCGAGAGTATATGACATTATTTTGAAAAGCAGACTTTAAACAAGCGGTCAATTCATCTTCTGTATGTTGCGACAACTGCGATAAGTCGTACTTATTCTTTGTCATTCTAATGATGATGATAAAGAAAAAGAAAGTTTAAAAAAAGAAAATAAAAAAGGATAAATAGGGGATGAAGAGGAAACGAAATTTTTATGTAAGTATTAAAAAGGGGTGAAAAATGATTGGATTATTAAAATCTGACTTTTCTCTTCCGACCAGTGAACTTGGAATCATTGGCAACGATCTTGTCACCTCTGTCCCTAGCAACCTTCTTTTTATTGTTGATCCAATCTTTGCCTTTAATGGCAGTACGGTTAGACTTTCTCTTCTTTTGCATATGTTTACGCTTTTCATATTGAATGGATTTCTCTTCGTCAGGATGCATTTCACCGTCTTCACCCAAAGCTTTAGGCATTTGATTCTTTTTACCGGATTGTACACCAGCAAATAAACAGAGGTAATATTTCTTTGCCTTTTTAGAATTGGGGTAATCAACTAAAAGACCACCTTCAAAACCACACTTTGTTGCAACATCGATAATCAATTGAATTTGATCGTCATTTTCAGGATAAAATTGGAATACAGCTCTTGCTCCTTTATCCAACGCAGCATATAATGTTGTAAAGAATCTTTGAATTCTGGCTTTTGGTCTATTGATAGTCTTATCTGCATTACAAAGCCATTGAAGCACAGAAACACTAATGCAGCCATCGAATGTACCAGGTCTAAATGCCATACCTTGACCAGCATCTTGTAAGAACAAATCGCCTTCTACTTCTCTTTCATTGGCTACATCCAACATGGCAGGTGAAATATCCATTCCTACCCATGTGTGACCCTCTTCTTCTAAAATCTCGCCACTAAGTCCAGATCCACAACCAATATCAAGCAAATACTTGGGTCCTTCTGTCAAGTTTAATAATTCAAGTGCCCGATAAGCCATCTCGGCTTGAATAGCTGTGATACGAGAGCTAGCAGAAATAGCATCAATTATCATGTTTTATCTGCTGTCAACTATTCAATAATCTTTTCTACCTACTTGTCGGTATACTTTCTGGCTTCGTCGTCGCCATAAAACTATACAAAGAGATATTTAGTTTCGCTATTAAAGTTTGTTTCTCTGCCCTTACAATTTCTGGAGGTGCGATATGTTCAGGACGAGACATCTTTTCTATGACACTCTAAATAAAAAATAAAGGTATAAAAGAAAGAAAGAAAGAAAGAAAGAAAAAAAAAAAAAGTATTGTGACTAGTGTCCTGCGAGGACCTTGGCCCCCCGCCGAATTAGGCCAGTTGAAAGGTGGCTTTGATTATTGAGAGATCCGGACTTTATTGGTGCCTTGCGTGGATTTTTATAAACTAGGGTCCTTTTTAACAAATAATAAAATGTTGCATTTACTTGGTGTCAATTTACCTGATAGAAAGATTGTTAGGTAACTGGCAAGCCTTAAAAAACAGAACCCCCTAAAGTATTAACACGAAAAAAAACAGCACAGCACTTCAATATTTCTATGGTATTGGAGAACCCACCGCCATTAAATTATGTCAAAAGTTAGCCATCCCCGAAACAACAAAGGTCGTTGAATTAAGTGAAGCTCAAGTCAATGAATTAACAAACACCTTGGCCAACATGACCATTGAAACTGATTTAAAGAGACAAGTGAGAGAACAAGTCATGCATCATCGTAATATCAACAATTATGTCGGAAGAAGACATGCCATGAGTTTACCTGTTCGTGGACAAAGAACTAGAAATAACGCAAAGAACGCAAAGAAATTGAACGGAAGATGGGTTCAACGTAGAGGAATGTCAATGTAAGTTTTCTTGATAAAAAAAAAGAAGGTGTTTTATGAGGCTAATAAATAAAATTCTAATATAGGTGGACACAAATGCAACAAGGTCCTTTGAACAACTTTTTAGAAAAGTTCAACATGTAGTAATAATAATAAAAGAAAAAAATGTATGTAATAGATGTGTAAAATAAGGGGTATTATTAGTCTTGTTGACCACCATTACAAGTTATGAAGCGAACAAAATTTCTCCAAAAACCATGCTCTTTATGTGGTTTTTGTGGTTTAGAAGGATCCGTGAGGGGTACGTAAGCAGGTGTACTAGGCATATCTGTAGTGGTTTTGTTAATAGCAGTTGGTTTTGGTTTCTTTTGAGGTTTGGGATTTGATCTTCTAGCACGAGCTTCTTTTAATTGTTTGAACCGATTCTATTTTTAATATATGAGTATTTTAATAAGCAAATTTAGATATTTTAAAAAAAAATTTACCTCCCAGCCTTTGCCATCATTTAGTAATGTCCAATCATAGATTTTATCGTCTGTTTCTCCTTGTCTCTCCAGTACTTTATCAAATAATTCTCTTAGGAAATCATAGTCTGGCTTCTCTTCAAAGCCTAGTTTTCGAACATATTGAAGATAGATGCCAAACTCTTCAGGAAATTCACCACATAAATCCTTCACGACCGTAGATTGTTTCTTTTCGCCAATCTTTTCATATTTTTGTTTATTGGTGGCCGCTTTCAATCCTTGCCATGGCAGGGAGCCTCTCAAAAAGTACATGAATACATGACCTAGAGCTTCTAAATCATCACGTCTTGATTGTTCTAAGGAGGTTTTTAAGTATATACAATAATATATAGAGAATAGGAGGGGAGACTTATTTTACCTCTTCCTAAATGCGTATTAATACTCATGTAACGTGCAGTACCAGATAAACTCCTGCGTTCTCTATATGGAATATGCTTCTTTGTCCTTGGATCACGATATAGTTTAGCCATACCATAATCGACAAGAAACACCATATTGGCATATTTCGTACCAGGTCGTCCAATCAAGAAATTGTCGGGCTTAATATCTCGATAGATCAAATTACGTTCATGAACACTTTGAACGCGAGAGATCTATAATTAAGTTTTTGAGTTTTAAATAAGACTCCCCTTCTCATCTTATTGCTAAGGTTACCATCTGCTTTGCCACCATGGCAACCGTCTTAATGGTCAGCTTACGGGAGCACAAGTCGAATAAATCTTCGAGACTTGGGCCTAATAAATCAATCACTAATACATTATGAAGTCCTTCATGGCCAAAATAATAAGCACTTGGCACTCCTGCTATATATTTTTGCAATTGGAGATTAGATTTTTTATTTATTTTTGTATGCTTGTTGCAAAAGGTTTTTACTTACAGGTTCCTGCAAGAATTTTGTAGGTTCTATATTCATCTCTCAATTGAGGTACTTCTGACTTTCTTGGTTCAAACTTTATGGCAACCGATTGATTGTTTAATAAATTCAAACCTTCATAAATCACACCAAAACTACCTTCACCCAATTTCTTTCCCACTTGGTAGTGAGAGCCAATAATTGTGCTGGCGTTAGAGCTATTACTATGACTACTGGATTTATCCGCCTGTGTCTTTTCCATTTTTTTTTTTTTTTTTTTTTTGCAAGAAAAATAAAAAGAGAAAAAGGAAAAAAAAAGGGAACCGCTTTTTTTTTTCACGGGTGTAATAGAAGAGGAGTTCAAATTACATTTTAAAAGGGTTGTGTCAGGCCATTAAATCATAAAAAAAAGGGATACTTGTCGTCATCATTCATGTTGTCTTAATATGTTTAGGAAAAATAAATGTGATCAATAAAAACTGTGCTGTCAAATCACAATTACAATTTTTTTTCTTTTGTACGGAAAATAATTTACTTCAATGCTGATACAGTTCATTGGAATAGTCATTGGAACCCTAACTCTATGTCAAGCAGAGCTTCATCGGTATGAATTCAATGTAACTTCCGGCTCTGTCAATCCTGATTGTTTTGAGAAGGGTGTGGTTGTTCCTCATATTAACGGTCAATTCCCCGGCCCAACAATTCATGCTCAAGTAGGCGATGAACTGGAAATTCTTGTCCGAAATCAATTAGAAAGCTACAACACAAGTATTCATTATCATGGTATTCGACAAATCGGATCTGCAGAATCGGATGGTGTACCTGGTGTAACACAACACCCAATCAGTCCAGGAGATTCTTACCTACAACGGTTCAAGGTAACACAACAGGCGGGTACTTATTTCTACCATGCACATGTTGGATTACAAGATGACTCTGTTCAAGGCTCATTTATTGTTTACGAGTCCGATACTGCTAACCCTAAAAAAGTAGCCCCTAACACTTTATTGAAAGCTGGTCCTTATGAATATAAAAAAGATATCTTACTTCAATTGAGCGAATGGTGGCACGAAGAATTAGACAGTAGACAGGATTATTACACCAGTAAAAAATTCACCTATGATCATGGTTCCGATAGTATTTTAATCAACGGTCGTACAGTCCACGACCCAACTGCCAATTCGGAAAAAAGTTGCCAAGGTTATACAACGTTTGATGTAGAACCAAATACTACTTACAGGTTAAGAGTAATTGGTGCTAATTCATTCAGAACATTGGCTCTGGCTATTAAGGAACACAATATGACAATGATCGAAGTGGACGGAGAATTAGTTCACCCTTATGATACTTCTTTCCTAGAAATTACTCCCGGTCAAAGATTTTCGGTATTGCTCAAAACTGCCGATCACCCTCCAGGAACTACCTTTGCTATCGGTACCAGCTACCTTTGGCGCCAACGGGGTCGTGGTATTACTGAAAATGGTTTTGGTTATATTCGTTATGTTCGTCCAGAAGATGTTACAGATGAGAATAATTCTTTCTTGTTTAAACCCATCAGAAAATGGGCCAACAACAAGCATAATTTTAACAAAGAGGGCAATTTCAACAAAAGAGCGGAGTGGTTGGGCGCTGAGCGTGCTGCTGTTGATCATAGTCCAAAGGCTGATGCTGGTTCTGAACACAAGGGAGGTAATCATGGGGCTGATGAACACAGTGGTGGTGAACAAAAAGATGATGGTCATAAAAAAGGTGACCGTGCTAACGGTGAGCATAAAGGCAAAGAAGGCAAAGAAGGCGGAGGAGGTCGCCCTGGAGGTGGTGGTGGTGGTGGTGGTGGGCGACCCAAAAAAGTTGTCAAGACGTACGTTGATTTACCTACTTTCCCCAAGATGGATGAGCCTGACTGGGTTTGGCGTCAATTAATCCCCTTGGCAGAACGTGACCCTATTCTTGATGAAACCGATGTTCGTACAATTAAGCTTCACACTACAAGTGTAAAGTTGGCCGATAATACGACTCATTACCTGATCAACCAACGGTTTGCTCCTATGCCAGCATTACCACTTGTCAGCAATTTTCAATCACTTGGTGCAGCCAATTACTCTGACGACGATCAACAGTTTAATAGTGTCCTTAATACATACCATGTATCACATAATGAAGTTGTTGATTTCGTCTTTCAGAATACAAAGAATGCAATCGGGGGATGCCTTTTACACCCTTGGCATACACATGGCCACTCTCATTACGTGATTGCTTCTGGAGTCGGTAGTTATGAACATGATCTCGATAAAGATATTCGTAATTTTGAGCATCCATTGCTAAAAGACACCACTGTCGCTTACCCTTCTATACCTTCTAATGATACTGACGGCTGTGGATGGACTAAAGTCCGAATTATTGCTGTAAGTTTTCTATTGATATATCCATACCATGTACTAACTCTTTAAATTTAAGGATAACCCTGGGTTTTGGGCAATCCATTGTCATATTACCACGCATATGATTCAAGGAAAGATGATCATCCTTGAAGAGGCACCTGAATTAATTTCAGAACATAGTCTTTATGCAAGACTAGATTAAATAAATTATAAAAAAAAACCTTTTTTTTTTTCATTTTATTTTTACACTAAAATAAATCTAATCTTCATCCATGGCATCGCCGTTCTTTTTTTGCTTGGCTTGTTCACCAATAGCTATTAAGAAGGACTCGACACTATTTCCAGCAGAAGGGTCTAAACCAAGTTGAGACAACAAAGGTCCCAACTGCCCAGTAGCAAGAGCTGCGCTGAGACTTTGTAAAGCTTGACTGAATTGAGGACTTTTCACAACTTGTCGAACTTCTTCGGCAGATCTTTCGGACTCCTCAGGCAAAAAAGGGAATAATGATGCACAAATCTCTGGGTCATTTAATAAAGGTGTCAATGACTGTGAGGTTAAAACATCACTTAATGAAATCGGTGCTGATCCCTCTAACATTTTTTTTTTTCAAAAATTAGCGCTTAGGCATTTTCCCCACTTTCCAAGATAGTAACTTACCAGCGGGTCTAATATTAGCAAGCATTTGGCGAAGTTGATCCAATTGTTCAGTGGATTGTTGATTGTTGCTGGGAGCAGCAGTAGCAGCAGTAGCAGCAGGTGCAGGCTGAACGGCAGGTGCAGGAGCAGCAACAGGTGCAGAGACAACGGGTGTTTCTGTCACAGCGGGGGTTGAAGTGATGTTGGCGGGAGGTGTAGTGGCTTCATCATCGTCATCATCATCATCTTGTGTATCAGCAGATCTATGAATACTCTTTTAATCAAATCATGATAATTACCATTACAAGTGCACCAAACTTACCCGTTCATACTATTGAGAAACTGTAAGAGGTTTTCAGGAGTCAAGTTGGGATCTGTAGAAATATAAACTGTTAATATACACACAGAGAGAGAGATATAACTTCTTTAATTTACCTTGGTTTTCTACACCGTTTAAAAGGCGCATGAGTTCAGCATGAGAAGTGGATTCATCCAATTCAGAAGAAGCATTCATGTTACTCTCAGGATCGCGAATGAGTTCATTGACACGTTCGACAAGTTCTTGATCCTTTTCATCGTTTTTACTTTGTAACCAATAGAAATGACTTTCATTAGATGTTTTGAATTTCAAGACATAAACACGACCTGTTGTGCACTGAGTTACTGCTTTAAATTCTGCCTCGTCAGGAAAGATAATCATGTTCTAATAACCTGTATAAGTCCTCCTTTCTTTTTCGCTTTGCGTATATTTTTTAAAAGTGCTTACGTCTTCAGGAGTAGCTTGATTTTTACGTTCCTTCCAGTACAAGTGTAATAATTGATCATCACCCTACAGAAATGCCATGAATACACACATTGTTGATTCAACCATTATAATCCTTTACCTGATCCATATAAAGTTTACTACGCTCAAAGGTTAGTAAAAGGCGAGAATTTTGACCCAAAAAACTAAAAACTTACCCCTTTCTTAAATCGGGTTTAATCCAGGTGCCTTCGACAATACATTTACCGGCATTGAACTCAACCAAGTGAGTCTCTGTAGGAGCTGTAGCGAATAAACTCATTTTCCTTATAAAAGTGTTGATATATACAAAGAAAATAAATAAAAAAGAGGTGGTTTAGGAATTTAGCTTTTACTTTAAAAATTAGGACTACTGAAAATTCTTTCGGACAGACAAATATATGTCGGACGAGCAGTATCCTGAGTGGCAGTGGCGTTTTGAGAAACAATCTTAGCTTGAAGTTTCAATATGTATACCAGCGAAACATTGTCCAACTGCGACAAAGGCTGTTTGAGTTGATTACGTTCTTAGCTTTAAATATGTCAACAGTCCAACTTTCAGTACAAGCAATCACATTATTGAGCTCCTTCAAGATTAAACTTTTCTTGGTGGCCGTGATTGCTCCTTTTTGTATACAAGATTACTTGTCATTGACAAAAAAAAAGAATGTATACTACTGATGTCAAAAAGATATCTATTGTCTATTATTAGGATAAAAGCATTATATTGCATCTTTAATAGGACCCTTGCTCTCCGCATTTCTTCTTATACTAAGGGTCTGTAAAATTTATGATGAGCATATTAGTATTATTTATTATGATCAAGTCAAAGGAAAAAAGAGAAAAAAATATAATTTATTTATTTTTTATGATATAAACTATGCTAATAAGTGCTTCTCCTAGTTCCCAGCATAAAATAGCTGGTTAACAGGCCAGACCACGAGAAGGTGGAAGCACATCCTGGCCCAAAAAGTAAATTCCGATAAACCATCTTCAATACAGAACCTGATAATCCTACATGCCACCTACCCACAATGCGCAACATAAGAATCACCAGGACCAAATACCCCCTACACCATGTTGGGGTGGTGCTTTTTACCCTGGCAGTAGAATCGTAGCAACCGCACCTGGACGAGTATTGGCTTTAAGGTTAACATTCCGTGTAGATGAGGTAACTGTCCAACAGGATGCCAATCTATGGCTGCCTATAGAATGCAATATCTCTAGCGTAGACGTAAACAAGGCAAAGCACTTACAAGATGCATTCGGGTACTAAACTTCCTACTGTCATCAGATCCCGACCAAATATAACAACCCACACCAATTCCAATGACCAAGAACGTATCGACTGGCTTCAAACGGCTACGACCATCCCACCGTCTAGTAACACGCTCTATATTCACCCTCCACCAAGCAACGGGTGTGGCACTAGTTTTAGTAAGAAGTTCCTGGAACAAAAGGCGACAAGCCCCAGTCAGATTGTTGTACTGAAATCCGAATGAAGCGATACAGACAACGACCAAGGCCATTGCCTAGCGACTTTGACAACCAGCAGACTCCTCAATGTAATCTTTTTAGGGATTACTACGGCCTTTGGAACACTGCCCGATCTGTAATGAAGTGGATAGATTTAACGGAAAACGAACAGAGTCGATAGTGTCATTCTTGTGCCGAGCCATGCTAACTTCTCTGTTCTAATGTTTAAAAAAGAATAAAAAGATAAAGGACGTTTTTTTCGCAGAAGTCTCCCTTTTATACCAAAAAAAAATTTTTTTTTGTTTACTTTGTTGATTTTGTCTAGGCTACTTTTACAAACTTGATTTTTTTTTCATTACTTTTTAAACATATGTGTCATCCTTTGAATAATCCGTGAAATTCTCATCACATCCGTGTGCATATCATAGTTACTTTCTTCATTGGATGTTGAGAAAATGAGCATTGAAGTTTTGCTTTATCATGGGAGATGTTCTTTTTGTGCACAGATTAAAAAAAAAGATCGGCAAGATTAAACAATCTTTCACATGATTCCTTCAGCCCGTGTCCTCTTCATGATAAATTAAGTGTTTGAAACTAATTAAGGCCACGCCTATAGTTACATCGATCGAGTGCGGAGAACGCTTTTGCATCCATGCTACTCTTTATGATATCATCTTCCAATATATTTTTTAAAAGGTATACTAGCGTAAATAGCGCCTCTCTAAGACGATGGGAAATCTATCGGAAACCTACTACTTATATAAGCATTCAGGTATCTCGCTGGAGATCTCTCGATTTATTAAATAACAATATGACCCCAAAATCCTACATCTAAATAATCTTACAGGTTTAACACTCTAAACGGAAGGTCCGATTTGACTAAAGTTTAGGTTACAAGATGTTACATAATTCTAAGAGTAATTTTTATAACTATCCTCTGACCAAAACAGTGACACTGTATCTGAATTCAATGAACTGTTTTATCTTTCCCTTCAAAATTTGTCAACGTGGGTGTATAGTCGGTTGTGCTGAAATATTCAGCTAATGTTGATAAAATGAAATATCACTTTCTACTGCGATAATATAACTATCAAAGAAGCTAAAGTCTACTAAAAATAATTCTGCTGGTTTGAGGTAAACATTACATTACTGAGCCAGAACAATCTATTATGATTCCGCACATCAATATTTGATCTTGTCATATGATGTTATATGTTTTATTGACTAATATTGACATCATGTACTTTACAAGATTTTCTATTCTCACCTGTACGCTGATGTTTATCTGTATGCTTGTTTTCATGAAGAGTTATCCACTTCATTTATCTTTTATGGTATTTCTATATACTTCGTATAAAGTGATGTCGCAACGCACTGTATTGCTCATGTCCTTTTTTTTTTTTTTTTTTTTTTTTTTTTCTTCCTTAAACCAAAAAAAAAACATCGCAACTGACTTCCGACAAGCGTTTCAGCCTTAAATCAGTTTAATTATGGACTGTGTAAATAAAAAATGAGCCGCATGAAGGTTATGTATTATTTTAAAGGTATTTATACTTCGTTCTCTCATCCTTATTTTCAACTTATACTATTACTCTTCTTAATATGCAAACCTTTACAGACTTCTTCAAATCTTCCTAACTATATAAATATCATCAAATCTTCCCAAGACTCTGCAAACCTATAGTCTATTTCAAAGCACGTAACTCTTGTCAAGTCTCTCTAAAGGTTATCCAAAGCCTCTGAAACTCTAAAACCCTCGTCAAATATTCTCATCTTGTGTCAAGCCTCTTCAAAGCTCCCCTTCAAGACTCTGCAAATCTCTCAAACTGGCGTCAAGCCTCTTCAAAACTCCCCTCCAAGACTCTGCAAATCTCTCAAACTGGCGTCAAGGCTATGCTATCTTAACTTCATCTAAAGTTCCAAGGATTTGAGGCAGCTGTTCTACTTCTGGTCTTCTTTTATTCACGGTACAGTATAAGCTAGTGGCCTAGTGTGGCTAAATCCGGTGAGAGCTTGTAGCTGTAGTCACGATTTAGATATGTGCTCCAGGGCTTAGGAGGCTAACAATCCGTTAGTGTAGGCAAAGATCCCCTGGTGGTAGTCTCCACATAGTTACGATTATAATATTCCCTGCGAATGGGGAATACCCTGCGAACTGGGGTTAAGTTTAATGAGTAATTTTTTTTAGAACAGCTTGTCTTTTTCTCCTCTGGTTCTTGGTGACTCTCGGATGGTCTCTTTATTTCGCCTTATTCCATACAAAACTTTTCCCATCTTTTATTTTTTACACATTAATCTCAATAAATATTATTTAATTATTTTACTTTATTATTTATTATGCTGTTAATGACATTAGAAATTTATTTTTTGAGCAAAGCAAAGGACCCTAAAAAAAAAAAAAAAAAAAGTATATTGAAACTCCGTACAAGCAACAAAAGTGACAGACGTCTGGAACTTTGATATTGCAATACCCGCATACTTTAAAAGTGCATTAAGGTATAAAGAAGCACGTCAGCTATACTCTCATTCATGTTGTTTAACGATTAATTACTGCCGATGAAAAAAGTTGCTTTATTTGAAACTCTTCCTCTTCAGCTGGAGCTTACCTTGGACCAATTTTATGCAACAATAAGCCTTTCATTGCGGATCCAAGCAAGGAGTTAAAGCCTCAACGAGCTGAGTTTTTTCTTCTTATTCAGATCAGCATTACAAACGTTTTTTTGTGAAAAGATTTTCTAAATAATATCAAGCAGTAGAAATTGAGATAGGTTGATTCAGGAATGATGTCCAAGTTTTATTAAGAAAGTGTGTGGAAAGTGACTCTAATGGCCTCTCGCATCTCAATAAATGCATTCAACCAATACAAGGTTTGATTTAATCTCTGGGTCATGCCCACCGAGAATTTAATTGGAACTGCACATCAAATGAATGCTGATATTTAAAGTTGTTACTGCAATTACTGAAATGAAACGTCATAACAGTAGTAGGTACTGTGAATTACTTCGGCTCTCGTACTTGGACTCGTACTTGTTGAGGATATCATAGATATAATAATAAAGTTAATTGTCACATCACATTATGGATGGATAATAAATATAAAAGTTAATCATGAATCACACATTACCCCGCTTGTTCTCATCCTACCGTTGGAATCTGTACATAGGGCACATCCCTGTGGCGAGTAAATATTTATTCTACAAAAGCAATACAATCGAATGGGCCTGGGCTATAGAATATTAATAGATCCTGAGCACAAATATTACTCTTGTCATTTGATGTTATAACTGTTGATCCCTCTGACTAATATTTATATACTCAGTATGGAAGGGCTAAATTTAAAGACATGTTGATTATTTACTATCACCAGACTATTACATCATGATCCAACAAGGCGCTTAATATTCTCCCTAGAGCTATCCCAGTTCTTTATATAAATATCCATAGTTTTTTCTCATAGACCATCAATACATTTTTGAATACATATTTGAATACGTTTTTAATTATATTTTTCGTCCATAATAAAGTGGTATCCAAGTTCTAACAGTATCACTTTTGGTTTATTTTTTATTTTGTTCTTCATGCAAAACAGTACTTTTTGTTCAACTCTTTGATAAACTCGGTTCTTGTATTAAAAAGATCTGTCACCCTTTCATCGCCATCGACACCTTCACGCATCTCTCCATCTGTTAATTTGCAACGGCTAATATCCTTAATATGGAACATCGCAGGGTTTAAAAGTGGATCAATGGTATGGCCTTGAACTACTTCACCTGTAGTTACAAGAGTAGTCATATCAAGACGTTCAAATCTACCGCATACAATTTTTTTAAAGTGTAGGATGCAGGAGTATGGCCCATCAATGTTGAGACGGTACGGTTGGAGAGATTGTCATTAATAATTATTGCGCATAATTTCTTCTGAAGGAATACAATGTACCGCCAACTAAAGAAGAAAAGTTTTTCTGGTTAGTAAAATAACGGTTATGTAAAATATGTTTATAAGCTTACTGTGGAGACCAGAATTGGCTATTCTTCGGGATGTGGTGTGCTCGACACTGTCACTCGTCCAAGGGGAGACCTTTTCGCTGCTATATACATGAAAATGTTAGTCAGTTTAAGTTATAGATAAATAATCCCAGTACACTTACAACAAACTGTTTATAAAAACAGGTTCCTCTGACCTATCCTCTTCGAGTTCAAGTAAAGATAGATTACCCTGGTACCACTCTTCAGGAGAGTTAGGGATAGAGATCATTACGTTCGTAATCAACCCCATCAGCGACAGCCGAAGTGAAGGTTTTTTTTGAATGTTCGATTGCTTTCGGAAAAGTACTTGCCTTGACCTTTAAGATGCGGCAATTGAATGACCACGTTGATTTTGTAGCCACGTTCATCTCTTCCTTGTCTCCAGATCTGTACATGCTAAAAAAAAAGAGATGGTTAAATAAGAAATGATTATAATTTTTTCTTTATGTTGTGAATTTCCTGTTACCTTCCACTGCATATACTTTGCATCATCATGCTTGACAGAGTTAGATAGACTTGAAGGTCTTGCACCGGAATAAAGAACGATCAACAAAACGGCTACCACTTGAAATTCGAAAGTGATGCTGCCAGAAATTGACGCTTCCTTGAAGCAATTATTGATGATAATTAACACTTATGGCAAACCAAAGATGGCCTGTGGCTTTCCTTTTCTTCCGAAATATCTAATTTCAGAAAGTTGATAAATGTATGGATGTACAAAAAAAGCGAGGTTAGGTTCAAGTTCTACAGTGCATCTATTTTATATTGATAGAAAAATCTAATTTATCGCGATGAAACGTTTAACCGAGATATATTTGATAGATTTTTATGAATTTTTGCACTGTAAAACACCTCCCGGGCATCTTTGGGTACCCACTGTAAATGCTAAATTTTGTTTTGTCATCTGTAAAATATTTTGTGTGCAAAAAATAAAATCGAGCTCTATTTTTTATGACGAACTCTCTTATAAAGAAGATAATAGAGCCAGATTTTCAATACACGTTGAATTCATCGAGGAGATAGCTTTTTTCCTTTTTTTTTTTTTTTTTTTTTTTTGAAAATCGAAGCCAAAAATTGTTCATTATAAAATAGATGCACTGTAGGCTGGGATTATTAACTTTGACCTGCATTACAGAATAAAAATTTGTTAGATTCTTCAGCAACAGTTATCATGGATGTCTTACGAGACCAACTAAATGTGTGAATTCTCTAATCATTGTACCAAGCTGAATCTTGTCTTCAACTCTACCTATTCCGGTAAGAGAGCGATAAATAACATAATTCTTTAACAAATCTGTAAGAAGCATAATTAGTTGTATGTTGATTCAAGCAATAAGTTATGCTATTACCAATATTGTACGAAGATCTAGTAAATGGTTCCAAAGGGGGCTCAGGGGGTACTTGTTCACTTCTGTCAGCATTTTTATCTTTAATGAATTGTCTGCACTTCTTTTCACGCTCTTCATAGGATACTCGAGTGCAGAGTGCTAGCTTGCTAGTGCTTCCAAAAGGCATTAATTATGTATCGAGTGAGGCCATTTCAGCAGAGATACGTTTCATTCTTTGGGCTTTGGTCTCAGTGGAGGGAGCGGTTGATTTTGCATTCTTCCTAGCAGTACCGGAAGTAGAAGGTGAGAGTAACGGACGTTTTTAAGACATGATGAAATTATTGGTATAATAAAGAAATGAGAAGAATTAAAGAACCGTCGATGAGTATTATGGATTAGAAGATGCCTTGGGAATACATATCTACGGTTGATATTTAAGTCGCTCGTAAAATATGCTTGGGAAAAATTTATTGTAACTTGTCTAAAAGAGTTTGAAAATCGACCAATATGTTTATCCTTACACGAATGTATTTAACAAATTATGATTGATTCTTAGTAGCAAGGTAGTGTATATTACATTTGTAATATTTAATCCGAGAGTTATCTTTTAGGTTTTTATTTTATCTTTTCTTTTCTTTTCATCCTTTTATGTTATATTTTATGATACCAAGAAGGAATTATGTGTATCCATTTAAATGTTCAATTGTTTATTTAAAAAGCGGCAAATAATATTTTGTGTATGAATAGGATAATATATGAATAGGATAGCGTAAGATGGGATAAGATAATGTTAATTTTTTAATTTTTTTTTTTTTTTTTTTTTTTTTTTTGAGGCGGCCTAAACAATATTTTTAACTCTTCTCTTTGCCCTTGCTCTTAACGTTACTAGATCTGGTCTGAGCCCTAGTCTTGATACCGCTTTGAGCCTTTCCCTCTTGACTGTCCTTTCCCTTTACCTTCTTCCTTGTGGAACCTTTGCCTTTACCGTTGTCCTTCGTTGTGTCTTTGCCTTTTTCCGCGGCTCGTCGTCTTACATAAATTATTCTTCGCTCGTCGTTTTTTTGGTGGAGTTTATCTCTTTCTTCGTCGGGCATCGTGTACTGGTAATGCTCTTGTAAGTAGTCCTGTACTAATTGTGCGGATTCAACGGGGGAGGCGTCAACAATGATTTTTTTCTTCATCAAAACCTCCAAGTGTTTTTCTCGTATGTGTTTGACCATTTGCTGCTTTGTTTTGACTGAATAGTCACAGTTTTCTACAGAACAAACCAGCCTGTCCTTGCGCTGCACTGGTAGATGTGCCCGAAACCACCTTTCCGAATTTGCATGCCTTCCGGAGACTCGTCGACCAACCCAAGAATACCTCGAAATCAAACCTTCATACAGATGTATTACCAAATCTGAATAACCCGAAAAATCTCTACCGTGAAAGTTTTGCTCAACACACCATTGGCACTGACTCTTTCCTGTAGGCCTCAAATGCAGATTGACTAGCTCGATGAGATTCAAATATCGTCTATCCCTCAACCTGTCACCAGCTTTCTCTATAGAAATAAAAATCTATAAGTATTATAATACACTACTATTATAATGTTGCACCACACATACCATTGTCATTCACCTCAAGTTCATTTGGGGGCTCCTGCGTTCTTTCTTGGCTACTGATGATATAGTCGGATACTTGGTCTTCTTCTAAAGTCAATTCTTCTTCTTCCTTCTCAGAGTCGCTTTCTTGCCCCTGATAAACGTACTCTTCCCATTCATCTTCACCTTCAAACAACTCAACATCATCGTTGTTTTGTTCCTCTTCACCTTCAGTATTGACTTCCTCTTTGTCTTCATCATCACCGGCATCTTCATGATCACTGCTAGCCTGATCATCAGATCTGGAACCTTCAGACTCCTCCTCGACATCTTCTTCGTCGGTGATTGATTCGGCTGGATTTGGTAAAGGTCTTTTAGGGATATCGATGGATTCTTCATCAAGGTACCGAACCCCTTGATCATTCAGTCTCAGAGCTTGATTTACTTGACCATACAAACGAAGTAACTTAACTCTGGTTAAGCGAACAAATACAACTCTTCTTGCTTGTTCGTATTTTCGGTTATGCTCCTCTAAATCTTGCTTTTCTTGTTTGGACCAATGCTTACGTGCTTTTGAGCCATACTTCTTCATGAGGTTCTTGACAAATGTTTCTTTTGTGTTAAAAGTATGTTGAACTCTTTCGTCTGTATCAACGTCATCGCGTTCCTCTTCTTCAGTTAGGTAATACCTGCTGATATCTTTGATATGAAAGGCAGCTGGGCTCATCATTGGATCTATTGTAGGACTTTGAGTGGCTTCGCCAGTTGTAACTAGTCTTGTCATATCAATTTGTTCAAAGCGTCCTGCATAAGCTTTTTTTAAGTTTAATGAAGATGGTGTTTGAACCATTAATGTTGGTGCAGTGGAGTTTGATAGATTATCATTGATGATTTGAGCGAAATTTCTTCTGAATGAATACAGCGTGCCTTGAACTAATAAAAAAAGTTAAGAAATGAAAACAAGAATTTTTGTTTAACTTACTATTCATCCCAGCGTTGCGAATTGCTCTAGAAGCAATGTGTTCAGCACTATCACTGGTTAAAGGTTGGGCATTCTCATTTTCTTGGTCACTAAAATAAAATCTTTAGTATATAAAAAGTACCAGTCAATTATATAATACGTACAATGAGCTCTTCACGAAAACGGGGGTTTCCGCACAAGACTCCTTCAGCTGCAACAAGACTGCGTTCGACTCGTACCACTCCTGCGGTGTAGCCACAGTTGTAATCCTTCTTCTAAAAGCCAATGCACAAATGAACACGGCGACGTCCAAATTTCTTTCGTACGGAATATCTGGGCTGATAGTTGACGTAAATGTCTTTCTAAATGGGCGGTTTGATTCTGTAAAATAATTTCCTCTTCCTTTCAAATGTGGAATTTGGATAACCACATGGATCTTAAAACCATCGTCGTCTCTTTCACCTCTCCAAATACTAACATGCTAAAATAGGGATGTTAATAAAACGATTAAAAACTTTAGAGTTACATAAAATCACCTTCCATTGCAAGTATTTAGCCTCTGTATGTTTAACGGACATGGTTAAGCTGGATGGACGTATGCCGGTGTACATAATTATTAGAAAGTATATAATTATCTGGTATTCAAAGTTGATGTTTCCTGAAATAGGAGCATATTTCATTAAATTGTTGACGATAATTAAGAGTTCTTGTCGTCCAAAGACAGCTCGGGGTTCTTTGCGCCCAAAGTAGCCTACGGTAGACATTCGATACATATAGTTGTGCAATTGTCTTGTAAAGTTTTCCTCTAATTGAAGCTTAGGGTTTTTTCTTTGAGCCTATAAGATGTATAAATTAATAAGATACACCATCGTTATTGCAGTTACTACTTACAATCTTCACCAGATGAGTAGTCTCTCGGATCATTGTTCCCAGTTGCATCTTATTCTCTACTCGCTCTACTTCTAACAAGGAACGAGAGATAATATAGTTTTTCAACATATCTAAATTAAACTTGATTAGAATATTGCTGTCTATGTAAACTCAAAAAGATTCTGCACCTACCGATATTGAAAGAAAATTGAGTAAACGATTCTAATGGAGGCTGAGGTGGGTCCTCGTATTCTCTCATCAGATTAATATCACCAATAAATCGCGTATACGTGTCTTCATTCTCCTTGTATGATACTTTGCTTTGAAGAGACAAGTGGGACCCCTCATCGGGTGGGATGGTTTTGCGCAGAGAAGAAACCTCGGACATAAATTCTTGCATTTTACGAGCCCTTTCAATGTCGGAAAGACCTTCTTTAGGGTCAGTAGAACGCACATTCTTCCTAGCAGTACCAGAAGTAGAAGGTGATGGTAACGGACGTTTTCCAGACATGATAAAATTATCGGTATAATAAAGAGATGAGCAGGAACAAAGAATTGTCAATGAGTATTATATATAAACAATTGAATTTAACATGACTGTTTTAGGAAACGTCATTTTTTTTTTTTTTTTTTTTGGGATTAAGAAAGTACACAGACACACCTCCTTCTTTCTTATTCTAACCTATCGTACTGGTAATGTTAGTTGGTTATAGCTACTGTAGAATTTAATAAGACCAAATATAGTCTATACCCAACTTATTTTATATGTAGTACTAGATCTGCAATTTTAAGATTCTATTTACAAAGAAAGTAAAAAAAAAATCCAACTTTATTGATCTTCAAAACAAAGGGGGGAATTTGCATGATCCTCTCTACGGTCAAAAGCAAATATGGAATATTGTGACACTGGAAAACAACGATAAGATCTCTCATAGATTTTCATTGGACCAGATCCTTTGTTTACCTCTCTTATTTTTAGTTATTATCTTCTTTATTAGAGAGTTCTTCATAAACTAATAGAGCCCGATTTTTTTCTTTTCACACAAAATTTTTTACAGATGGCAAAACAAAATTTGCCATTTACAGTGGCGAGACCCAAAGATGTCCGGGAGGGTGCTTTACAGTGCAAAAATTCATAAAAATCTATCAGATATATCCCGGTTAAACGTTTTCCCGGGATAAATTAGATTCCTCTGTTAGAAAATATGAAAATCACCCCAGTGTAAAAAACGGACCTTTTAGTTCTGAAAATGTCCGTTTTAACGAAAATTGTTCATTATAAAATAGATGCACTGTATTAGTTCAAGGCACGCTGTATTCATTCAGAAGAAATTTCGCTCAAATCATCAATGATAATCTATCAAACTCCACTGCACCAACATTAATGGTTCAAACACCAGCTTCTCTTACTCTTAAGAAGGCTTGTGCAAGGCGGTTTGAACAACCTGACATGACAAGACTGGTAACTACAGGTGAAGAAGTTCAAGGCCACACCATTGTTTCGCTTTTGAACCCTGTGATGTTCTGTATTAAGTATACTAGCCGCTACAAATTGACGGACAAAGAGATGCGTGAAGGTATCAATGGCGATGAAAGGGTGAGAGATGTTTTAATGCAAGATCCAGGTTTATTAGTGCCTTGAACAAGAAGTACTGGTTCAAGAATGGTCAAAAGTAGCGAAAACAGATCTCCTGACGCACAATCGGTTGTATAAAGAAGTAAAAAGGGTGGCAGTAGAACGTCTTACAAAAGAAAAGTTCCAGTAACTTTACGAAATGGCCCCCAGATTTGTCGAATTTCTTCACTTTGACATTCAGAGCACTGGGCAGAAGTTGATGAAAACGGTACCGCTGTTTTAAATAAAAATACCATTGATCTTTCCAAAAAAAACTTGATCCAGCACTCCGAGGACAAGATATGATGCCGAAGACGATGAACGTGTTGAGATGTTGGACGGTGAGAAGTAATGGGCTCCTGACAATCCAGAAGTTGAGGGCGTCGACGATGAAGAAAATGAAATTGAATACGAAGACCAGTCAGGTGTTGGATCAGCTTAATAGCAGCCACGAAAGGATTGAGATCCCTCCTGTCGTGATCGAGGCTATATACTTAATATATAACTATATCTACATTTCTTAAATCTTCCATTTGATAATCCTAAATATAACTCTTATTGATACTTTATATCCAGACTTGATCTCATATCATCCTTCATACAAGTATAAGACATACATTTAAATAATAACATTGATATAAAAACATATGAAGGTTACATTAGCCAGGTAAATTAGATCATATATGTATAAGTAAATGAACCATTTATATTAATAGCTGCTCTAATCTCTCTCTGGGTAGCTAATCCATTAAGAGAACTATTAATATTAAGTTTCTCTTTCTTATAATAATCCTTGGTTTGATCTGAGAAGATTCTCTTCTCGATCGGTGATATCGTAACTCAGTGGTATAGCATTCTGTTTCCAACTGTCATTCGTATATCGTATTTAGGCCAATCATGCAATCTTTAATATAGAAGTATATACTCGTAGTAGGAGAAGTTGTATGGCAGTATACAAGCGTATGCTGGTATGCAACATCAAAGGTTGTTTTAATTTCATAGTTTATTTAAACGGATTGCTTAATTATTCTTAAGAGAATCGTACCCAAATACGACATGATTGTTTTTGTTTACGCAGAACATTCAATCACTAATCGCTCTACTTTATATTTGATGCTGTAACCTCAATAAACACAAAAGTGAAGACATCGCTATTGTACATAAGAGTCTAGTCGGGACGCTTTATTCACGAGCTCTTTCGTGTGTCGAAGGCATATTCACTTTTGGTGGCTGACTCTCCCTGAACAACAACTGTCAATGCATGTGTAAATCAAGACAGCAGTAAATAAGACTTTCACCATGATTAAGACATTCATTAAGGTAAGCCTTCAACTCCAAGAATTTGATGTAAGAACTTAATGTTCCTCTCCCTGAGCAACAAATGTCGTAAATCAAGATAACTAACTTTAGGAATACAATGTAAGAGTTCAAGGTTTTGTCAACACAAGTGTTCCAGTCGATATAAATGCTGCCAATGTTGATGGTTCCAAGTGTGCCCAATGTTTCAATAAAGTGAATGACATTGACAACGTTGTCGCTCTTTCACCATGCAGCCGTCTTGCATAACGTAGGTTCAATGACTTGTAATAAAATGTCGCCCTTCTGAAAGTCAGAAATGTTTTTGAGCGTTAGCTGAGACAGCCAAAATATCAGTCAAGTCAAATGTCCAATCACTCTAAACAAGACACGTATTCCATTCAAGTGCAGTAGTGTTTGCTTATGGTCACAATCAAAATTGTACCAACATTGAAATAACCAGAGAAAAAAAAAATATTGGTTTGAAAAACATGAAAATCACACTTACCTTGGGCTGCAGCTAAAAATTACTAAGTGACTGCTAATTTTCAAATGTTCAAGATATGCATTACAGAGCTTCAAGATGCCATAAAATAGGATACAACACTCGTAATTGAACAAAACAAAAAAGGTTTAAATATGAAAAATATATCTTATAAATGTATTTATATTTATTAACAAAAGCGATTTAAACTTTTAGAGAAGAAACTGCTAAAAAAGCAATTTACTTCTTACCAGCCTTGACAGCGGCCTTGGTGACCTTACCGGTCTTCTCAACCTTCTCGACGGACTTGATAACACCAACAGCAACAGTTTGACGCATATCACGGACAGCGAAACGACCGAGGGGAGGGTAGTCAGTATAGGCTTCGACACACATAGGCTTGGAAGGAATCATCTTGACAATAGCGGAATCACCAGACTTAACGAACTATAAATGAAAAACGGTTAGAATCATGTTGTTTATACTGTTATAATGATATTTTCCTTAGGGGCATCCTCCATCTTCTTGCCAGAACGACGATCAATCTTCTCGACGAGTTCAGAGAACTTACAAGCAATATGAGCGGTGTGACAATCGAGAACGGGAGAGTAACCGTTGGAGATTTGACCGGGATGGTTCAAGATAATAACTTGAGCGAGGAAAGAACCGGCTTCCTTGGCGGGGTCGTTCTTGGAATCGGAACAGACGTTACCACGACGGATATCCTTGACGGAAACGTTCTTGACGTTGAAACCAACGTTATCTCCGGGAAGACCTTCAGTCAAAGTTTCGTGATGCATTTCAACGGACTTGACTTCAGTGGTGACAGCAGCAGGGGCGAAGTTAACGACCATACCAGCCTTGATAGTACCGGTCTCGACACGACCAACGGGCACTGTACCAATACCACCAATCTTGTAAACATCTTGGAGGGGAAGACGGAGAGGCTTGTCGGAAGGACGGCTAGGGGGATCAATAGCATCAATGGCTTCAAGAAGAGTCTTACCAGTCTTGGAACCAGCCTTGGTCTCCTTGTTCCATCCCTTGAACCAACCCATGTTGACAGATTCCTCCAACATGTTATCACCGTGCCATCCGGAAATGGGAACGAAAGGAACAGACTTGGGGTTGAAACCAATCTTCTTGATGAAAGAAGAGACTTCCTTGACAATTTCGTTGTAACGGGCTTCGGACCACTTGGTGGTATCCATCTTGTTAATAGCAACAATCAATTGACGGACACCCAAGGTGAAGGCAAGAAGGGCGTGCTCACGGGTTTGACCATCCTTGGAGATACCAGCTTCGAACTCACCAGTACCACCGGCAATAATAAGAATAGCACAATCAGCTTGAGAGGTACCAGTAATCATGTTCTTGATGAAATCACGATGACCGGGAGCATCAATAACAGTGACGTTATACTTGGGGGTCTCGAACTTCCAGAGAGCAATATCAATGGTGATACCACGCTCACGTTCAGCCTTAAGCTTATCAAGAACCCAGGCGTACTTGAAAGAACCCTTACCGAGTTCAGCAGCTTCCTTCTCGAACTTCTCGATGGTACGCTTATCAATACCACCACACTTGTAAATCAAATGACCAGTAGTGGTAGATTTACCCTGTTAAAATAAAAAGTAAAATTAGTACCTAGTTCAAATATTTTCGAAAAACGAAAAAACAGGTACTTACGGAATCGACGTGACCGATGACGACGACGTTAACGTGAGTCTTCTCTTTACCCATTGTAACTATAATAAAAGGATATGGGTTAACATATGAATAATAGATGGATGGATGGATGGATGGATGGATGGATGGATCCAAAAATTTACCTTAAAAAAATTTAGATGTGTAAAACGGAAGACACTTGTTTCCGGCACCGAGATTTATTTTATACAAGTTTTTTTTTCTTTGGTTTTCCCGAGTAAGAGATAAATTTTAAACCAATGAAAACCATTAATTTTGTGACGCTTTAAAATATACCGAGAAAAAATTGTTGTTGTGGACATGCTCTTTTGGGGTCAGATCATAAAAAAAATTTTAAAATTTTATACATTTTATTTATTACAATAACTAAGCTCTAGCCATCATACCCCCGCTACCGCCACGGCTGTTTCCCCTGATAATGCCTCTACCTCTGGATGCACCACGTACACTTCCTCCGCGTCCTCCACGGCCGCCACGACCACCACGAGAGCTACTGGCATCTCTTTTCTTAGAAGCATCGTAATCAATAATAGCTACTCTGTTTCTAATACAGGGCCATCCAGGCCAGCCATCGGGTGTCTTGGGATTTCTCATATTAGGCTTCAGGTCAATCTTTCCCTCCTTGACAGCCTTTTCAAAATCACGGCACTTTTTGCTCTTTCTCTTCTTGATAGTCTTCTTCTCACCAGCCGCCTTCTTAGCCTCTTCCTCGGGTGATAAAATATGAATAATACGGCGGGGGAAACGTAATGCAGGATATGGTGTGGTTGATTGTTTCATGATAGTTTCGTAATCAACTACTGCCTGCTTAGCGCGAGCCACAAATTCAGGATCGGTCTCGTCAAATTCACATACTTGCATATCTGAAACGGCCTTTGCCCAACTATCAGTGGTGTCTTTGTCGTCGGCGATATTGACTTTGGCGATAGATGAACCACCGAAAAGATTGAACGCGAATTCTTCCTCTTCTTCGTCCTCTTGTTTGTCCTCTTCCATATCTTCGGCCACTGCAGTGAAAATTTTTAATTTTCGGTGTGTATTTTTTTTTTTTTTTTTTTTGGGTGTTAGGTAGAAAATAATTTACCTTCTTCTTCGTCATCCCCACCCATTAACTGACGCATCATGTTGTCCATTCTTTGAGCGTCTTCTTTCAAGGCCTCCTCATCGACAGTTTCTTCTTCGTAAATGTCCGTTCTGGAGCTTAATTGAGTGTTGGGTGCAGGTTGGGTAGTCACCCTGTTAGATCTAAAAAAAAGTTAAATAAACGTTAGAACATGTAAGCTTCAATTGCAAATAACGGGAATCCGTCTTATACACGTACACTGGTTTGATGTTGATAGACATGATTATGGTTTTCAATGAAGCTGGCAATATTTGACAGATTTTTTTGGACTTTTATATTGTGACCGTTTATAATCCAATCAAAGAGAGATTGATGTTTGTGTATGCTCGAAGCTTTAGGATTTAATTACCCACACATAAGTTAAATTGGAAGGACTTCGTGATTTTTATTTTTCGTGTGTTGTTAGAATTTTTCCATAGCAACTGATTTTGAGCTTGAAATTGACGTTTCCATGGGAACAAAAGGTTTAATTATATCTAATTATCAAAACGAATTTTCATCAAAACTAACAATCATACCCACTAGGAACGAATATGTTTGTGTATGTGAATTCAGCAGTTTGTTCCGCTATAAAATATAAAACCCATATTTTTTCTCATATTGTGGTCTCTGCCTCTGCATATAGCATATACCTACCTTGATATTTAAACAGCCAATATTACTACACATGCGTACTAATTTATCGGCTTGATTCTGTAAGTATTTGAGTATTCTATACAATAACTACAATAAAAGGATTTCATCAACCATTATTGCCATTTAATAAGTGTGTTTCTTGAGAAATAGATGAATTAATATTAATAGCTAGTTAGAACTCGATGATAGCGTTGACAGGAAGGGTTACATTTTTTCATCAGCTGTAATCTTTACACCGATTTTCAAATTGGACATTAATTTGGCATCTTACCATAGATTGCGTTTAATTATTAGGATTCTATATGGCTGGACAAGCATTATCGCATATTATTACAAAAGAAAAATACAAAAAACAACAATTTATTGATTTACAATATCGCTTTTTTTTTTCTATCTAGTAACGATTATCTATATCTGGAAATCATATTATCAAGCTGTTTGGCCCATCTGAAGCTGGTTTAATTACCAATATTCGGCGATTCGATTTACGACACCTACGTGCTTTTTGCTTAGCAATTTTTGATGCACTTATCTTGGCGCACGCATGTTATGTCTCGTGTTACCTTAAAGTTCGGCCAAAAAGATCCTTATTTGGAAAAAAAAACTGAATCCGCCACTGCAGTTAAAAGTATAAAAGTGATTGATTGAAACATCTGCACCTGCTTTTATAACATATTCTTAATAATACATAATGTCTACCAAAATTACAATCTCTGAACTTGATCTTGCGTATTTTCATTATATACCCAATCGTCCGGCCTGCTACGTCGGCATAGCTGTCTTCTCTATTCTGTTTATCTTGCTAAATATTCGTGTCTTAACGTCGGGATACCGGTGGTATGTATATCTGCTACCACTCACTGCAGCTGCCGAAGTCGTTGGGTTTGCTCTTCGTTACATCTGCTCTAAAAATCCTACTACAGACGTCTTCACCGCAATGTCTATTCTTCTATTGATTTCTGCAAACATAATGGCATTGGTGAATTACAAAGCGGTTGGAGATGTCATCCAATTATCCGGCGTAGAAACAAGATATTATGTAATAGGACCCGACTTTGCAAGGAATTTTTACAAAACAAATTTGGTCGCATCCATTTTACAAGCTGTTGGTGGTGGTTTGCAAGCTCCATCTGGTTCAAGATCGACTGGATCTACTCTAACAATTGTGGGTATCACTATTCAACTAGTATTTTTTGCAATCTTTCTTGTTAGTGTTCATTATGTCAATACCTGCCCTGACTATCGCTTACATTACAATGGCCAAAATCATAAAAGAAGTGTGATGCGGGTGATGTATATCACAATGGCGCTGCTTTTTGTTCGCTCACTTTATCGATTAGCAAACTATGTTATTGTTTATAATAACCTCGGTGAAGTTCATGAGTGGACGTTCTATGTCTTTGATGCTCTCCTAATTGCCGTGTGCTTCTTGATCCATTGCATCTGGTTTATTGGGCATTACATACCTCGTGGTACATTAGATATTGAGGGAAAAGGTCCAGATGCTATCTATATAACAAGGAATAACGTGTAACAACAAAATCACCCATCAGGCCTATATTATTAGAAAACAAGAATGACCTACCCGCGGTTATAATGTTTGATATCTCAGCCTATATTACTAACTGATACTTTTAATGAACTACTAAATGTGTGTGTAGAAATCATAGATTAAATTTTTTACATTAAATAAACAATATTGCTACCTATACTCATTGTTGAATTTTTTTTAAGCATTCATTCATTGTTTATGACCTCAAATAAATTGGATGGTATGAACTATCCGAAATCATTCTTCAATACCGTATTGAAACATTATTTCAAGCAGCTTCAGGAAACAAACGTCACAACAATAATTCTTTTTTCTTGCACCCCCCTCAACAATTTCTGACACAAAGTTCTTCCAAAAGCACGAATGTTCAAGCAATGTAATAAACCACAGTTAAATTCATTACCTAATCCAAATAAATAAACAGCTTCACTCTTTAGTTAGACTTATATCCACCGTCCACCGAATCGGTTACCTAAAACACTTCTCAACTCGTACAACACCTAATGTCTGGGTAGTTACCGATGGAGGAATAGAGAATACTTTGCAAGCAATGGCATTGGGGAAGCAATTAGCTGGTTCGAATCAACTTTCAAGCTCATTTAAATTGAAGACTATGGTTGCCAGTAAAAGTAACTATATCAGACTCATTTTAGCCGCGTGTTATTGACCTTTCTTGTAGAGTTACAAGTATTCCCTGCTATTTTGCAGAAATTCTTGGTTAATTGGAGTGCTTCAAAGCATAAAGGTAATTAAATGAATAAAGGGATACACACCATAATGCTCATCATTTGTTACTGATTTTTTTTTTTTAGCTGACACATCAAATGACTTGCCTTGGTACCTGTCAACCTCAGATGAAGCCTTAGATGATTCAAAGCCAGATTATATTGTATCCAGTGGACAAGATGCAATTCCGGCCTGTCTTCATTTATCAAAGGCAAATTCAAATAGAAAATGTTTCTCTGGTATGTTTTGTAAAAAAAAAAAATGTTCAAATGTATCTTTCTTACGTTGGCAATGTAGTCTACGTTGGATATCCTGGTATTCCTTTTATAAACTTTGATCAGGTTGTGTTACCAAAGTATGAGGCAAACGCAAAAATGGGTACGTAAATAAATCTAAATGCGTATCCTATCAACTAACTCGTAGAATTGATAGCCGCTCTTGGCCCATTAGCAAGACAAAAAAATGGCATTATCACACCTGTAAGTATCAGCTAGTGAAGTTTTTCAAATATTCCCCCAATAACGATTTTCGTTTTTGCAGGCACCATTGTTAGATACATTCCCCGGTCCTTTACCAGCACTAGATCAAATGATCCCTGGGTCTTTTAAGAAAGGATACTCGGCAGTAATCATCGGAGGACACTCACCCATCTGTCGATGGTATTCGGAGGATGCCGTGACCTTGGCCGATAATATCAAGGTAACAACATAAAAGATCTCCCCTGTTTATGACGGTACTTATATGAATCCTAATAGCGCATGGTCCAAAATCTTGGCGATAAAGTGGTTGTTGTATTCACTGATAGAACACCCACTATGGTTAAAGAGAAATTAACACAAAAGATAGAGGAATCAATTAAAGCTAGTGAGGAATCTGTCGTTATTTGGGACTCTACAAAGCAGACATCTACCGCTGATAAAATTAACACATACGAAAGTATTATTCAAAATTCACAGCGCGTAGTTTTGACAGCTGATCTTGATTATGCGTGTGCTCATGCAGCATCAAAGGGGTAAGTTGTTAAAGACTATCTAACCGACTAAAATGTCTAATCGTTCGCACCTTTAAAAGAAAGCCTGTTTATATTGCGTTTAATGGACAAGCAAGATCGTATCTTGCGCACTTTCATCGTTGGTTATTAGACACCCATTTAACCAAAAAATTAAGACTGGATAGAACCAAACACAAGACAAACGAAGCTAAGGATCCTTACAGTTACTTGGGAGACCAGACCACTTGGGGGAATGCATCAAGAGAATTTCAAATGAAGAACACAATGAGCTATGTGAAGAAAGAGATCGAGGAGATTCGGGAGGAAAAAGTAACCGGTAAAAGAAGGAAGTAATAATAAAAATGGTTGACACTATGTCCGACCCACTTAATTTTTAAATGTTCGCCTTAAAAGGCTGATCCAGACATCGTGTTTATCGCATTAAAATTTGGTATAATAGCACTTTAAAAGATTTTTATACAATCCCTTTAAAAGTGGTGCCGGAAACCGCAGTTAATTTATTTTACATGGACGGGCCTTGATATGGTGACACTATTTCGTCTGATACAGAGGTTTATTGTTTCAATTTTCAACCATGATCTGTAAAGGGCTTTGACTGCTTGTAATAGTTTGTTAGTAATGAGCCTGGTTTATTTGAAAATTTCAGAGGATAAACATCATGGCGTAACTATCAAAGCCTAATTTATTGGCTTGCGTTGATTACTCTGCCCTTTATACATACCGCCCGTTATATAACATGGTCGTAAATATACCCAGAGCATCAGAAAAATTCAAATCTGTCAATAAATCGGTTTTGCAAAATCAATACATGATGCTATTTAACCAGAAGATTCATTACGATATAAAATATGATGGTGGCTGATGAGCGATCTTTATTAGAGACATTCTTAAAGCAGATTTTAGCCAACAAAACATCACTATATAGCACTAAAAAGTATCAAAGTAATCCTTATATGATGCGTGGGGAAAGCGTGTGTTGAAGAAGTTGGTATTTAAATGAATAAAAGTAACCGCTCAAAACTGATTGCGTGATACATGACCAAATTACATCATAGGCAATAAGCCATCAGCATAATAAAATACCCATACCCCCCACACCCTTTCTGCATCCGATGCACGCGTAAATAATTACCATGTAAACACTGGTGAAGGTTTAAAAATGACATCAAAGTACTTGAAACGAAACCAAACCAATTTACCTTATTTGTGATATTTGGCATGGGACTTTAAAAATGAGTTTAAACCGCTTTTTTATTTATTTAAATCTTTAACTTTTTGTTTTGCCTATTTTCCTATACATTCACTTTTTTTTTCCTTCTAGAAAACATGAGTACATTAGATCCTGTCATCTCTTCTGGAGCAGAGCTTATTGCGAGTACTTTAAAAACCCAAGGTGTTGAAGTCATTTTTGGTATTGTAGGTATTCCCGTTGTTGAAGTCGCTGAAGCGTGCGTATCAGCTGGTATTCGATTTATCGGATTTCGTAACGAACAATCAGCCGCTTATGCGGCATCTGTTTACGGTTTTCTCAGCGGCAGACCAGGTGTATGTTTGAGCGTAGGTGGTCCTGGTGTGGTTCATGCACTCGCTGGCTTATTAAACTCTAAAATCAATTGCTGGCCTCTCGTTTTATTATCAGGCTCTTGTGATACTGATCAAGTTGACAAAGGTGCCTTTCAAGAGTTAGATCAAGTAGAAGCATGCAGACAATATTGTAAGTATGCTGCTCGACCTAGCTCCGTTGAGCAAATACCATTTGTGATTGAGAAGGCCTTAAGAACGGCCTTTTACGGTAGACCGGGCGCTACGTACGTTGACTTACCTGCCGATTTTATCCAATATCCTATTCGTAACAAGCAAGTCTTGGAATCTATTCAAGTTCCCAAGGTGGCAAACCCTCCCAAGTCAATGGCCGATCAATCCAATATCAACCAAGCTGTGGAGTTATTAAAGAATGCAAAAAACCCTCTGATTGTTATCGGTAAAGGGTAAGCATATTTCTGATTAGTCATTATCTTTCTCTTCTCACTCACACACTCTTCTTTCCAGAGCTGCTTATGCCCGTGCCGAAAAGGAAATCGGTCAATTAGTTGAAAAGACAAAAGCTCCCTTTTTGCCTACACCTATGGGTAAAGGTGTTTTATCGGACACACATCCTTTATGCGTTTCAGCAGCACGTTCAAAGGCATTGAAAGAAGCCGATGTAGTCTTGTTAATTGGAGCACGATTAAACTGGATTTTACATTTTGGAGATTCACCTCGTTGGGCTCCTAATGTCAAATTTATTCAAATCGATATCGCGCCAGAGGAACTTGGCAATAATAAATACACACTTCCTTTGTTAGGTGATATTCAATTAGTCGTGTCACAATTGTCGCATGCCATTGGTAACCTTCCACATTTGAACTCCACGTATGTCTCTGGTTTGCTTGACAAGGTCAAGGCAAATGCCGAAAAGATCAAGCAAAGTGGATCCAAAGGCTCCGATGATGCTATCTTGAATTATCAGACTGCTTTCAGCGTCATCAAGAACACACTACCCGAGAAGGATATTGTTTATGTGAGTGAGGGTGCGAATACGATGGATATCGGAAGATCATTTTTTGATGTGAGCGAGCCTAGACATCGACTTGATGCAGGCACTGGTGCTACAATGGGTGTAGGCATGGGCTATGCTATTGGCGCACAATCTTACTATGGATCATCAAAACGAGTAGTTTCAATCGTAGGTGATTCGGCATTTGGTTTCTCTGCCATGGAATTAGAAACTGCTATTCGATCCAAGTTGCCACTTTTAATCATTGTCATTAACAACAACGGTATCTACCATGGATTAACTGATGATGAATACCAAGCATCGCAAAAGGATGGCACTTTGCCTACCACCGCACTCTCTCCCGAAACCAGATACGAAATGATCTCCCAAGCCTGTGGAGGTAAGGGCTGGTTTGTTAAAAATAGAGTGGAATTAGCCGCTGCAGTGAAAGAAGCTTTGGATGCCAAGGATCAAACTTGTGTCATTAACGTATTGATTGCCCCTGGTGGAAGAAGCAAATTGGATTTTGCTTGGATGCAAAAAGAGAGTAAAGCTAGATTATAAGGTATAGAAGGACTGTTTATTTTAATGTCACATAAATAAAAATCTGTCTTTTTTTTTGAGTTGGGACAGTATAACTTCTTTTTTCTTTCCTATAATTATAAAATGTCTCGCGGAGGAAGAGGTGGAGGTTTTGGTGGTGGCAGAGGTGGTGGCCAGCAAGGTGCCATGCAACTTGTCTCATTTGATTTAATGAAAGATCTGGGTTCTGGCAATTTGTTTAATGTGAACACCGCCTTATTTCCTGTAAACATATAACACAACTTGTCAAAATAAAAAAAGGGGGTATCTAATTATGTATTGACTTAGGAAATGGATGTGCCTATTCCACGTAAACCAACCTCGAACGAAATTCAAGAATGGAAATTGAGAAAAGAATATTTAAACATGATTAAGGACTCGCCGTTTCATTTAACAGCTCCTCCTCCACCACCCGATATCGAAAGATACTCTGATAAATATAAAGTAGTTGCTCCCAAACGTAGTTTACGAGAAATAGAAACCAGTAAGAAAACTAGCTCACGTTGTTACGCTACTCGTCTATGATAACACTTTTTTTTGTTTTAGACTTGGATTTCTTTCCCGATGAATTACAGGTTCTCTTGGATCCCAAGAGAAGAAAGAAGAGTAAGTTAGATCAGGTCATAAAAAAAAGGGAGGATATGAGACTGATGATTATATAGAGCAAAAGGTGAATACAGCTCAAGACGAATATGGACAGATTGAAGCACTACTTAATGCCGAAGGAAAGGATGGTGATGAAGATGAAGAAGGAGAGGATGGTGAAAAGAAGGACGATGAAGATGCTGAAAATGATGATGAATATGAAGACGAAGAAGAATTAGTCGATGATAATGATTATGGTCAAAATTACTTTGATAATGGTGAAGGCGACGATGTTGATGACGATGATGGTGAAGATACTTACTCATAATAATAATACTATAAAAAACACACATATACATACACATTTACTTTTAATCTTGCATAATGAATTTTATTTTTTATTTTTTTAATTCATGCGCTGAGAATAAGCTTGTCCTTGAGGTGGACCTTGAGGTGGACCGTGGGGAGGACCATGAGGAGGACCTCGCTTAGACAATGGAGGAGGTGGGGTGGCGTTCATAGGTGGGGGAGGAAGAGGGTTGTTGCGGGGAGGTGGCACCATGCCCATGGGTGGTGGAGGAGCCATATGAGGTTGGCCACCCATATGAGGCTGGTGTCCCATATGGGGTTGGCCGCCCATAGGTGGTGGTCCTGTCTGACGTTGTTGCATCATACCAGCTTGAGGAGGTGGGGGTCCACGATTCATGGGAGGTCCTTGGGGAGGAGGACCACGGTTCATGGGAGGTCCGGATTGAGGTGGGGGAGGGAAATTAGGTTGTTGTTGTTGAGCGTTTTGAGAAACAAAAGATGTAGCAGCAGGTTGGTTAGGGAAAGGTGATGTTACACGTTTAGTACTAGCCATGATAGGACTCTTCATTTTCTTGGCGGCACTCATGGGAGGATCGTTCCAGGCTCCCTCAGGCTTTTTGGGTGGTGCGTTAGATCTAGGTGCGGGAGGAACACCGGTGACAGGTGGGGGTGCAGGCACAGTGGCACCGGCATTGTAACCGTTGTATTGATCGTTACCAGTGTATCCACCAGAGAAATTGTTGTTATATCCAGAACCGGCTTGGTTATAGCTATTAGTAGGTTGGTTATAACCATAAGTGGATTGGGCAGGTGCAGCTGCACTGGCTTGAGGTTGGTATGCATTAGTGGGGTTTCCAGTAGCAGTTGTGGGTGCATAAGAATTAGTAGCCACAGGTGCGGAAGGAGAATAGTTGCTGGCTGCGGCAGGTGTGTAACTATTAGTGTTAGAGGGTGCATAGCTGCTGGTATTTGTGGGTGCGTAACTACTAGTATTGGTAGGAGCATAGCTGTTGGATGCGGTGGGAGCATAGCTTGTAGGTGCACTAGGAGTATATGCGTTGGTAGCAGGAGCAGCGGGAGTATATGCGTTGGTTACAGGAGCATAATTATTGGCGGTGGATCTGCTAGGTGCATAAGATTGAGTAGTGGTTGTGGTTGTAGACTGGTAGGTCTGGTAATTGGCTTGATATTGTTGAGTTTGGGGCTGAGCGTTATAAGCGGTAGTAGCTTGAGCAGCAGGTGCAGCAACAGCAGCAGCTTGGGTTTCGGCATAGGCGGCAGCCTTAGAAACAATAGGCTTTTTCTCGAAAGGAACAGCGGGATCAACAAACTGACCTGCAACAGAAGCGGGACATGCACGATAAACACGATCACGAATGACAGCCAATTTATCGAAAGTAGCCTTACGGTACACCACGGGGGTCAAACTCAAATAAGTCAAAGCGGTGGTTAATTTTCCTTGAGCAGCCAAAAGTTCAGCATATTCACAGTACTTGTCATAAAGAGGGGAAAGAGGGTACTCATAAGACATCTTTTGTTCAGAAGTCTCAAAGAGTGCAGCATCTTCGTAATTAATGACCTTACGGAAGATAGTGACCTTTTCAATCAAATGTTGAAGACTAGAAGCATAAGCATCCTCCTTTTCACTGTTTTGGATCTCTTCTTCTTGTTCGGCAATCCAAATTCGAGAAACCTTCTCGAGGTTACCAGCGGCAAGATAACAGAGTGTGGCATGGCGTCTGAACTCCTTGGCATTCTCTGAATCACTCTTGCTCCATCCTTCCTCTAAACGCTCACCTAAAGCTTCACAAAGGGGTCGGAACTCTTCAGGCTTTGCAAAAGTACACAAAACAACAATGACTGAAGTCCATTCATCCAAAGCAACATTGGCTACAACAGAGCTCAAGTCATCGTCAATGATACTTTCCAATAAACGGAGATAAGATGTAGATTTAGATTGACGCTTGAAGTAGGCCTGTTGGGTACGAATCAAAAGATCACCGCCACCACAAATGGCAAATAACAAGGCATCAGAAAGCTTGTCAGTGGAAAGACAGAGATCAACAGCGGAATTAAAATCACCCAAGACAACAGCACGCGTAATTAATCGGTCGGTCTCTGAGCTTCCTTGAGCATAAAGTTGAATAGGTTCGCGGCTGAGAATGGATCCAAGAGCAGCAGCGCTTTCTTCTGTTGCAACTTGACTGTTGCCTGTTTGGTTGAAGAAATCGTCGCCACCCTCTCCAAAGAGACCGGAAACAGAGTCCGAGCTTCCGGTGGCAGCAACTGCATCGGGTTTGTCTTCTGTGGCGTTCTCAATAGGTGCAACCACTTCTGCATCAACAGTTTCCTGAGTCGTAGCCTCTTGTCCTTCTACAACAGGTTCTTCGACTGTGGTTTCAGGTGCAGCAGCATCAACATCGGCAGTGGATTCAGGAGAGGCGGCGGTTTCTGAGACAGCGGTCTCAGTAGTTTCTGATACGACAGGATTCAACCCATTTTTACCAGCAGTAGCCTTAGCAACAGCAGCAATGACTTCTGATTTTTGGAAACCAAGATAGTCCATTAATTGCTCTCTAGCATCAGGAGCCAACAATGTCTTGATGACTTCCCAACTTTCCTTTTCGTCCTTATCGTTGTTTTGCTCGGCCTGTTGGACACGTTCCTCTACGAGTTGTTCGATGCTTTGAGATTCCAACGCGGTTTCAAGTTCAACTGATCTTTTGACAGTTTCTTGATTGGTTACAATGGAATGAATTGTGACAGCACGGGGTACAGTTTGAGGGGCAGGTGCCTGTCCGGGAGGCAAACTGGTAGCAGCCTGAATAGCGGCTTGACCAGCCTTGTTATTGAAAGTGACAAGTTTACCGCCGAATCCAAAACTAGCACCCACGGGGCAACGAAGCCATTTGGGAGGTTGTTTCAAAGCGAATGCGGAAGAGGCGGGAGCAGCAGCATTCAATGCAGCAGAGAATGGATCGTCATTGGTGGTATCGACAACGGTCTTTGTATCCTCTGATTCAGAATTCTGGAGAGAATAAACACTAATCTTACCATCGAATGAAGCTGAGGCTAAAAGATCAGGGTTACGAGGACACCATTCAGTTTGGAAAGTCCAGTTGGTATCTTGAGCTAATTCGCCCATCAATTCACCCGAATTAGGGTTCCAAATCAAGGTCTTGCAATCTTTACCACAAGACATTAATAAATCGGAATCTTGGCGACACCATGAAACGCCCAAAACACCCTTGGTATGACCTGCAAGAATCTTTTCGGGAGAGTGAGCATGACGAAGATCCCAGAGGGTGACAACGGGGTTTGAATCATCTTCTGAAGCAGTAACTAATTGAGTTGCCTTTTTTTGTTACAAGTTAATTTTCATTGTGTATGTATGTTTTCGATGATACACTTACAACATCAGGATGCCATACGACAGATGAAATACTTCTACGTCCAGCATGCATTCCAGATGAATTGGGAGCAGAGAGAGTCATGACTTCTTTACGGTTACGAAGATCCCAAACAACGGTGTGACCGGTGGATGAAGAAGTAGCCAAAATGTGTTGTACTTGACCATTCCAGCCAACACTTGTCACATCGTCTAACTTTGAGGACTTGGGACCAGGACTATAAGGAGTATTAGGATTGGTAAGATCCCAAATGTAAACCTCATTGTTACTTCCTGCAGAAGCCAACAAATTACCCTGGAACTTATTGAAATCGAGTCCACGAATCTGACCCGTGTGGGTCGAATTTTCCAAAATCTTTGCCTCTTGATCACTATTGTCTCTAAATAATCAATATTCTGCATAATAATGTAATTAATGAACTTTTTGTCCCTACGTTTCTCCATCAAGAATTTTGCTGGGATCCCAAAGTGTTAAATCGCCATTTTCTAAACCACCAGCAATAATACCATAGGGGTTTGTTGAAGAAGCGTTACCCCAGACCAACTTGTTAAATCTGTAACAAAGCATGTGAGCTCATCAAGTATACAATGACCGTGTTTTTTTTCTTTTTCTTTTACCTGGAAGCACTAGTAATTTTACCAGCAGGTACGATGGTGTTTGAGTTTGCCAAGTCAAGCTTGAACAATTCGAGTTCGGACGTGTTTGAAAATGAATCATCTAATGCTCCAGCGGCTGTACCTGCCGCGATAAGAGGAGCTTGTTGTCCTGGACTCCAGGCGAACACTGCTGTTCTGTTAATTTCACTCAATCTTTTTACCATTTCTTTTTTATTTTATGCAATGTTAGTTGGATGATGACAATGAGGTTAAAGATTGTCTGTATTACCAGATGAAGGGTCGGGTTAAATAATAAAAAAGAGAGAAAATTAAAACCAGTTTACGTGTTAACTTGTTGTTCATCAAGAAAAATTATGCGGAGAATGAAGTGGGTGTCGTCACGGCATGAAAAGGTCGCTTCAATATCGCTCGCGAGTATAAAATTGATATGTAGGCTTGTTATGGTCTAGTTTCATTAAACTCTAGATCGCCCTCACTATTTCATTTCGAACTGACATATATGCAAATATGTCTTTGGATGACTACAGAGTCCCCCGCCCCTTGTATGTCAAATGTATTTAAGATTTGGAATGTTTTGAAGAGAAAACTCGGTGGCTCGAATTAAATCAATTCATGTCAGCTTATCCTAATTAGCTCATCAAATTAGAAGGAGCCTCCGAAAGAAGAATGTATACTTTTGCTGACAACTCTACATTTTGTGGTCCGAACTGATAAAGACTTTATTCTCCCGAAAACCTTTACTACATGTATAGATGGAGAACAATTGATTTTTCTATTACGTGTAATTATACTCATTTTTTTGGTTATTTTAATACGCTCCAGGGTGTTTAGAAACAAAAGTATTGAAAAACCAGGTTGGATAAAAAATGCCTTTTAAGTGAAAATAACCTTTTATAACTTGTAGTTATAAACCCGTACATTGTGACACCATGTTAATGACACTTGAAGGACACCAAAAAAAAAAAAAAAAAAAAAAAAAAAAAAAAGATGTTCCTAAACTTTAACCCATGTGCCATTTAACCCCATCCTTCTCTAAAGCTCTCTTTCTCTTCATCTTTAGCTACGCATGATTGGAATCAAAAGATTGGTAGGTAACGAAATACTTGTAAAAGTATTGGAGTGACTACTATAACACAAGAAAATAACGGCGGCTTGCTATTTGTGCAGTCCCGGGTCAGCCGTTTCAGGCTACATGGGGAAGTTGTTCACAGCAGGCCAGAAAAAAAAAGGGTTGCTAGGGGCGGGGGAAGAAAAAAGGGTTTTCAAATTGAAATCTGTACGAATGGATAAGCTTCTACAAATGTCAGATACAGGGACAGGTCTGATCTATAGAGTAAGAAAAAATTAAAAAAGAAAGAAAAATTTTATAATGATACACAAAATGACTAACATATTTGTGGAACAGGTGACTATGAACTAGACCTATTATAAAGATGCGTATACGTGATTCCACGGATATTTGGACAGAGGGACAATCCCCACATTTGGCCCTGCTGGGCTTTGAATCTTCCTAACAGAATAGGCTACAGGTCGCACTAACTTATCGGAGCGGTTGTTGAAGTACTTATCGGCCAGTAAGAATTAAGAATCTGACATGGGGGGATAATTTTATTTGATATATAAACCTATGGATTTGAGTTTTTTTTGGCTTTCTCTTACATATTTATTCTCCAAAAAACCCTAAACACACACACATATATACAATGACCCCTACAATTAATAATAACACTGACCTCATCAACCTTGACTCTCTGGATGACTGGTTAGAAAGTGATTTACGTCAATCAGGAATATTATTACCAAGTGCTGTTGATAATAAACCTTTTGACATGGTCTCTCCCGCTCAAATCTTGATGGCTTCTCCACCAATTTCTGAATGTACTCCTCGTATGGACCCTCTTTTGGATCTCACTACTCCATTAATGAAGTATGAACCTCTTTCTCCTATGGAAACCCCTAAAATGGAACCCCAAGATATATCCAAGTCAGCAATCGATCTCCAACCATTTATCAAGGCTCTCACATTACTTGGCTCAATTCAATATAATCAACAAGATAGCAACAGCAATCGTCACAGCAACAGCAATAACAACAGCAATAGCAATAACAACAACAGCAGCAACACAAATTACAACAAGCGTGAAAGATCTGAATCGATAGATGACAACCAAGATTTAGTAGTTTTAAAACGACAAAGAAATACTGATGCTGCCAGAAGATCTCGCCAACGCAAAGCACAAAAGATGGATACTTTAGAAAAGCGAGTTTTGGATTTGGAATCTGACAATGAACGTTTACGGTTACGCGCTGCTGTTGCAGAAAGTGAACGTGCGAATATTGAAGCTAAAGAAAAGAGAAGTAGAGTACGAGTTTTGGAATTAGAACGACAACTTGCAGACACCCACAAAGCATTATTAAGATACAATCAATCAACAACACCAACAAAATCAACAATATCGGTTTAGAGGTTCCGGATCCCTTTATTTCCCTTTCTTTTTTTCTTTTTTTGCACTTATATATACACACCAAAACCCCAAAAAAATTCACCCTTATTTTTTTTTGCAACCCTTTCACAACCCTTTTCATATTTTTATATCAATTTTTCTGTGTTGATATTTCAATACTCTAATGCGATAAACTTTACTATACAAACTTGAGGAAGCGTGATCTTTTTCACCTTCTTCTAAACCCACACAAAAGCGTGTACCCCATGACTTATTAGTGTCGAAAAAATGTTTTTTTTCATGGCTCTTTTTATAGATTGGTCTTCTCGCTAACCCTTCCTTTATTTACAGATTACTAACTACGTTTTTTTTTTAAATTTATAGGCTTTAAAAGAGTGTGTGTGTGTTTAAAAAGAATATCTACAAAAAAAAAGAAGAAAAAATTGCAAAAAAAAAAGTCTTGGAGAAAAAAAAAATTCTTGGAAAAAAAAAGTGTAACTTGTATTCATAATATCGACTAACTTTTATGTGTGTGTTTATAATTTAGGTACAAAAAAGAAAAAAAAAAAAAGCCTCTTTTTTAATCTGTCTTAATAATAATATGATAACTTGTTTTTACTTAATGAGGTCCTCTTCTTCTATTATGCCATTATTACTACATTAATAAAGTTACCTTTTTTTTTTTTTTCATCATCTCATCAATTGGTTGTTCTCTATTTTTTTTTTTTATTTTTTTTTTTTTGGCTATTTGACTCGGTAGAATCATAATGAAATTGATTGGTGTTCGTTGCAAAATCAACAACGACGCATGCTTATTATGTTTAGTATAGTGTTTTTTTTTTTACTAAAATATTTTTTCAAAGCTTAATTAAATGTAAATCTTTGCATCGGCTACATATAGTTGTATTCTCCGGACACATAACTATATCAATAGCAAAAAAAATCCCTTCTCAAATTGAATAAACTCATTGATGTTTCACCAATTAGTTTGCGCAGTTACACTCCGGAGATCTCTTTTTTTATTTTGCTTTGCAGCATATGATGGTCTCTGTTTAAATCAAATAAATTGTCTCCTGGAGTTGAATGAAAGGACTACCAATATAAAAATAGCCCGATTATGAACTAAAAAAGTTATATTAAAATTACATGTGTGCTTGACATGATGCATGTATGTAAAGATCATGTCTTACAAAAAAAAAACAAAGCTAGTGGTTTCTATGCCAGCAGTACAAGCCACTTTGTTCCATTACTGCTTGTTCATTCCAAAAGAAAGAAATCACCGTAGATGTCACTTCAACACCCGTCATTGAGTATTATGTCGCGCCCCAACGGAGATGCAATGTCACCCCCGAGTCAACGCTTTTAACTGAACGGAAACCTTGGATCGTGAAATGAAAATTTAATGCTTTTTGCTCATAGCCTACAAGTTAAAAAAGTGGCCATGACATAATTGTTCTTGCTCGGAATGTCTAGTTGATATCAAAGATACAGCATAGTTACAATTACACAATAATGAATCAGATAAGGTGCGATAACAAGACTTCAAATCTTCTGTATGAAAGATGTAAAACGTCAAATTGGTTGTTGGGCGGCTTTACCGGTTTAAAATCGTTTATCCGCTTGCAAAAATTATGATTTTTTAAATGTTGTAGATCCGGTAAATTATTCTCAGTTAAACTTAATTGACTTTCTTACACTCACCCCAACGGGATGAACTATGTGTATCACTGGTCTTACCTCATTATGACTAAGAAGCTCAGTTAACTCTAAACACACGCTGAAATGAAAGGGAGTTTGACTTTTTGCCTCGATATACCACTATCAACTTACAGAAGGCATTACAAATTAGAGAGAACTATTAAATTGATTATCTCACTGAATAAGTTTTAGCCTATAATTATAAAACCGGACTTTATTTTTAGATAAAGACATCATTAATAATTAAACTTCTAAGTATCTCTTACATAATGTATACCCCCATCTTAACCTATTTCGGCTGAACTGGCACTGAGTTTTGTATACCAGCACAAATCTGAATATACAACTGACCAGGCCGGGCTGTGATGCAACTTCATTAGCCCCTTTATTTTAAAGAATAAGCTATTTTACGCATGTTCATTTCCTTGCTCAGTTTGGAGACCTTTAGACGAAGTATCCAAGTCTTTATTGATCTAGCTCGTTTCTACCGATTTTTTTTTTTTTTTTTTTTTTGGTTATGCTATGTTGTAGCTTCGGTTACAGTGCAATCTCCATCTAAAATAACTACCATGAGCAAGTCAAACCACTTGATTTATCTCTTAAGTATGATTTTGAGTCGCATTGACCTGGAGACATAGACTGTTTGTAGCTTTGACACACCACCTAAACATCTAGGAACAAGCATTAAGATTCTTCGTTTTACCTTTTTTTATTGTCGTCTTTACATAGATACCTATTATGCATAGCATTGTAAAATAATAAAGAGATGTTTTTCTTAATGCACACAAATACTGAGACAATTTTATCAGTCTCAGTGATTGCCAAGAGCGGAAAGCAAGGTATTTAAAGTTTTCTCGTATTTTGCTTCCTAGATCATTGTATCAGCCACATGAAGTGCAATTGCGTCGGCTTTTCTTTTTAACTTTGATAGCAGATGATTGAACATTGTTTATACCTAATCATCTTTGCAAGATATCTTATCTCAGGCATCTGTTACGTATTATGCATCAACACATCAGATGGTCTGCTTTATTTTATGTCAGCAAGCTCACTTTCAAATGAGGATAACTGCATACCCAATAATCCCAAGTAACTGGGTAATGATGTTAAATATGTTTATCGTTAATAACTATAACGATAAAAACGTATAATTATTTCGAACAAGTCACCCGTTGGCACGCTTTCGATGTTAATGAAAGTAAATTGTATATTGATAATCAACATTTCACAACTTTTTCTCATTGAAATTTAAACCAAAAGGAACGATAATCCCGGCTTACCATTGATCACAATTCTGTGTTTATTTGTACACTCTGACATATTACGAAGAAAGCAATTGGGAGTTTGAGATCTAAGCATAGAGTTTTTATGTAAAGGTCTTTGATTTGTTAGTTCTAATATCTTTGTACTCTTTCTAGATGCTCCGGGGATATACACAGTGTTTTCTTGTGTACTTAATCAGTAGTCTACTACACTCTCGCTTGCCCTTTACTCACACACGATCTATGTTTTTACCCAATTCATAGAACCCGCACCACTGTTTGGGATACAAATAGATTGCTATCCAAAAACCTTTTTATTATGGAAGTCAGTCACATGAGTGTCCCCAAATATCAGGTTTTAGAGAGTGCCCTTGACATTTTCCCTAACTAAGTTTATACTTCACCAATAAAAAGAAACAGTCAGCAGACGTTATATCCTAAAAGAGAAACACGTTTTTATTTAACAAATTTGAAGGAGAATTGTTTTTTTTTCTCACGTAATAATGGGCCAAAATTTTTGAGACCTGCCTCTTGTGACCTCACATGCTTTATATTAGTGTGGTGTGGTGTCGCGCATTTCAAAAAACTTTAAGGTCCTCCTGCCACCAAAAAAAGGAGGGGCCTTGAACATCTCTCATAATGTGTGTAATAGAAGATAAGCCATAGCGCAATTCTTGTAATACATAGCCAGGATCACAATAAACGCTGTCATTGCTATACAAAATCTTACATTTGGAGACTTTCGATTGTACTTTTTTTTTTTTTTTTTTTTTTTTTTTTTTGGTACATAATAAAAAAGAATACGCGGAATATAATGTTTAAATTACCGTGTAATTGAGCTACTTGTGCCTTGTCTGAGACGCGGCTCTTCCCAATTTTCCAGATTTTCAACAAATCTTTGCTATTATTAGTAACTTTGATGTACTAATAAGGAATAGACCGGTTAGTTTCACATTTCCAGTGGCAACTTGTCACAAATAAGGTCAAAAATCGAAGCAATTGATTTGTTTACAATAGTAAAAAAAAAAAAAAAGGACACAAGTTTAATTATGGAATAAAAATATTTATTTCTAAGGTATTAATAACCGGAATGGGAGAGATAATGATGTGGTAGATAATGTTTGTATTATATGTACTATAAGATAGGAATTGTGTGTACAGGTGAGAGGAACACAATCTACTTTATGAAGGGGAGGGGAGGAAAATAAAGACAAAGAAGGAGTTAGGGAATGGAGGTTTTATATTGAATGGAATATGAGATCAACTCATATCACAAAATTTGAACTTTACAAATGAATGGAATGAATGTGTGTGTGTGTCATGGAGACAATTGAGAGCTGTCGCTTTAAAGGAAATGCCATTCGACCTTGAGAACACCCTTACTGAATGCACCAATTTGACCGAATGCAGCGGGAGAAAGATCAATATGGCTCTTGGCACAACTTTCGCAAGCATCCTTGATGGTAACTGTGACACTCTTGCCATTGTCCTTGTTAGTAACCTTGACCTTCTTGTTACAGACGCTACTCTTCTTGCTATAAGAACCATAGAGACTTCCACTAAGAGCAGCAATTAAATCATTGTTATCGTTCCAGTCACCACAGGCACCTTGGTTAGGAGTGAAGAAAGTAGCAGTACCAGTGTATCCACCACCGCCACCGCTAGATTGGGAAGTCTTCTTGGTAGTCTTCTTGGTGGTCTTCTTCTTGGTGGTCTTCTTAGTAGTCTTCTTGGTGGTCTTCTTCTTGGTGGTAGTCTTCTTCTTGGTAGTCTTCTTAGATTTCTTTGTGGTTTTTGCTGGACTGGAGCTATCCTTGTTACACTTGATCTTGGAAATTTTGCTGAAAGGAACATAGACTTCTCTCTTGTACTTTGCATCATTGTATCTTTCAGGGCTGTCATACCATTTGGCAGAGATGGTACATTTGCTACCAGAATGACGGACATCATTTTCATCTTTGAATGAGGCTGAGGATTCAAGGTTGACAGTAATGGTTGTTTCGGTACAGCTGCTGCCATCGAGGCTAGGCTTTCCACGAATTCTAAGGTGAGAAGAAGAAGCCTTGATCTTGGATTCATTGAAAGTGTATTTGCAGCTCTTTGCTACGACATTGCTGATGACAGCTAAAAGAACTACAATAAAGATACAAGCTTGAGAGAATTTCATTTTTTCTTCAATTGATTAAAGTGAATTAAATATATATAAAAAAAGAATAGAAATTGAATTTGTATGAAAAAAAAAAAAAAAAATAGGAATTACCGAAATTGAGCGTCCTTTATATACATTCGTGAAGTTACCCGTACTTTTTTTTTTATAAACAAGCAGAAATATAGAGAGTACAAGATATCCCAATAAAGAAACGCAATTAAACTCAATTATTGTTACACTATGTTTTGCCACGACAAGGGAACCGCCTCCCCTCGCATCAATGTTTTACTATATTCAAGTTTATTCCTGCCGACGGTGAAAGTATTTGTCAAAGTGCAGCGTGTAATTTGAATTTTTTATCCTCAGTCTTAAAAATATAAAGCACTTTTTATTATTGCTTATTAATTGGCAATGGATATGAATGGTAATTTGAAATAATGGCATTGTACCTGGAAAAGTCACTTTGTCCTTCTAGGGTTAACCGAAACAAGATCTTGTAATAAATTAGTTGTACATTTGAACTTGTGATTTTCTGGATAATAAAATACGAGAATTTCCAATTCTTCGTGAGGTACAACCAAAACGTTAATTAAACATCTCCCCCCCCCCCTGTTTTTTTCTTTTAAAAAATCATGTTACAATTGAATGCTACAATAAGCACATGAAACGTAAGGGAATAACATAATCGTTATATTTCCTTTGCCCGGCCCGTAATACCTGAACAGGGTACACTTTTCTTTATTCCTCTGCGGAGATAGTCATTTTTTTTTCGTCATCATTCATCCCCCAACAGAAAACGCAAGAGTGCTAGCCGGGTACACAACTTTACCGCGCCTTGACCTCTGAAAATATTTGTATTTCCGCTGGCTTAAATCATTGGTAAAAGGATCAAGAAAAAACAAGAAAAAAACTTGCGATGTATTCCTATAATCTTTTTTTGTCCCATTAAAAGGTAAAACGTAAACGTTAGGTGTAATATTTCATGATATATTTATTGTTACATCAATTCTAGAAAATTATCGGCTAAAAAAATGGAATGCGTCCGTATCACAATTTTTTTCCGTTGTGGAATCTTGTGCACTGCGCGCAGTCCGTTCCATTTAAGTGCCAAAATGGCTGTCGCAAAAAGGTAAATATAAATTAAAGTGTCGTACTTTAAACAGTGTCGTAAATTTTTAATTTTATTCTGGACCCCCTTACCTCCTTGTGGCGAGAAAGTGCAGAATATTTTTTTTTCAAGGGAGTCTTAATAAAAAGGTTAATAGAAATTTAAGCTGATCTATAAGCATACATAAAAAAAAGCGTGACATTATGGTTTTAAGGGGAACACATAAAAGCGGTGCTTCCACCATACGGCTTAAACATGATTGGATGAGCTGTTTTCATCGTGAAAATAGACGTGTTACCATCATTGTTTTTGACCCTTCCATATTAAGATTGAATTACTTTATAATCCACGCAACGAAAAAAATGACAGGTAACTTTTTGTGAAACACAATAAAAAAAAAGACTCGGATTAAGTGTGCATGTCATCACTGCCAAACTAATCAAACAAACCAGTGGAGGTTCATGGAACCTATCTAAATCATTAACTATATTTCTACGTATATTACTTTTTTGTGTATTGGACACTCGAGAATATTATAAATCTTTAATTTTACCAAATCGTAGTTTTGGTGTAACTGGGATAAGAATTTCATCCTGGTAATTCGCTGCATCCGGGTGGCCTAATCCTACTTGGAGCGGGTATCGTACCGGATCCCACATCGTTTCTTCTTTCACCCTTTCTTTTTAGCTTGCAATAATAAACAAGAATTAAAAAATAAAGATTTCTGTAAAATCCATTATTATTATGTATTTCCAACAACGCATTGTTTACTATTCTTTTCTTTATAATTTCCATTTCTTTATCTAATCGGAATCAATACTTGTGGAACACTTGTCGGTACAATATCTCTTTTCATTACAATAAGTTCGGCACCGAAACTCTTCTATAGCATTCATTGCGTTACATCGATCTAGACACGTCAGTGTTTGTGGGAGTTCGAATTTTTTTTTTTTTTTTTTTTTTTTACTAACTCACTAGACGAGATGGTCCCGCTTATTTTACCTCGCCTACCTCCCGTGAGCAGTAGTAGGATCAAATTCGCAACTCTACGTTCTAGGCACATGTACGTCCTTGGATTGAGTTTCCGATTGAACTAAAACAGGTTCGTACAGTGAAACATATCTGTAACCCTCTTACTGTTGCCGACCACATAATAACCAAACAATTAAGCAAAAAAAAAAAAAAAAAATCGTTCTGGGTCGACGCTGATATCCGATTTCCATAAACGTACAGGCCTACTTCTGACGATAGATAAAATCATGAATCAACATTGATAGCTGACACAATACGGGCAGTATATAACAGTTTGCGATATAATAAGCTTTTGTCGTTCTGCAAGGCTTGATTAGCGATTGATATTTTCTCTGAGTATCCCTGATTTTATTTGGTTGCTAGGGATTTGCAAAGATTCGAAAAACGATACCACATACATTGTAGGTTAGTTACAAAGTAGCTGCTCTCACCCGAAAAAAAGATCATATCTAGTTGGGCGTATTTTAGCTTTGCATCACTAAACGAATATTAAAATTTTCCATTTTTTATATTTTTACTCTACGGGTTCAGCTTACAGGATGATACGGGGTCGAAAATTCAAAAGCACTGAAGGCTGAGAAAAAAATAAGTGACCTTCTTTTCTCTCTTTCTGACTTGCCACACTGACATGACATCGTTAAGGGAAGCAGCTGACATGCCATCGGCAAGTACTGCCATTGACGCAATTACCCAAAGCCTTCACCTAATCAATGAGGCTCAGTATGACCCGCTTGCTTCAAGAAGAAGAACTTTTGATACTTCTAATCAGCCCGACATCGAAAGCCAATTGTTTCCCCGAAGCAAGAAACATCAAAAGATAACGAGAGCTTCCATAGACGAATTTGGGAATCGGATTGCTGAATATTTAGGCTTGCCACCCAAAGTTGTCGTTGTTGAAGAGGAACTACAGGGAGTTCCAGCTTTTAACGCTTGGGAGGAGTTTATTGTATCTTTTGCTAAAGCCTACCTCGTGTTTAAAGGAATAAATCCTGATCCAGTAACTATCACGCAAGAAAATCGAGGTAAAGCAATATGCTGTTTTTGCTCTTTCGACCAGATTAGACATGTACAGCTCAATATGTTTTTCTGGAATAGTAAGTCTTCCTTTTCTTAATGTATTGTCATGATTTAAAGTGTGATTGTTTTTTTAGCCATTAAGGAGAAGGAAGAGTTTATGTATTGCACAAATTGTTCCAGCTTGCCTGTTGCTTTAATAGAGGTTGGCATGTTTCCTCTCTCGAATCTACAGCAACCATCAGGCGCTGTGCATTTTAGTGTCTGTGATTATTTTGACAAAATGAGAAAGGCATTTGACGGCTCCGGAAAGCAAACAGCGGACTTTTATAACGCATTGCACGGCAAAGATAAGGTACAACTTTTTTTTCTCGGAATGTAGAAAACAAATTTTGACATCGTTATTTTTTTTTTAAGCCTCTTTTATCAGCTAGAAATTGCGCCGATATTATATTATTGTATAGGAGAATGATGGAAGTATCTGGGGAGTGGCCTTCTACTTATAATGTAAGCATGAATAATCATTGAGTTATAATTTCCAATTCTAAAGGAAATTTTTCTGTTACTAGGAATCCGATGAAGAGTAACTTTTAATGTAGAATAAATGAAAACATTTGGTTCACTGTCTACAGCACTGGTTTGCAGTAGAATCTTTCTATCGATTGGATTTTTAAGCATATCATTTTATGTACAGTTTTAAATCAAATAGTTACATTTATATGCCATGAATCTGCTATGGCTAATTTCTTGATTATTATTCAAACCGTCTGGTGTAATTTCAGATTAATTTGTTAGATAGTTTAAACAGTTGATGATTATACAAAGGTATATTGCCAAAGATACTTAAGAAAATGATGTTGACGCTGTCAAAAATTCAATAATTATTGTGTATGAAATAGAAATTCTTGTAATTGTTTAGACCGCTTTATATTACATACTCATGATTTTCTGTTTTACTGAATGTCATTGCGTACCTAGTGACTTAATTAACTGTTAGATAAGATACTAGTAACTAATAGAGCATACAGGTATACCTATCTAAATGCAAGGTCAATTCTTGGCTTAAGATTGTTTCCGCTACTATAACTTTAGACTAAACACATGTATAGTGTATGTGCGAACCAATGTAAATATGATAAATTAATGAGAGACGCCCACGTACCGAAGGTTCGTTTCTACCCAGCAATCCTTAACCCGAAGTTACAGATATGTTTTGTCGAATTCCCTTATCAACATTGTGTTTTTGAAATTTATTTTAAAGGACCATCTCGAAAGTCTAGGAGCATCCCCAGCAGTGACGCTTAAAATCGGTTTTTCGGTTAAACACACCCAGCAATGGTTTTAAAGTTTTTTTTTTCTTAACGAAATTTAAGATTTCGCTAGAGTACGAGTTTTTTAAAGGTTAATAAAAAAAATCGATCTTTGACAAAAAAAATTGAGTCCTTTTCCTCTTCAAGAAAATAATTAATATCAGCAATTAGGCAACGACGAGTAAAAAAAAACATCATATTTCGTTTTTTATTCAGGCACATTTAATTTTTTTAGTCGACTGCTGGGGTTGGTTTAAAACTTTTATGTAACTGCACTTTAAGTTAAGTGTTTTTTAAGCGCTACTGCTGGGGATGCTTTTAGATAAAACAACTTTAAGCCCACTGCTGGGGGTGAAAAAACTACTATTTTGCGCTTATGTAACCGAAAACGGATTTTAAGCGCCACTGGTGGGGATGCTTTAAGTATCTCTCCGGGCTTATTGCCATATAAAGGATTGGAAACATCATTCATTTGTTGAAATAGAACAACTGCTAGGAGTATTAATTGTAAGCACTCTAAATATGCATTTAGGTATTCCGCTGGAGATCTCTCAGTCTATTAAATAATAAAACAACGCTAGCATCAGATAGCTAAACGATCTCATATGTGTGATGAGAGTGTCCCGCATAAACAAAGGGTTGATTCGTATATCTACAATACTGTCGAAAGGCGGCGTAAGTAAATTAAGAGATAAAAAAAAAGTACAAAGCAAAAAGAAAATAAAAAGGGATGACTTAGTGCCACACCCTCTCTCCATCTGAAGATTTTCTAAATATGGCTATGTTAGATCAGTGTTCTTTAAACCCTCCATAAAGTGGGGGCCAGAGAGCATCTTCAGTCTTTCTAGCAATTGCTCTCTGTGGATATTTTTAAATTGCTGTTGTAAATAGTTTTTCCGCCACATACCCATTGTGCCATTGCGTAATTGTGCGACAGAATTATATTGTTGTTGTGCAGGGTTACCCATTCTGTGTTCGGATACTAGGGAAAAATATGCCGTGATAATATGTATGGATGATATAATAGCCAATATACTCGATTTAACGCGTCTAATAGATCAAAGTGAGTAAGGTAATGCACCAATGCAAAATTGGAGTGGATGCATGAAAAAAAGGGTGTAATGTGACTGATTTACTTTTCGCGTGTGGCTTACACCCAAATTTTATTTTTTCGGATATGTCAAGGCTAGCAAAATAAAGGGAGACCCTTTTTAGCTTACCAACAAACCCGCCTAGCCATGTCTTTCCAACTGACATCTTCAGCAAAAAACACCCAATTACTAGGCAATGTGCTTAGTTTGTACATGTCCAATGACAACTTGATCCATACGAACCTGTCCTTTGTCATTGATATCATCGTCAATCATCGTTTGTTTAACGAAACTCGCGAACCCAGCGAGGATTTAGCTTCTGTTTACAGAAAGTGGACAGTTCGTTTGAATTCGCTCTTACAATCCAAGAATGTTGCTGCACGTTGGTGTGGTATCACGCTTGTCAGAGTCACCTGCGAGAACTCACACACACTCTTGATTGCTAACGCAAAGACGTGGAGTGCACAACTTTTAGGCTTCGTTGGTGTAAAGTATTTCGACTTGCTTCTAAAAAAAAATTGAACCTTGACATTGATATCATTTTTTTTTTACACTTGTATAGAAAGCAGAACCTCTCATTATTCACCAAGAAGCTATTAAAGCTCTTTCATTCTTATTTTCGTACACTGTCGATAAACCCGAATTACAAAGAGAAGTGGCCACACCCAACCTTCAACGTTATAACCAACTTTTACTTCAATTGGGTCGCAAGCAAGATTTATTACCCATTGTTCTCTCTGCATTGACTGCCAATGTCAAATGTTTCCCCTCCACCTCTAGACATATCTCTGACCAAGTGCTTCAACTCTGTCTTTCTTGCTTAGACGGCTCTAGAGATTTGGATGAAAAGACAATTAAAGAAGCCAACAAGTGTGTAGCTTCATTATATAACGCTGGTGGCAAAGCCAACATGGCCGAAGTATGGAGAGATAGTTTGTTACGTCTTATTGGATCTGTACATGTTTGTTTAGACAGACTTTTTGATACAATTGATGAAGGTAGACACATAACAGGATACATTATATATGGTATAGGGGGTAATTAACTGATTTGTATCATCGTTAGAATCACAAGAAGCTGAATTACCAAAAGCATATCCTTTCCTTCCCGTTTCACATGATTATGTTGAAGCTTTCCCCGTTTTACTCAAGAGAATTCAACTTGTACAAGAATGTATCTCCACCTTCTTAACGTAAGTCACAACATATAGTCAGAGGAAGAGCATTGGCTGATAATTCTATCATAGTACATCTACAACTATTGCTGTCGGTGTCCCTGTTGTTCATTTAGTTGATCTTATTTGTCGTATTTATAACGTGTTTGAAGGATCGCTGGTAAAAGGAATATGGATCTGAAGAAGAAGAAGAATGGTATACTAACAAGATATGTTTAGATGCGTGATTACAAGGACAAAACCGAGTTCTTCACATTGATGATGTGCCTTCCTGCTTTACATTTAAGTACCAGCAAAATGTTTACTAGTTTATTATATTGGTAAACCTTAAAAAGAAGGATACATGCATGCATATACTAACGATTGTTGGGTAATTTAGTTCTGGCCAAGAAATGATGCGTTATAGTAAACTCTTTTCCAGAATCTTACTTCGTCTTTTAAGCGAACACAAAAACAAGAGAACATTGAAATCATCCGCCTATAAATTAATATCATTATGTTTGGAAAAATGTGGATATGCATTCGGAGAGAATATTTACAAGCAACTGACAATATACATCTTGCAAGATCTCCTCGTAGTTCAACATAAAGCCGCCAGTATTGTCAACACATCTGGACAACAAAAGAAATCACACAAGAAGAGAAGAACCGAAGTGACTAACTCTGATTCTTTATCCAACAAGCTTATTTCTGCATCCTCGACCGATGTACAAGTGGCAGCTCTTGATACACTTGCTACCTTATTAAACGTATTTGGTTTTGCCATGGAGAACGGTCAAAGATCCTCTGTAGATGGTACTGTCTTGAGCAGATTAATTCAAGTAATCCAACCTTCCAACATGTCCGATGAAGAAATCATCCTTGTCAAGGCAGGTCTTTACCAATGTTTGATCGCATCTGTCTCTCACCCTATCGAGACTCAGGCTAGTATTCTTCCCCATGCCTCTCGTCTTTTCGCCGCTGGTGTCAATGATCAATCACATGAACTCCAAACCTTGTGTAAGAAGGGTTTGAGTGTTTGCGACTTAATTACCCATTCCAGATTACCTCCTATCCAAAGAGTTTTACCCAAGGTATCCCCTGCTGTTGTAGTGACCGCTCAAGAGCTTGCAGAAGAAGAGAGTGAAGTGGAAGAAGAAGAAGAGGAAGAGGTGGAAGAGGAGGAATTGATGGAAGAGAAACCTGTTGAAGAAACCAAAGAGATTAAATCTGTTGAAATCACACCCGTCAGTTTACCTACTATTGTTAAGCCCGTTACTTTACCACCCGTGCAAAAGGAAGTCGTTTTCCAAGTTGTTGAAGAAGTAGTTGAGGAAACCAAGCCTGTTGAAGAAGCAAAACTTGTTGAAGAAAGCAAGGCTGTAGCCAAGGTTACCGCGGAAACAAAGTCAGTTGAAGAGGTGAAGTCTACTGAGACTATTGATATCTCAGTGTCCACAGCAGAGACTACTGTCGCACCTGTTACCAATGTCAGTGACGATGAGGACATGGATTTAGATATGCCAATGATTGATATGACTGGACCTGATAGTGATGAAGAGGATGACGAGTAAATAGTAAATAAAGAAATAATAATAAAAAAAAGCATAATACAGTATTCGTACGGATTCGAAATGATATCTAGACAATTGATAGTGATAAAAAGACAACCATATCTTTAAGAGAAAGGTCCTTTCGTGGGCTCTATTTTCTTTTTACAACGATGTAGATCTAAAGCTATCAGATCTTGATCACGAGTAAGTCAGATACGTATAACCCTATCCATGTCCAAAAAGGTAAACGTTTCATCTGAATTTCTGTATATCTGAGAAACTGGCCAGAAAAACTGTAGATGCATGTGATGAATGTCCCACCCTGCGTGAATTAAACCCGTTTCATGTAATTGGCTGATATTTTTTCCACGTCCCCCACTTTTGTACGAGCACGACTTTTTTGAGAGGAGAACAATTAAAATTTCTCTTTGTTCCTTTTTCATAACTCATCATCATGTTGAAAGTATTCCTTGATTCTATTACAAAGCCTGAAGAGCTCCAAGCCTTGTGTAAATACAAGTTTGCTCCCAAGTCAGCTTCTGCTGCCAGCCTTCAACAAACTTTAGCCCAAGACACGTCAAAGAAGAGCTGTTACGAATTCTTAAACATGGTAATAATTATTTTGTATTTATGCATGTCATTCCGGCCTTTATTCACCTCTTGTTTACACATAGACCTCTCGAAGCTTTGCTGCTGTTATTCAAGAATTAGATGAAGAATTAAGAGATTCGGTATATACCCCCTTTCATTTTTTTTTATTGTTCCATTCACTAAAAACTTTTTAAGGTTTGTTTGTTCTATCTCGTGTTGCGTGGCTTGGATACAATTGAAGATGACATGTCTTTGGATTTAAATAGAAAGGTTGAATTGTTGAGATCTTTTGACCAAATCATTTACCAAAAGGGCTGGACCTTTAACGAAAGTAAGTAAATAACAACCTTTGGTTTAAAAAAGTGGAGAAAGAGAAAAGGGGGAGAGGGATGGAACTTGGCATTAAATGTGTAAACTATTAGATGGACCTAATGAAAAGGATCGCGAGTTGTTGGTTCACTTTGACGTGATTATCAACGAGTTTCTTCGTCTCAAGCCCGAATACCAAAAGGTAATTGCCAATATCACCAAATTGATGGGTGATGGTATGGCCGATTATGTCTCTGGAGAACACCGTGAAAACACAGCTATTGCAACCGTTAAAGACTTTGACCTCTATTGTCATTATGTTGCAGGCCTTGTGGGTTATGGTCTTTCGGACCTCTTTGCCGCTTCGGGTCTTGAATCCAAAGAAATTGCTGACGACAAGGTCTTGTCAAATGCAATGGGTCTCTTCTTACAAAAAACCAACATTATTCGTGATTATCGCGAAGATTTAGATGATGGCCGTCAATTCTGGCCAAAGGAAATTTGGGGTAAATATGTCGAAAAGTTCAGTGATCTGACCAAGCCCGAATATAAGGATAAGGTAACATGAGAAGTTTCAATTAGGGCAAAAACATGTGTTTTTTTTTCTAACCAAGCTCTTCCCATTACATAGGCACAAGCTTGTTTGAGTGACATGGTGTTGAACGTGTTAGATGATGTTCCTCAAGTTCTTACTTATCTTTCAAAGCTCAAGAACCAATCCGTCTTCAACTTCTGTGCTATCCCTCAAGTGATGGCTATTTCTACTCTTGCTCTTGTCTTTAACAACCTCGACATTTATCATCGTAACCTCAAGATTCGTAAGGGACAAGCTGTCAAGTTGATTATGGATAGCAAAGATATGGATCATGTTGTGTCCATCTTTAGACAATATGTCTTTGAGATCTCTCGAAAGAACGAGGCTACAGATCCCAACTTTATGAAGATCTCCATGGCTATTGGTAGAATCGAACAATGGATTGCTGCCAACTATAAGCCTTCTCCTCAGTCTCTTCAAAAAGCTCAACAGCCTAGTATTTTCTTGCCCATTATTCTTGGTCTTCTTGGTATGTTCATCATGAACTACTTTAAGAATGCTTAAAAATTTATTTTGTATTTAAAAACACCTACTTATCTCCATATTTTACATTAATATCTCGTTTTACATCTATAATTTTTTTTTTGTTTTTATATACTAATTTACAAGGTTTTTTTTTAAGACGCATGGTTTTTAAAGTATTGTGTAAGATTTTCGTATACTAAAAATGTGATACAGGTACCAGGCAGTACACGGATAATATTGGGCGATAAACCCTTATAGAAGCCAATGTAACCCTCCGCCTTGTATATCTTTTTACCGCAATCAATGACACCTGTGTATGTTTCACTCGTAGCATGATTCTAATATCCTATGAGTATATACGAATAAAGTAAAATGGGGGTCGTTGCACTTACTTGTAATCGGCTTTTCAAGACTTGGTAAGGATAGGTAATAACAGATGCAGTGACCTTAGATGCTGCAGCCATTACGATATATTCGGTTTGGCTTAATTGTGTGTTATGCTCATCCGAAGCACTTATTCCCTTTGCCTGCCTCAATTCATTTCTTTTCTTCTTCATTTCCTCGTACGCCATAAATTGAATGGCACCATGGGAAACACCGAATAAAGCAGGTACAATACCTCTATACAGACCTTTAACACCTTCCTCCATGTATAATCTTTTTAACCCATCGAATAATCCATTGTATGCATCTGGTGTGTTGTATTTTGTTGTACACATACGGGTTTTAATTACCCAGAGAGGATTTGCCATCAAGGCTGTTAAAGCACCTTCACATATTTTTTTTTGTTAATATCGCATACATACTCATACTTAGATATGCAAATGGAACTCACCTGCTTCAGCGGATGCGGTTAAATGTTGCACAGCAGATAATTTTCCTTGCTCATCCTTTGTCATGTACTTCTTAATCAGACTATACCAACCGAAATAAAAACCCCAACTGATAGTAGCGCCTGCCATATTGGGTGTTACACCTCTGTACAGTCCTCGCCATACACCCTCGTCAGTAACGATCGCTTTAAACGATCGAATTGTTCCCCCGATAACAGGTCTTTTTTCAGAATAACGAGCCGAATCCACTGAACTTGTGTGTTAGTATGTCTTCGTGTATGGCATTTTTGGGAGTTCGTCCTTGTTTTTTTTTTTGGTTACCTTGGAACCGGATCTTGATTAGATCTAACGGGTGAAGTAAAGCAGTGGAAACCATACCAGCACCGAAACCTGCCAATGCTTGGTCCTGTCACATTTCAAATTAGTCTACTCTGCAAGTCTTTTTCTTTTTTCTGAGTAAGGTATAGTTACAGTATGTGGTGACCCTGTGAAAGAAGGTGTATGTGTTGTGGTCATTGAATGTAAGGAAAAATGTAAACAACAATAGAGTCAAAAAAAAAAAGAGATGTTTGGGTTAAAACGTCGGTAACTGAATTTGTTTTGATGTCAGTCATGTGAATTCGAGGGGTTGTTTCTTGAAAAATCTCACGGTTGTTGTATTCAAATACCTAACAGAATGCTCGGTGAGTATCCTTATAGAAAATACTTCAACAAATAAAAAAACCATTGAAAATTAATGTCACAATGGTCTAGTATATGATTTATGCGACTTTTATTTCTTAAAAACGTGCTTAAATCACCCTCGTCTTTGTTGGTACTGTAGAGATATACATTGATTTTTTCGAAACAATACCTGGTATCTATTCAACTTTGACTAGAACTAACCCTTGTTGAGCTTACTAAAGCGATAAAAATAAGCCGTGTGAACATGATGTATTTTGCCTCTCTTTATTTAACGATAACAATTACCCCGAATCATTGTCATAAATAAGTCTTATTTATTGACAATATAACATGCCCCACAAAGTAAGATTAAACAGCTATTAGCAAAACACACTTCTTTTTGGGAAATAAATATATTGATGCCTTTATACCATTAACCCAGAGACATACATGTTTTATAGAATGGGTATTGCAAATATTCGTAAAGTAAAAGAGAACAAAAGATCCGTATTTTACTTTAAGTTTGCTACCAAAGCTTTGTACCCGAGTATTTTTATACATCGGAAGAAGTATATGTATCTTTAAAGGATGCTGACTCATTTATCGTGCGCATATCAGTTGAACAGAACGAAGACAATATTAATATTCCATTAAGTTGAGCGATTTTTTATTTTATTTCATCTTAGTTGTAACTATATCTTCGAATTGTCAAGCCAACAATCGGCAAAGGGAACCGATTTTTGAGACTGTTAAATTCTCATTATGCAACGGTCCTCAGGCTTAAAATAATTTAGAAAATACTTTATATAAGGCTAGTAGCAGACGGCCTTCGTATACTAGTATATATGCATTTGTATCTCTTTGGGTAAAGACTTATTGCCAATGTGTTTAAAAGATCCAGCGATGACATAAATAATACATATGTATTTTATTTTAAAAAGTATGTATCTCCTGTAGAGTAGTGTACCTTTTAATGAATTTTAATTGTCGAATATAATGTCAGCGCCTTATATGCTTAGAGCTATTTCGGTTCTTTAAATGACAAATCACGACATTCTTCTAGTAGAAAATATAGCTAAAGTATATAAACCTTTTCCAAGACAGAACAAACGAAACTATTATACATGATAACTTATACGTTTAATCATGAGAGCTCCGACGTTTTTATTGTTATTATATTGCGATAAGAAATAATTTAAATAAAGCAATTGACCTGTCGTTTGTTATTCGGTATTATAACCCTTGTTTCAAAAAGTAAAATAATAATAAAAAAAAAACTTTCGATTATGACTAAGAACTTACCATTTTTTTTTTTACAGGAATTAGTAGTACGTTCATATATCCGTAACATTACCGTCGAATTAAACATACCATGTTTCTTATTTTCCCGTAGAAAAAAAATCAAGATCGATAACAATAATATTATAAATGTACTACATTACAGAATACCAATGAAATCAGATAGTAGTGTACACGCCAAGCTGAAAACAAACCAATTAAAGCGCGGATAAACGACATGATTCAATTACAACAACTTACTTTTTTGTTCACACATGATTATCAGCTACATCACTAAATAAGGAGGCACGTAAATGAAGCATGTAAATGAAATAATTTATTACAATATGGTATAAGATGATTACAAGTATAAAAAAAAAGAAAGAAAATTAAGTTGAGTGAGTGTGTGAGTGTTGGGATATAATTAGCATAAGATATTTTCGAGGTTCATATTTCGATCCAGAGAAGTATGTTCATGGACTACAATTGTAGGTGGAGTGGAGGCTTTATTCAAGTTAATGACGTCCATAGGTTTTAAGCTCTTTAATTTGGGAGATGAGGAAGAGACAGACCAAGCGTCTTCTTCATCATTTATTGAGAACTGAGATGTAAATGGTTCGACTTCTTTCGGGAGCATGGAGGATTGTTGGATTGGTTTAGTACATTCTGTTTGAATAGCACCTGTCGTGTCTAGTTCTTCAATGACTGTTTTAAGATAGGTAATGTAATCAATAGCACTTTGCAGGATCGTCATCTTGTGAAGATTTTCTCGATCAGTACAAGCAGGGATCAGATCTTTTAACTGCAGTATTTTATCATTGATCTTCTCGCGACGTCTTCGTTCGATAGCACTATGTGATACTTTACGGGCTTGTTCGCGTTGATCTGCTGTAGTGCTGGATCCAGTAGACGAAACCGAGTTGTTACGAACGGTTGTTGTCGGGTGTAGTTGAGGAGACATTTGAACAGGGTAAGGAAAGTAATTATAAGTAGGGGCTAATGCAGCATTCGGTGATTTGGGAAGGATACGTTGTGGAGAGGAAGGTAAGGTGGGTGACAGACTTGGTGATATGGGAGGCTGACCCACTGATAGAAAATAAGAAGGGTGTTGATACACTGGATAATAGGATGGCACCAGATGTGGGTAAGGCATGATCGGGGGCGGTAATGCAACTGAAGGAGCGGCGGTTATCTTTACGGGCTCAGATCGCTTTCTTTTTTTGCTTGAAGGTGGTGGCATTTCGTGAGTTGTGGAGATTTCTTCGGTCATAGAACTTCTTATATACTTAATAAAAAAAAAAAAAAATAGTAAATAACAATAAAAAAGAAAGAAAAAATAAAAAAGGTTTCTGTTTCAGTGAAATGGAATGTATGGAAAAAACAAAAAGAATTGGGAAAATTAAACCCAATTATAACTTAGATTGGTGCAGCGTGTGTGTGTGTGTATGCTCGTACTTTTCATAAATTTGAGGGGTGGGCCAATAGTTACCAATCGTATATGACATTGTAAACCACGTGTGTTTCTGATTGGTTAAATTTTCGGTCACGTTTGTCAAAGCACTTATTGATTCATTTCTCCTGATTCGATCGCGCGCTCTCTCTCTCTTCACCACACACGTGAGATTTGGGGAGCGAGTGTTATTTAGAACGGGCAGAATACTTTTTTTGTTAGCGTCATCGTAGATAGGAACTTCTAACACTTCTTGTCAATCCTTTTTTATGACGATTGTACCACGCTCATTTTTTTTTTATTTCATCTAGCTAGTAAAAATGCATCCTACTCAGAATATCTGAGTGAAATATGGAGACAGTGCATTATGTGGCACTTGCGTAGTAGATATGCTTTTATTTTCCAAAAAAAAAGAAGGGCTTGCAGGAAACCAAAAGGGATCTACAACGCCAAAATGTCGACTCCCCTAGATCAATCAGTCGGAAAAACAAAAATATATTCTAGAAACGCCATGGTAATCACTAGCGGCCAACCTAACAGAATATAGCTAAATTTATCACAAGATTACGCGTATCTTGATCTGCTGAGAAACTCACTCAATATATGAACTGGACCAAGCACTTAATCCTTAGCTTACAACCTGCATTAACCGAGTATCGGTATAAACAGTAGAATGCATTTGCTTGACATATGCAGATAAACAAATACACTTATAAGAACACGGTCCTTCTTCAATTATTATGTCAAGTTGATGATGCTGGAAGATAACAAGGGCATAGAATTCTATGAAAAAGACAAAACAAATGTTTACTAATCATTTCTAGTGCATCTAATGATATATTAGAACTGGCAGATACAAAAAAGGGCACATGTAATATAAGCGGTCTTTTTTATTTTTATTTTTATTAAGCGCTCTGTTCATTGGACATGAAGAAGATCTGATACCCATAAAAAAATATTTTTTGATATGACACGTGTTTAAAGTGCGCCTTATGTCAAAAATACGGCTTAAGGAGTGTACATTACGTAATATCATGCGTGTAACATTCGCGAAAGGAACTTCCTATCCCAGATACAGACCAAAACTCAGGGCAAAAAGATGAAAAAAAATATGGGGAAAATGTAATTTTTAATATGTTTTCTTTATGAAAAACAGTGGAATAAAAAAAACGATGTTGGAGGGGGAAATTTGGTAGAAAAAGAGAGAGAGAGAAAGACAATCAATAAAGAGAGATTTACTCCTTCTTGGGCTTCTTGGCCTTCTTGACACCACGGAACTTCTTCTCACGGTTCTTCTTTTCCTTACGTTGCTTACGACCACCCTTGGGGGCTTCAGCAAGACCGATACGGACAAGACGATGCTTGGGTTCGAACTTCTTTAAGGCTTCGACGTTATCGTAGATCAAGGCGAAACCAGTGGTCTTTCCACCACCGAAATGGGTCTTGAAACCGAAGACGGAGACGACTTCCTTCTCGGACTTGTACATCTTACCAATCTTGGCACGGAGTTCTTCCTTGGAGACATTGGCGAGTCCAGGATGAATAACATCAACGACCATTTGCTTACGTTGGAGCAAACGGTTAGTAAGGAACTTACGAGTACGGATGGTGACTGAAGATGCGTCGGCCTAACAAAACAGATAAAGTCAGTTTTTTTTTGACGATGTAGGGCATTCATTTTAATGTTTAATTTGAGAGAGAAATTGGTCATTGGGAGAAATGTAGTTTTTTTTCCATCATATTTTTTTTTCTAATCGCAAATCCAACTGATATCGCCCCTTATCTATATCCATCCATCCATCTATACAATCGATAATCCATGTCTGCTCGTCATATAATCGATACTACTGTTGAATCATCTAATTCCAATGTACATAAAAAAAGGACAAGATAGGTCCTAACTACATTTCTCTGCATCTCTTTCCAGATCGCATCCATCCTTTTGCATTCCAATGGATGGATGTCCGTTCTCTCTCTCTTTTAAAACATAATCATAGTACGCACCATTGTATTGAAGAATAAAGAGAAGGATCTGGGGCTTGCCGCACTTTGCGCTGCCAATATACCACTTTTCGCAATTTTTCGCACCAACCTCCGAACAAAATTACACACACACATTTTTTTTTTTACTTTCCGCACATTTTTTTTTTCTTTGGTTGATAAAAAGATATCTCTCTCTCTCTTGTTTTATTGCATTTTTAAAGGACGTTTTGGTGGCAATTGTTGAGTTATTTTACTCATACGTACAACTATGTGGTTATGCCCAGTATTGACTCACTAACGCTTTAGTTGTGGTGTTGGAATGCTGTTTAAATTGGCTCGTTTTTGCTAGTCTTCCACCTTTTAATTGACTGCAGGCGTTTAATGAGCTGCAACATTTTGAGCATGCAGATTCGAATCTAAGCATGTCTGTACACTTATCTACCAAAAATTAACATGATCGCCTTAATTGCTGCGGGGGATCCTTAAACAAATTGCATAGACATAAGAAATCTAGTAATTCTCACCAATTACAAATCTCAACTATTACAAGCTATTCAAACAGAAAAAATATCTTCAAACGAATTGTTTTTTTTGACAAGGACTCTCATCAAAAGGTTGTTAAGATTGTTGCTAGCGCTTTTCATTTCTTAAATCATGGTGAATGCGGTCGCTCGTATTTTTTTTTTTTTTTTCGTTTGGTCATATGAAGTATCAGGGTCGTGTAATTCTTTTTTTTTATTAGGAGTGAGGGGTATTTAATGATGATGAGATTCAGTGAATGCAATACCAGCCATTAAAATCATGCCAATCACCATGGCAACCAATTCTTTTAATGGTTGTAATTTACTTGTTGTTTTTGCTTCGAGTAATTCGGGAATGACACCAACGGTGGCGATATAGATGAATCCACCTGCGGTAGCAGGAATAACGAGATCACCCCAAGTCATACTTGTACCGAACAAACCGTGATGGTGATGAACCTCATGCTGATGGGCCATTTCCTCAATAAATATGCCAATCAATGTTCCAATGTAAGCCCCGATGGCTGTGGTGAATTGGGCCATCATGGCGCTTTTTTTAGAAAAGCCCGACTTGATTAAAATGGCATAATCACTGACTTCATGAGGAATCTCGTGGAAGAAGACAGCGACAGCGGTGGTCGCACCAATGGCGGGTGACGCATAAAACGAGGCAGCCATGGCAATCCCGTCTGTCAAATTATGTGTAAAATCAGCCAACAAGTTCAGGTAGGTACTGGCCGCTACCTCTTTCTCTTTGTTGTCGGGAACGTCGTCGTGTTTCTTATGATCGTGAGCGTGGTCATGGTGGTCGTGGCCGGATTTGCCGCAATAAGCTCGCATCAATTTATCGGCAGCGTAGAAAATAAATAAACCTCCAAAAATACCGGTGCCAATCAAGACACTCTTGTATTCATCGCCATGGTGTGCATCGTGTCCATGGTGTGCATCGTGCTTTTCATCGTGGCCGTGATCATGGCTGTTGAAGGCGTGAGGTAATAAATGTAAAAAGACATCACCCAACAAACTTCCTAGAAAAAAAAATCAAGGGGGTAGGACGTGTTAAATAACATAAAGAAAGCGAGAGGACTGTACTCTACCAACTGCAAAATTCACCAAGACGTTTAAAGTAGAGGGACTGATATTGGGAGGAACAAAGTACAAGAGTAAGTTAGGAATGATGGAAATGTACGACGTGGCCAAAAGAGAATTGACCATGGCATTTCCCGGAAACAGGATTGCAAGAGCCGAAGTTGCTTGCATGTTGGACAATCAAAGAGAGGAGAGAGAGAAAAAGAGATGTGAAAAAAAAAAGTTTTTGCGTAAAAGAAACGTGTTTATTATTATTATTATATGAGAGAGGGGCGGCTATCAAAATAAATAAAATAACGCTCTTATTACTCCTCTTTCAAGATCTCTTCAAAAGCGGCAGCCAAGGTTTCCGGCTCTTGCGCACCTGAGACAACATATCTGGTTTTACAAATGATTAGTCATACATAAGTAAGGTATTTCTAAAAAAAAAAAAGGACGCTTACTTGTTGTTGATAGTAAAATGAGGCACACCGCTGACTTGACCCAAGGCGTTTTGCAATATCAAATTCTTGACTTCAGCCACGCCTTGTTGACTCTGTAAAAACTCGAGAGCCTTTTGCTTGTCCAGACCAGCCTTTTCAGCGGCACTGGCCAACTGCTCCGGGTCAGCAAGATTGCCATTGATTTCAAAGTATAATTTCATGACTTCTTCAACGGTCTGGTCTTGTTTACCAAACTGGTCAGCCCACCAAATAAGACGATGCGAGTTAAAAGTGTTTGCATAAACTCCGGTGAATTTGATATCGATCCCTTCAGAATTAGCAGCAGCAGTGATGATGGGACGTCTTTGTGTAAACTTTGCTTCTCCGAATCTCTTGTTGTAGAATTGGAGTTTAGGCTCGGGTTCACCAAAATCAGGTTGTAATTGGAAAGGAAGCCATTTGATTTGAAACTGAACCTCAGGATGATTTTGCTTTACTTGGCCCACGGCTTTTTCGAGTCGACGTTTACCAATAAAACACCTATGCATGCACCAAGGAAAAAAAAAAAAACTCGTGTTGGTTCTCTCTACTTTTTCCCGCCCCAACCTTCCCCACGCCATTGTACTTACCATGGACACACAGTGTCAACCACTGCCTTAATACTGATAATTTTTGACATATTTTGGGGTTTTAAGAGAAATAAAAGATAGAGAGGCGAATTATGATGCAAGATTGTCCTTTATATATGCCACTGCTTATAAAGCAAGGGATCCAAAGGATGATTAATCCACAAATTTTAAGAGTCCGAAGGATGTCGGAGAGTCAGAGCCATGGGTTTTGTAACACTTGGGAGAATCCTTTTTTTATTATTTATTTTTTTGTGTAGAAGAGAGAGGAGGGAATCATCAATAGTTTATCTAAACTCGATTTCGAAATCACCAATGTTTTCGTTTAGTTCACCGAGATGCTTGGTATCGTTTGATAAGAGGTTTGTAACAACGGTCATCAAAGTATCACGTTCAACAGGTTGACCATTCTGTGCGTTTAAAAGTAAAGCTTGAAGTTCAGTGTCTGAAGTATCGATCTTGAGTGTATCTAAAAGCTTTAACATATCTTCGGCACTGATGGTAGTGTCGGAACCTAATCCCTTTATGTATGAATAAACCCAAACATTTTTACATCATCCTTTTCTCTTATTTTTACCTTGGGCGGGAGTATTTACAAAGGGGTTGTTATGTTCGATGGTCATTATGATTATTTGAGGAGAAGAAAAAGGATTATGGAAAAAAAACAGGAAAAAAAGTCGTGAGGGGACGAAACTTTTCGCATTATATATACACACAATTTTTCAAAATAATAATCACATGAAAATAGGCCTAAATTATATATCCATCTCAGCTCATGCAAAAACACACACATACATATTTGTGCTAGATTGACACAATGATCCGCATTTGGCATGACAACCCGTCATAGCAACCCTGTTATTACAGCTTACCATGACAAGTTGCCATGACAAAATATTATGATACCCATTAAAAAAAATGTTGATAACCTAAGTTGATGGGCTTCTGACAAGAGAGTGTGTGATTTCACATAAGAGACGGGATAGACAGTCCAACCCACATAATCTAAGCCACCACATCTTTTTGTAGCTTGACAGATTTTGAGAGGCGGGGAAGAGATTTCAAAGTTTTTTTTTTCTTCTTGTAATAAACATACCATGTCTGAAGTCGAAGCCAAACTTCCTAGAGTAAGCTAACATTTCATTCTGTTTCATTCAAATTTGTTTTATATATATTAAGCTCTTAAATTTTAATAGAAACGGTTCTATCGTCAACGTGCTCATGCCAACCCCTTTTCTGATCATCATTTAGAGTAGTAAGTGCATAGAAATAAATAAATAAATAAATGAATTGATAGACTAATACAAGCCAAACAAAGTCCTGTTGAGCCCAAGTTGATGGACTGGACCCGTCACTTCCCTCAATATTATCCCGCTAAAGAAGGAGAGGAACAAAAAAAGGTTGAATTTGCAGATATTGGATGTGGTTATGGTGGTCTTTTGATTGCGTTAGCACCTCTTTTCCCTGACAAATTGATGGTGGGTATGGAAATCCGTACCAAAGTAGAGGACTATGTGTATGAGCGTATTAAGGCACTCCGTGTCCAAAAGCCTGGAGATTACCAAAACGTATCTATCATGCGTATGAACGCCATGAAGTTTTTACCCAACTTTTTCGAAAAAGCTCAACTCTCTAAAATTTTCTTTTTGTTTCCCGATCCTCACTTCAAACAAAGAAAACACAAGGCCAGAATTATCAGTAACACACTTTTGGCAGAATATGCTTATGCTCTTCGCGTAGGCGGTATTCTTTACACTATCACCGATGTCAAGGATTTGCACATTTGGATGGTGAAGCATTTAGACGAACATCCCTTGTTTGAAAGATTAACTGATGAAGAATGTGTAAGTTAAACAACCTGAAGAACCAAAGAGCAAGACAATGAGAGACAGAGAGAAATAAAGCAATGCTAACCCAAACCCTTTTTGCTAAAACAGGAAAATGATCCCGCTGTTCCTCATGTGCGCACAGCTACTGAAGAAGGTAAAAAGGTCGAGAGAAATCAAGGAGATAAATTCCTTGCTTGTTATCGTCGTATCGAGGACCCATACTACAACACCAATTAGAAGCTCCCAAAATGTATATAATAAACAAAATTGATATGTGATCCTAAAAGGCAATATAAGGGGTAGCGAACAGGGCAGGGGATAACGTGTAGTTGAGGAGTCGCACATCATTTATAGACATTTTGATAACGAAACTTTAAAGCTCTTTTTTTTTATGGTTTTTCGGATCCACTCGGAATAACAATATAATAAAATGCAGGAGTTATCATGACAAGACACTATCTTTTTTACCCTAATAAAGAATGTTTATCAGGGATAGGCTATTTGTTGAAAAAGCTATAAAGAAAGACTTTCTTTTTTCTTCCTTCACTTTTTTTTCCCTTCTTTATATGCATGCAAGAAATCTATTATGAACCAAAAACTTTCTTTTCAACAAAAAAAATCTCCTCGCCATGCCTAGTACATAAATATTTTCTTTGTTTTTTCTTCGTAGCAAGTTCCTTTTTGTGAATAATTATGTGATGTTACGCCCCCGGCCAAAGTGATTTTCATTCACTCAATTCATGCAAAACTCCAACATATGTGTAATCCTACCCTAACCCTACCCCCACACTCTCTCTCTATTTTTTTTTTCCAAGCAGCAGAAATAAAAATTTATGTCAAACTCCACTCTCCGAGATCTTTTTTTTTTTCTTCTCTTCTTTTTCTACCTTATATTATGTTTGAGCCGACAATTAAATATCGCAGAGTTAATGACCCGCCAAAAGACATTGCGAAAGCTTTGGGCAAATTAGACATAAAAGATGAGCAAAAAGACAATGTCAAGTCAAAAGAATCTCCTGGGAAGGAACAGGACAAGGTTAAGCAACCCGCCAAGGAGCCGACTGTTATTCGAAAAGAACCAGAAGAACCAATCAAGGTCGAAAACCCCGCTAAAACCCAAGAAACAGTTCAAGTCCAAGAACCAACCAAAGAGGAAGTAGCCAAGCCCGAGTCAATCAAAACCGAACCAGTCAAGGTATCAACCGTGCCTGATTATAGCTTCGAAGAAGAAGAAGAAGACAGCCAAATTGTAGTGGATCCTAGTGACAAGGAAAGAATCATTGTGACACTTTCTACCGGCAAACAGTTCACGGCTGATAGGTATTGTCCTCATGCAGGCGCTGATCTTTCTTATCATGGTAAAGTGAGTGAACATGATTACCCTCCCGAGATTGGACCTGTTTTAATGTGCCCTATCCATTACTGGGAATTCGCCCTAGAAAAAGGGGGTAAAGGCGGTGGCGGTTGGGCAACCATCAATGCCTGCGAAGTAAAATGCCCCCCTTCACCTACATTAGACTGGTAAAAAAAAAAGAAGATGGATAACAGATCTGTTTCTGACTTTAAAAAAACGGTCATTATAAAAACTGGGTTTCCCTACGGCTGGTTTTTATGTGATAATAAATTTTTAAAGCATATTTTCTTCTGTGATATAGATGGGACCGAATGTCTAATCCAATCACAGCAATTGAACAGAGTTACCCTTGTAACTAAATTCATTGTTATGGGTGTCAAAAGATCACCAGAATCGAGAAGATTTCTTTCTGATAGCAGCTTTTACTTTTGACCAAAACTCTTCAATAGGACTTAAGAATGATAAGTAGGGAGGCAAATTAACACATTTGTATCCTCGACTCTTCTTAGTTACTCTGATAGTGGCTGGCTTATGAATGGGCGAAATACCCATTAAAAGATAATCGCTAAGAAGCCCGTTTCTGTCTAAACAGTACACCATGCTATTCAAGTACGTTAGAAAACGTTCCAAACCTTGCTCCTACCCTACCATTGATCTCCAATTTTTCGCTATTTTTTTTCTCCTATTTGCTGCCAACAGACGGTGCTAGTTTTATATATGATGTGTCATTAACGTAACCAGCCGAAATAGCACTAAAGATTCTAACCGAGGTTCAACGCGCAGAAGGTACATAATATGCATATCGGTATATTAAAGTAAGCAAATTTTATTTACATTTACAAGACCCTCCCCAGAAAGGGAATTGATTCTGAGTATCATCCACTGTTAATGACTAAAAAAACGATCATTTAAAAAATTTCATGCGTTTTTTACTAGATGATTATGTAATACTTTATTTATGTACAAAAATTGGGGGAGGGGGAGGGATATATGTATAATACAGGAAATGCTTAGACAGAATTGTCCGAATCACGTCTTCCGGGTCGGATTGAAAGACGTTCGGGAGATCCAGAAACCACCGGAGAGCGCACCATTAATGCTACTGGCAGTTCTTGACGGTTTGCAATAAAGACTGTGGCTTGCACTGAGAAACCAAAGCCTTCAAAGAATCGGACACTTGCAGGATCTGAGGCTTCGAGATAGACGGGATATTTTGCTTGATCTGCTTTATCAAGAACATAACGAACGAGAGCAGCGCCATAACCTTTGTTCTGTTCATGTGGTAAGACACCTACGTATCCGATAGTGATGTATTGGGGGAAATCAGCCAATATTTTGCGCTTCATTTTATCGCACGAGGGAGCGACTTTGGTTACAGCACGCAAAGCAGAAGTCCAGCCGATTAAGCGAGCGAGCTTGGCTGTGCCGAGTATGCGAGGCCAAGAAAATCCGCTGGGGCTGTTTGTCCAAGTCAAGATGCCTTTACAGCCGTCTACTTGAATAGCAAAGTCCCGACTTTGAAGTGATGCTTGGTTGATCATGTTTTTGAAAAGAGTGTGTAAGAATTGTTCATGCTTATTTCGGTCAAGACCACGAATACACCATTCCATAATAGAGTTTTTAAGATAAGCTTCTGTGAGTGAAGAGGCGGCTTCTTCGAAAGCGCCTTTAATGACAGGGCGAACATTGACAGAATGTTGGTTTAAGTTGACGGTGATACGACGGCTGATGCGACGATCTTTCGTAGCTATGGCGGTCAAGGACATGAATGTGTATTAAAAAAGGTTAAAAAGGAAGTTAAAAATAATCTAATATTAAAAAAATAGTTTCTTTTTATACCTTTGGTTTTAGCTGATTCTTAAATAGGCGAAAAACTTTAAAATTCTAACCCTGATGATGGGATTTTTCATTGTTTGACTCCGTTTCAAAAGTAAAAAAAGGATCGTCTAGATCCTTTTTTTTTTTTTTTTTTTTTTTTTTTGTAAACATTTTCGTTATTTTTACATATTTGTTAATCTGATATGTTTGGTTAAAAAACCGACTATCTATTTGGTATATAGAAGAAATAAAAAACGATAGATAACTGGCAGCAAAATTGCTAGAGTTCAAGAAGAATAGAACCATTTAATTAAAATCTAGATGCTTTGAACTTTAAATATTTTAACTTATGCACTAAAAAGTGCTCACTTTTGCATACAACAAATAAAAAAAAACGACTTAAAGATAAGAAGGTATCGTTCAAGGTGCAACCATCGTTCGGTCATTCAAAGACAAAAAAAGTATGTTCTCGACCAAATCACATAAAGTTTTAGCCAAGACTATCTTTTTTTTTTTTTTTTTTTTTTTTTTTGCCGCGATAAAAAAAATGTGTGGTTGGGTTCGGAAATATTTTCTTTAGCACGTACCTAACGTTGACGTGTCTAAACAAACATAGACCAATTAATCGTCATAAAGCAAAGGGGAAGTTTACACAATTTAAAAATAACAATGGGAAGGTTTTTTTTGTGGTTATTTTTAACTTGGAACAATACAAAAATGATTTCATCAGAATCGGGAGGAAATGGATAAGTTCTGTTGTTGACTGCTTCTAAACTACTTTTTCCTCAAGCTAGCCAATAGATCAACCTCCCTTAAAAAAGCCCTTCGTTGTCGGGTCGTTAATCATCTGTCATGATAGTGCCCACAGATAAACCCTTATCAACATGTTTTCTTGAAAGCTATTAATGTACATACGAGAAAATCGGGTTGTACGAACACGCACAGTGTGAGTTATAAACATGGATGAATGCAGAATTTTTTCCACTTGATGCGGATAATGGTGTTCTGATAGCCAAAAACATTTCTTTTTTTAGGGGTTTCAAAGATTAACTCTAATTATGAGAAAAGAAAACAATTGATAAAATCAACTTTTAAAACTATTCGCTCTTAAATTCATTCTCCTCAAAGAGTGGGTATCACCCCATACCTCATTCTAAATGCGCTTTCAAAAAAAAAAAAAAAAAAAAATAACCGCCACATGGTCAGTGCTTTCGACTGCTTTCAAATATTTCTTTGTCCGTCTTTCTTTCGTTATGGAAAACCAGTGTATTCATTGTCACACCCAACGGTTATGTTTCATGAGCTTGAACAGGTTTGATCGACAAACCAACTAAGTAACGGTTTAAGCGGTCGTTAAACAAAATTACCAGATTTTCTATGGGTCCTATCTAGAAATACGCGGATGTAAACTGTCTTTATCGGGTTTCTGTAGAATTATGCGATCGTCAAAAAAAAAAACAAAGATAAAAGACAGCAACAAAAAGCGGGAAGTGCTGTTGGTATCAATTTCAAGATAAATCCCAAGACAAAATTAAAGAATGTATAATTGAAAAAAATGGCAGAGTATCCATAAAAATAATTCTATCCTATGTAACTACAAGCTATATATGTAGTAGCTCCTATTTCATCGACCTTTGTCAAATGAGTAATACTCCAGTGGGAGCGATCGCTCTTTATTTTACGATATGAGCACCATATTATTATTGGCCGTAACAATAATACGGGTAGAATAAAGACTGGCCTGTTTAACAGTGTTCATAAATACGTCGCGGAATTGACAAGTGGTTTATATCATTCGTCATTCGTTACTTTCAATCTGTGTAAAATCGATCAAATAATTTTTCTACTCATACTGTAAGATATTTTGGTAATTACCCACACAAAGGATTTTTTTTCATTAGCACCGATCCCATCTAAAAGTGTTGTCGAACCTTGTTTCTTTGTCACGAAGTACTGGTGGCTGATTCCTTATCCTTCCTTTCACACTTAAGCTCGATCATTAAAGTTATCTTAAGTATCAGCTTACAAATTGTATTAAAATACTAAGCGAATAACATCAGGCCCGCATTGCCACTGAAAATATTTGATGATCGGTACAAGATACTCAACGTACATGGTCTTTAGTTGTTGATGGGTATTGGCGTAATTTTCATCAGGCCTTTTACGAAATAAAGAAACGAATATTCCATAAACTGCGTAGTTTTATTCTCAGGGCAATCCAAATCTGAGGTATGTTTAATGCACCTTTTTTCAATGCCCATTAACTTGCCAAATAAACCAACTGAAGAATCGAATGACGATGTTATAATTTTACATGTGACTTAAAAATATCATCTAGCTGATTATAGAAGAGATAGTTTTGACAGATTCAGGCAGCATGTAGCACGCCTGATTCATGTCATTATGTTTCCAAATAAAACGTAATAAAAATTGTATAGAGTATGAGGACTAAGGCCCACAAATCGGATCATTCAATTTTTTAGCAACACAGTATCTAATCAATTTTTTCACTCCATTTAATAAGACACGTTAAATAATTTTGTTTTAACGCGAACAGAACAACTGAATTTAGGCAAATCATTTGAAAATGTATACATTGGTCCCGTGATAACTGTAGTTTTATGAAAGTACTTTTTTAGAAGTAATAATGTCATGAAGGAGTATCAGTATTATATTCATAAATTATTGTATTAATCCTGAAGTGGCCTGTGATTGATGATACAATTTGAACCAAACAGAGCACATTCGTAAACATGTTCATCTAGTTGATTATAGGTTGGTTATGCATTGACTCTAACGCATAAACACTGGACTTTCTCTGAAAAAAATCGAGTTCCCAATTTTATTTATTTCTAATTGTTCCTTGAAAGATGTAATTTCTATGGCATGAAGCGAATAATGTGGTACGACTAAGCTTTATAGCACTAAGTAATATGTCCGGATACAGAAAACTATTGCAGGAGAACTCTTGCATATTTTTAATGACACACAAAGCATTGCAATATATTATACAAATCATATAACTTACCCCTAATGTATCGTGTCACTTTTTTTTTGCGATTGAGAAGCCATTTATTCCATCCATAAATAGACAATTTTATGTAGATTTCCAAAGTTCAGATAAGCAAATGTATCATATTTCGTAAACAATTATAAGCACTAGAAAAAAAGGTTCGTAATACCAGCTGTTGCGACTGCAGTTACATTTTTTTATGTATGTGCAAGGAGTAAATTAGTGATACATGTCACTTTGCATACATACCCGCGGTAGCTGATGATTGTGACACAATGCTAATGAACATTGACATGTAAAGTACATTATATGAGTTTGAATCGGACACATGTGCGATAATAATTTTATTTCATTACAAGTGCGACATTTACGATACAGATCGTTGAAAGGTATAAATACCCTCTCAGTATTTAATAGTCCAACAAAAACTAAAACAGGAACACTATCACAACATGGTTCAGATCTACTCTTCAATTACGATTATTTTGGCAACCATTGCATCTTTGGGTTTAGTTCAAGCCGCTCCTAAGACATGTGTCGTGAAAAGAAGTGCTACAGATGATGCACTCACTATTGCACAAGCGTTTAAGGACTGTCAAACTGGAGGTACTGTTGTCTTCCCTCAGGGTCAAAGCTTTTACCCTAAGACATTGATGACCATCAAGAGCTTACAAAATGTCAATGTTCAATTCAACGGTAATATTGTTTTACCCAATTTTAGCACCAAATTTGATGGAGGTCTTGCCTTTTTACAACTTGAAGGTAACAACATTCACTTTGATGGTGGTGGTAGCTTTGTCGGTACCGGTCAACAATGGTGGGATGCCAAGAATAACAAGGCACCCTTTGTCTTCCGTGTCGTAGCCAAGGACTCTGTCTTTAGAAATTTCAAGATTACAAACTCTCCTGGTTATCACGTCGGTGCTGTTGGTTGTGAGAACGTTGTGTTTGAAAAGATTACAATGTACAGTGTCTCAAAGACAAATAATTATGCTTATAATACCGATGCTTGGGCTGTTGCCTGGTCCAAAAATGTCATTTTCCGCGATTCTGAAGTTACAAATGGTGATGACTGTACTGCAATTAATGGAGGTAAAAAAAAATCACAGTATATTTAAAACTTGCATACATGTATTGAATATGTTCTCTTAATTTTTAGAGGTATCTGATATTCTGGTCTCAAACATTAAGTGTACAGGTGGTCATGGTTACTCTGTAAGTTGGCTAAAAATATCGTGGATAAGGCAATGCCAACTGACTAAATGATAATATCTGCAAAAATAGGTTATTGGTACACTTTCTAAGGATGGATCATACCAGTCCTTCAAAAATGTTAAAATTATCGACAGTGTCTGTACTAACTGCTTAAATGGTGTCACTGTGAAGGCTAGTCCTGGTCGTCCTGGTATTATGGACGGTATCACTTTCAATAATATTCAATTAAACAATGTCGACTACCCTATTACCATCACCGATCATTACTTTTGCGATGCCAAACATACCAGTGCTTGTTACAAGAACGATGGTACTGGAATCAAGTTTACCAACATTTACATGACAAATATTAGTGGGTACGTTAAGAAAAAAGAAAAAAAAGAAGGCATACTTCTTACTCACTTTTTAATCATAGATATGCTGCATCCAGAGACTATATCCCAATCATTAATGTTGACTGTGCTCCTAACACCAAATGTGATAAAGTACATATGCAAAACATTAGAATTAAGAGCGGTACTAAGACTGTAAAGAATATCTGTAAGAACTTGATTGGTTCTGATACCAATCCTTACTGCCGTATCTAAAACATTTAAACTATTCACAACCTAATTATAAATAAATATTCAGTGTTTTATTATCATGATTTCTAAAGTATGTAACATTAAGTGAACCGATTTAAGAAAAAGGAACAAAGTGTGATTTATCAGCTGTGGGTATCGAATACAGAAAAAAAGACCTACAAATTATTTAGTGTTTTACGCAAAGTTGATTAAAAGTGTCCTCTTGCCAAAAAAATCACTTCCACCATGTATACACTTAAAACATTACGTAGTAAAAAACACAATATAGGACAACATAGGCTGACAGTTGTAAGAAGTATTTATGTCAATACCACCCCTAATAACTGCCCTATCTTTTTGAAACCAACGGTAATTATAACGCCATATTGGTAACTTTGCCTTCTTAAATTTTTAAGCTGCTGATGTTCAAGTTTTCGTTCCTACTTTTAAAATACATTGTATATAATAAACTTCAAAAACAACGCTTTAAGCAATAAGGCATTTCCATAAATGACCATTGGGAGCATTAAAGGTTTTAGGACAGCGTTACTGGTATAGTTGATCCTAAAAGACATAGACTCATTATTATTTCCGATCTTACATTATCAAATATCTGTGCCTGCAATGGCATCAAATTCAATGTCAAAAAAACTTAACAACATATATTCTAATTTCTAAGAAGACAAAGCCACCTTTAAAACGGATCAATCCTGTAATGATTATAGAAAACACTAAATTAATATAAAATCTAACATTATCAATTTCAAATTTGGTAATTCTTCAATCATGTTAAAGCATATAATCACTGACTTTTAGGGGATAAAATAGCAGCATCTGCTAATCAGATATTGAATGTCTGTTCAAAGGTAAGAGTATCATTTTGGTGTCACCTCTTTGTATGACACTAATTTCAGCCTGTACAAATCTTAGAGTTACAATAGCAATACGAGGGATTGTAACGACGGAATCAAATATATTTGGACCATGCTGTAAGTTTAATTATTTGATTGATGAAAAACGTTTATAGTTTGATACACATGGATTTTCCGTAAAGGCGTCATTCGACACATGATTTGTCAAATTAATCACTTAATCAAATTTTAGCTCATATCACGATAAAATCCCAGGTACAAGGATTCAATAGCTGATAAATATACGAATACAAGTATTGTTGTGCGTTAAGTGACAATCGCGGAATTATAAATAAAGTCTATTTATAAGGACGTTACCTAACATGTGACATTGAAAGCTCGCACAAAAAAGGTTTTTTAATTTAACTAAATAGCCCGCCGATCCCAGCCTAAACATGGCAATATTTCCTTTCTTCGGTCTAGACCTATTTTCTCATGAAAAACGTGTGTAGGTATACAAACCATATCTGTTTTATTCCGTGATACCATACCATTAATATCATTAATATGGTAGTAGCCTGAAGGATTATGTAAGTATAGGCAGTGTCCTAATTACTATGTAAAATGGAATTCTACAGATATGCATCATGCACGAATAAACTTAATTGTAGAGCGCAAAGCCAGAAAGTCGGTAAATATGCCCTTTAGTTTCTAAGGCATGCAGGACTGGGCATGTAAAAATCATGGTTTAAAGAAAGCTTAAAAAATAGGCTGCGCCAAAATAAAGTGAGAGTACAAGGCTTCAATTATTTTAATTCGAGAAATTTAATTTATTGTTGTAAAAAGACTATGGGGAAATAAATCTTCATCTATCATTATTTTTAGGCTCTACAGGCAGGAATCTTATCAGCACCAAGAATATTAATGCACACATTCTTTTTAGTTGTCTTGTTTCCTTGAATCTTGACGTTTTTAATATTGACGTTCTCACAAGGTGTGTTCTTAGCACAATTAATATTAATAATGGGAAGATCTTTCCAAGAAGTGGAGCTACAAAAAAAAGAAAAAAGAGTTATTAGAATACTTGCAATACTATTGTAAGACAACAGTATCTTACCCCGTGATACCGCTAATGTTAATGTTCTTGAACTTAATTGCAGTGCCATCATTTTTGTAACAAGCACTAGTGTGGGATGCGTCACAGAAGTAATGGGTAGTTAAAGTAATAGGGTTGTCGACATTATTTAATTGAACATTCTGGAAACGAACACCATCAACAATACCAGGTCTTCCAGGACTGGCTTTGACAGTAAGTCCATTCAAGCAGTTGGTACATACACTGTTTATGATATTGATATTCTTAAAGGTTTGATATCTTCCATCAGTAGCTAGTGCGCCAATGACCTATATTTTTTAACAAAAAATTGAGTACAGTTCCAGTATTATTATCGCCATATATTATTACCGAGAAACCATGTCCACCAGTACATTTAACATTAGAAACAGTAATATTGGAAACACCACCATTGATAGCAGCGCAGTCATCACCGTTAGTAATGACAGAATCACGGAAGATTAAATTGTCCGACCAAGCGCAACCCCAAGCATCAGTGTTACGAGCATAATTCTTTGTTTTAGACACACTGTGCATGGTGACCTTTTCGACAACAACGTTATTACATCCAGTCATAGCCATATGACCATTGGGAGCATTGAAGATACGAAAGTTTCTAAAGATCGAGTTTTTGGCAGTGATTCTAAAGACAATAGGACCTTGATTGTTGTTGGCATCCCACCACTGCTGACCACTACCTACAACAGTTCCGATTCCAGCACCATCAAAGTTAATATTATCACCTCTAATTTCCAAGAAAGCACCACCACCATTGAACTTAGTATTGTAATTAGGTAGAACCAAGTTACCAAAGAATTGTACATTAACATTTTTCAAATTAATAACATTAATTAAAGACTTGGGATAGAAGCTTTGACCTTTAGGAAAAACGACAGTTCCACCGGCTTGACAATCCTTGAAAGCTTGAGTAATGGAAAGTGCATCATCGGAGTTACTTTTTTGAACTACACAAGTTTTAGCTGCGTGAACCAAGTTCAAAGAAGCAAGCAAGGCAATAGAGATGGCGACAATAGAAGAGTGTATTTGAACCATTTTGTTGATAGAGATAATTTGATGGAATCTACAAACGGAACCAGCTATTTATATGATTTTCTTAAAAAAACTGACAGGTAATAAAATATTACAAATATGCTGACCTAAGATTAACGTTGACACATTTTAATACATTTAGCATGTACCACAACCTAACCGTAAGAACATTTAATTACTTTTTTGGTAAAAAGTATATGGGCCCGCATTAGTGTATAATACCGAATTTTACATTTACATGCTCATGTAGGTTAGTAATCACCAAGTCTTTATAGTACGATTTACCAAAGTACATATTTTCTCGTGCAAATGGACATGTAAAAAAATGTCATACTACCGGGACCTTATTTTGTTGAACTTTGTGCTAATTTTCTGATTGGTTACTGGCTAGAGCAATGTCACGCTCATGCATTCAATTTTAGTGCATATCCGCGGATACTAACAGTGCCACTTTGTGCAACATTGACTTTTGGCATCATACATCAAACAGACTGATTTCTTATAATTTTAATAAATGTAATATAGTCTGAAAAATTAAGTAGCTGCATAGAACCGTGATATATATTGTCTAGAACCTAAGTAGCTCTGAGTTATTAAACCATTTCATATGATTACACGTCTTAAATTGTATACTGAGTCTATAAACGTATAAAAGTTTTTTATGTTATTGCAGACGTTTTTATTTTGTTTATAATGATAACGCAGATTGTGCAGTTTTTAATCGGTATTGTTATACACTACCGCGGCTGAAACTATGATTAACATTCGAAAATACTTTATAGCACAGTGCAGCTGGTTACACTACAAATGCAGTGTCCCAATACAGTAAGACCAGGTATAATCCATCGATTCGGGAAATGCTTTGAACGGAAATATTCGTTTTTCTGAATTGTGAAATTTGGTATCTTAATGCTTATCCTATAAACAAAAAATTTATATACCGACGTGGTAAAAACTCGGTAACTAATGTGTTACTAGCAGACTACTTGGGTTAAACCAGGGCCCTAAATATTTTGCAGTGTCAAGATATATGCCCTCTATTTTATTTTGGAAGGTTACTATTCATTTATAAAATATAATGTCGGACCCAAAACTACGGCCCACAAATTACACTTAAACTTAATTTCATATTTTTCAAGGAAACCGTATATCTGGATGCAGAAAATGACACGCGTAACACCAATTTATGAAAATATGCTCCTAATTTTCCTTTTCCATCAACCATTTTTTTTGTAATCAGATCCATAAAAAAGAGTATAAAAGAGAAGAGCAACAATTTTTTTTTTATTATTATTTTACATCAACAATAAAAACCAGTGAAAATGGTCCAATTCCTCTCCTTCGGTCTTTCCTTAATCGCCACATTAGTTTTAGCTTCTTCAGTCGACGCAGCTAGCAAGACTTGCGTTGTTGCTAAAAGTAGCTCTGATGATTCCATTACCATTGCTAAGGCCTTCTCTGATTGTAAATCTGGAGGCATTGTATCATTCCCTAAAGGAAACACTTATTACATGAAGAGTATGCTCAAGATTGAAGGCTTAAAGGGTGTCACTGTTAACTTCAACGGTAAAATTGTCTTGCCTGCCTTCAACAAGAGCTTCAAGGGTGGAAGTGCTTACATTTATATCAAGGGTGATCACATTAACTTTACTGGTGGAGGAACCATTGAAGGTAATGGTCAAACTTGGTAAGATAATCTCAAAAACGAAAGATCCCCATTATTGTATATTAACATTTATTATTTTTCAGGTGGGATATTAAGGACACTACTGCTCCTACTGTTCTTAGAATCGGCGCCACTAACTCTGACTTTGGTAACTTTAATATTCTCAATTCCCCTAGAGCTCATATGGGTATTACTGGTGCCAATAATGTTGTTCTCCATAATGTTTACTTGAAGACTGTTTCATCTAACAGCAATTTACCCAAGAACACTGACGCTTTGGATATCTCTTCTTCCAGCAACATTATCTTTAAAGACTCTGACCTCTTCGTAGGCGATGACTGTACCGCTATTAATGGTGGCGTTACTAATGTTACACTTTCTAATGTTAAGTGTACTGGTGGCCACGGTTTCAGGTAATTTGTCTTATACTTCATCATCATTTTTTCAAGCTTTTAACATCTATATCTACAGTGTCGGTAGTCTCGGTAAGGCTGGCTCAACTGAGTACGTCAAAGACGTCACTGTTGTTAACAGTATCTGTACCAACTGTCAAAACGGTTTAAGAATTAAAACTTGGAGTGGAGGAAAGGGTGCTGTTCAAAATGTCAAATTTAACAATGTTCAACTTATTAACACCGAAAACCCCATCATCGTCACCACACATTACTGTGATAAGAACCAAATGTCTTACTGTCAAAAGAGTGATTCCAAGTCTTTGTCTATTAGCGGTGTTACTATCAGTAACATTTCTGGGTAAGTTATATAAATGTTCCAGACATCTCTGATATTGTGACTCAATTTTTTGATTCCATTTTTAGTTCTGCTTCTGCTAAGTCTAACCCTATTGTCAACATTAACTGTTCTTCCGGATCTCCCTGCAGTGGATTTTCTATCTCTGGTGTTAACATTAAGAAGTCTTCCAAAACAAAGAAGAATGTTTGTACTTATCTTAACAACTCCAGCAAGATCGGTGTTTGTAGTCAATAAATAACTAAATTTTAATAAAATAAAATATTTATGTCACCTTTCACACCAGAAACTCTTGAGCTATGACGACTGTGCTTCAATGCAGTACAAATAGTGATACGCAGACAAATAAAGACTTAGATATACGACGGAGCTACAATATGTAACAAAGAAGCCTTTTCCGCGGCTCTTTTTTTTTTGTGCTTTTAACACGGTGAACCAATTATAAATGACGATTTGCATTGGTGTGCAAATATATAAGATATTAGTTTATTGCTCTACATTGTATTGTAGGTTGATGCTTAAATATTTCCGATTAAGACATTCTCGTTACTTGTAAAACAAAGACGAATGTCATCATCAGCTACAACTTCACCTCCCCCGTCTGTCAGTTTCGATAAAGCAAGATCATCGTCGATATCAACGTTATTTAAATTACGTTTTCTATCATGAATGGCCTGGATACGTTCCTCAATGGTATCTTGAACAATATACCAAAAAACGCTTGTCTAATAATTTTTTTGTCAAGCATTGCATGCATCGTATTTAAATATTTGTTTACCTCTTTAGTTTGTCCAATACGATGAACACGATTGATAGCTTGCTTTTCAAGACTTTCGTTAAATACAGGTTCAACAATGAATACGGTCTGCGCTTCAATTAACGTTAGCCCACTCGATTGGCTTCTTGCATGTAAAAGGATGACATTGATATTTTCATCTTTCTGAAAACTGGATACGATATCGCTATTATTTGCACCTTTGTTTAAAGTAACGCATTTTACTCCATTTATATTAAGGCCCTTGTTAAGCATTTCGAGAACTTGGACCCATTGGGAGAATACAACACACTTTCCGTTTGACTCGTTCTTTATAAATTTGATGTGTCGGATGATACTGTCAAGTTTTGCCCCTTGACCCGGTATTATATTTACTGTATTAATATTTTGAATAAGTGTATTCAGCTGTTCTCGGCTTTTCTCGTTATCTTCGTCACTACAACTGCTAGTAGACTTATTATTGTTATCATTACTTCTGGCATCTTTATCGCGCATCTCCATCTCTTTGTACGCTATTGAAATGAGATCAATATTTGACTGTAGATCAGTAAAATTATCACTTACAAACATTGTACCATTCGTTATGTCTAACGGGTGAATTGCAAGTATGACATCTTTGATTTCGGTTAAACCAGATAAGACCACAGTCATTACATGATACATGCCCACAATAAGTAATCATTCCTTTTTCAATGGGCTCTTCACATATTAAGCAATCCTTAGTTATCTTCTCGTCAGGGTTCTTAAGATTTTTGTGTTCTTCAGCCAACGCCTTAAAATACAAATCACGAGACTGACTGTTGATAATATCTCTTTGTATTGTGGCTTCCAGGGAAGACAGCCTTTTTATTTCTGACTGAGGATTGATATGTCTCCAGTACTTAAATAAAAAAAATTAGTGTCGACGATTTTAAGCCAGTGCGCATATATAATATTACCACCAAAGTGTCTGATATTTTTTGAAGATAATCAATAACTACAAGTCGGTTATTGAATGCTTGTGATATCCTTCTAACGTCTGATTCCATGTCATCTACAAGCTTGTTTTGAATGGAAATGTGCTTTTTCAGCCATTGTTGGTTTTCATCAAGAACAAGATACTCTTGCTCAGACTCACAGCCTTTCATTGTTGTCTTTAATGTCCTTAAAAAGCGCTCCAAATCCTTGATGCACTCGATTTGAAAACCAGGTGATCTCAACGATTTTCTGAAATTGATTTCCGCAGCGTCTATCTGTACGGATTCGTCACTCTCAAATTCGTCATAATTTTTTGTCACTAGTGATGATGCGTTTAGCGTTCCTCTTATGATGAACTTTCGGTCCTGTAAGAGATTCTGATAGGCTGTGATGTAAGACTGTGTCGATGATTGCTCCTTAACAATGTCATCAAACATATCACCAGTGGTATCTTCTACTGTACTGTTATCAATTACTGGGGTTTCCAGCAATTTAGTAATTTCATTTCGAAGGTATAATATCCTTTCGTACTGTTTATCCAATACATCTCCGATTTGCTTCAAGTTTTGAAGCATGTTAACATCACGGTCCCTTTCTTTTGTATCGCCATACCCTTCGTCATTGTCATCACTTTCTTCTTCCGAATAATCCTTAAATTTCAAAAGATCCTCCTCAATTGCTCGTGCTCCGACATAGTGTTCATCTCTACTTTTCATACGGCGTCCACTCTGTCCTAACTCACACATTGCGACTTTAAGCTTCTTGTTATACTTTTCCAATAATAGAAGACGGATATCAGAAGCTTGGCTTTGATATATTTCTTCCTCCTCATTTAAATTTAATTTATGGCATACTTCAGCAAGATAATGATAATATCGATGTAAGAGTAGATTCCATCGATGATAAGCCCAACCTGCGGAAGTGGATTTATCTTTCTTTCCTTCATCGTCGTCGATAGCCTCTTCGTCGAGGTCAGAAAGTGACCGAATCTTTTTGGCGCAAGACTGAATCAAAATCTTCATTTCCGGAATTGAACTTTTGTAGATATCATACGCCTTTTGCCAATCATGCATTACCTCATACATACCACCACGTGTCAATTTTACGTTATAAAATGAATATTGGTTATTATCGCAAGTAGTGCTTGCGGTGGTTTCCATATCCTTTAAAACATCTGTCATAGATTGGACTTTTCTGCCATTGGCCACCAGGGTCGATAGATTTCCTAATTTATATGCCATATTCGCAATAACCGAAGGGTGGATACAATTTTGTCTCAATGCAAGTAACTAATCACGATATAAATAAATCAAATAAGGAGTAGAAGGATATATATCTATATAAAAACTCACCCATGGCCTCATTTTAGACTTGATTTCGCTAAATATTGCTTTGTTAGTGTCAGATGCATTTGCTGGAAGTTCCCATCCAATACTGTCCATCCAATCAAATTTAAGTTCATATTTGCATCGCCTATAAAGATCTTCGTAATAATGCTGTTCAATTGTTGAAAAAGGGATATGGACAACGTGGCGAGTTTGTTTAGGAATAACAACTTGTGAAGTCAATGCCGCTTTGGTATTTCTGCGCATAGTAGCTTTTGTATATTCAAAAAACAATCCCTTATTTTCAGGTTTGAGGACAAGGTTATCAAAATGGCGACCCTGTCTGCTGATGTACTTGTCCGGTTGTATAAAATTGTATAATCCGAAAAGTTCGTTGAATCCTTTTTTCAAAGGTGTGCCTGTCACTGCCCAGGAATACCATCGAGGAATCATGTTCGCCATTTTTGCGACGTTTCCTGTTACCGTTTCCACCATTTGCGCTTCATCAAGAACGCATCTAAACCAAAGGATAGAAACTAATGGACTGACGGCAAACTCGTATTTAACGGCTACGCATACATGGTTAAGACTTGATTTTAATAATATCGACAAATTATATTACCATATCGACGTGATCGCTTTGGAGGTGCTTGTGAATGGGCGATTTCCGTTCTGAAAGTCTATCAAAATCAGTTAGTTTAATCAATTTTTAAAACAAGTTACCTTTTATACTTCATAAAACACCAAGACAATATCGTATTTAGAAAGGCTTTCGGCATCAATGGGATCATCTACTACTCCTGCATATTCGTAAACTGTAAGATCGGGCGTATGCTTCCTTATTTCCGAAGCCCACTGAGACATGATAGCACATGGGGCAATGATAAGTGTTGCTTTGGAAACCGTCAATGTAGGAAATTTTGAAGGGCTTGGATGGGACGGATCATTTATATTTAATTGATGTTTTGTAATAAGGCCCAAGACACTAAAATTGTTATCATTAGTTTGATCGTACACATAAACGTCACCAGTATATCTCTTTACCTGACTGTTTTTCCTAAACCCATTTCATCAGCAAGAATACCGCCTTTTAATGAAACATCTGTCAATTTTTCAATTTCAGCCCTGTTTGTGCTTTCTACTTTTCGATACATATCGTAATACACTCCACTCGTATCGTCTGTATGAGTACCAGTGTATAAAAGCGGAAGAGGTCTGTGATTTTGTGGAAGTTGGATAATTTCACCAGTATCTGTTGCCGAATGACCTTCTCTTTCGATCATCCACCTGACGTTCTGCGTTTGGAATGGTGTCAATAATGAAGCAATCTCTGGCGATGTATATTGCTCAAGATATTCGCTTGAGACAACCGGATGCAAATTAGCATAAAATGCTGACAAGGATGCGTCAACTGGGTTGGGTGGAGTTGTAAATGGGGTGTGTAGTTCTCTGGAAGTATTTGTTTGAGGTTGGCTTGGGATCGGATGAGATATTAACAAAGGTTCAGCCGAAGATACAGTTGAAGAAGATACAGTTGAAGAAGATACAGTTGAAGAAGATACAGTTGAAGAAGATACAATTAAAGAAGACACGGTCGAAGGGGATGTAATAGAGGGAGATGTAGTAGAAGGCATAGTCAAAGGAATCGAACTCGAGGATGATGCAGCTGTTTTCTTGCTTTTCTTGAAAGGACGTTCATCAAGTTTAAAATTTTCGACGTTAATATTACGCGAAAGAGCTTTAATTAAGCTCAGAGCATTTTGCTCTTTAGCTCTCCCCACGTCTAAAATTATTTCGGCCTGCAAGTTCAAACCAATACCATTGTGAGCGGGTGTTATCTTCATATTGTATGTGGTTAGCAATGAATGTTTTGCTGCATACGCAATTGCTACAAATAGTTGTTCACTGTCTTCAATTTTTTCTGTTGCTTTCTCTTTAAATTTAGCGCCTGTCAACATGCAATCATGTGAAACTATACAATCATTAGAACCTGGAGGGAAAACGTGCATGGAGGCAACAATTGTGCCATATATGGCGTCATAATTCCAATTAACTTCGAGACCTTGATAGTCGAGCTTAGTGGGACTACAGGAATCATTTAGCAAGGTATTCAACGTAGACATGTCGATCCCAGGTACAGACACTGGAAATTGAATGTGGCCAAGGACGTTGTCATTTAGATCTGCAGGCCGTTTCGTAGCATTAGATCCAGCTGCTGGTGCAGGTCCTATTTCACCACCGATAAGGTAGATAAATAGGTTATCGGTTTTTCCTATCGAACCAGGAATTGAGACCATTTTGTTGTTATGAAAAAGTCGAGAAAAATCTAATACGCCAAAAAACAGTCAAAGATGTTAGTCTAATGATACTGTAGTAGCGGAAGCAGACTTAAGCCAATCATGGCTTTGTATTTTAGGTATTTGCCAATTGAGGCAGTCTGCAGGTTCGTGCTGTTGAGACATTACACATTTCATCAAAGAGCATAACCGTAAGCTTTGTTATTTACTATTACTCTGCTGTCAATCTCTTCTCTTATTACTTCAATCAGCCGATATAAACATTTTACTTGGGTTTTCCAAAAATTAAGCGTATGTCATACCATCTACAGATAAAATTACTGTATCAACTAGGAAATAATCTTCTTTTGTGTAGAAGCAAAACATTGTCCGACTGCGACAAAGGATACTTGAATTGATTACATTCTTAACTTTAATCTAACTTTAAATAACTCCACAGTTAAATTTTTAATACAGGCATTTGCGTTATTGACCTTTATTAATATTAAACTTTTCTTGGCTATGGTTGCTCCTTTTTGAATACAGAATTACTTGACATTCACGAGAAAAAAAAAGAATATATACTACTGGTGCTAAAAAGATGTATGTCTATTATGAGCTTATATCGAATTTAAAGGCATTTTATTATAACTTGAATAGGATTATATCACATCCTTTGGACAAGAATCTCTTTAAGCTCTCCGCATTTTATCTTATACTGAAGGCTTTTAAAATTTATGATGAGCAAAAAAACTTTTTATTTTTATAAATGATAATATGTAAACTATACTAATAAGTGCTTCTCCTAGTTCCCAACATAAAATAGCTGGTTAACAGGCCAGACCACGAGAAGGTGGAAGCACATCCTGGCCCAAAAAGTAAATTCCGATAAACCATCTTCAATACAGAACCTGATAATCCTACATGCCACCTACCCACAATGCGCAACATAAGAATCACCAGGACCAAATACCCCCTACACCATGTTGGGGTGGTGCTTTTTACCCTGGCAGTAGAATCGTAGCAACCGCACCTGGACGAGTATTGGCTTTAAGGTTAACATTCCGTGTAGATGAGGTAGCTGTCCAACAGGATGCCAATCTATGGCTGCCTATAGAATGCAATATCTCTAGCGTAGACGTAAACAAGGCAAAGCACTTACAAGATGCATTCGGGCACTAAACTTCCTACTGTCATCAGATCCCGACCAAATATAACAACCCACACCAATTCCAATGACCAAGAACGTATCGACTGGCTTCAAACGGCTACGACCATCCCACCGTCTAGTAACACGCTCTATATTCACCCTCCACCAAGCAACGGGTGTGGCACTAGTTTTAGTAAGAAGTTCCTGGAACAAAAGGCGACAAGCCCCAGTCAGATTGTTGTACTGAAATCCGAATGAAGCGATACAGACAACGACCAAGGCCATTGCCTAGCGACTTTGACAACCAGCAGACTCCTCAATGTAATCTTTTTAGGGATTACTACGGCCTTTGGAACACTGCCCGATCTGTAATGAAGTGGATAGATTTAACGGAAGACGAACAGAGTCGAGAGTGTCATTCTTGTGCTGAGCCATGCTAACTTCTCTGTTCTAATGTTTAAAAAAGAATAAAAAGATAAAGAGCACTTTTTTCGCACCCGTCTCCCTTTTATACCAAAAAAAAAGTTTTTTGTTTATTTTGTTGATTTTGTCTAGGCTACTTTTACAAACTTGATTTTTTTTTCACTACCTTTTGAACATATGTGTTATCCTTTGAATAATCCGTGAAATTCTCATCACATCCGTGTGCATATCACGGTTACTTTCTTCATTGGATGTTGAGAAAATGAGCATTGAAGTTTTGCTTTTTCATGGGAGATGTTCTTTTTGTGCAACAGATTAAAAAAAAAAAGATCTGCAAGATTAAACAATTTTTCACATGATTCCTTAAGGCCTGTTCCGTTATGATAAATGACTTTTTTTTTTCAAGGATGTGAAAGAAATCATCTTTTATGAGTATTTACAGGTGACATCTTTTTTTATGAATGCATGTATTGTTAAAAGTGGTAAGACAAAGAATGGACACTCGTATGCATAAGATGCCAAAAAAAAAAAAACCTCAAATTGCATCATATGACTGTTTGATCTTTTTTGTAGAAACTGATACCTTCCCACCTATTGATTACATATACACCCTTATCAAACTGGTTTTTTCTGAATAAGCTTTATAATATTGGCGTCTTTATTTTTTACAGTAGGGAAAAAAGGTTTTATTTAATCTCATTTGGTTAAAAATAAACAGCTTTACATTCGACTAACACCATAAAGGTTGCCACCTTCAACCTTAGTGTTATAAATTGCTGCGAGACAGTACCCAAGGACAGTACGCGTATCTCGCGGATCAATAATACCATCGTCTAACAGACGCGATGAAGTGTAATAGACATCTGACTCGGCTTCAACTGATGCCTGGAACATGGCCTTTCTATCATTGGCCAGCTCTTCGTCGATTTCTAGATTCATTCTACTCATCATAATTAAGTCAGTTTCAGAAAAACGTCATAATACGTCACCATAATACAACTAACCTTGCTGCACCTTGGCGCATGACTAGATCCAGAACGCCAGTTAATTGTTCCGCTCCCATAACGGAACACTTGGAATTGGGCCAGGAGAATAAAAAGCTAAAAGAAATAAGATTAAGAATTAAACGTGGGGTATTTCAATCTTACCGAGGGTCATAAGCACGACCGCACATCGCGTAGTTGCCTGCACCGTAACTGGCGCCCATCATAATAGTAATAGCAGGAACAGCAGAATTGGAAACAGCATTGATAAATCGGGAACCAGCCTTAATAATGCCTTCTTCTTCGTACCTCTTACCCACCATGAAGCCAGTTATATTTTGTAGATATATCAAAGGAGTATTTCTATTGTGGAGTTAGTAACAATATCTATTATAACTGAAAGTAATAGCATACTTCATATTACAAAGTTGAATAAACTGGGTAGCTTTATTCGCCTCTTGATTAAAAATGACATTATTGTTAGCCAAAATTCCGACAGGAATACCATGGATAAATGCCCAACCACAAACCAAGTTCCCGCCATAATTTGGTTTGAAGGCTGTAAACCGAGATCCATCAACGAGACGAATGATTACTTCAGTGGCATCAAACGGAACACGAATGTTTGCAGATACAATACCAAGTAGTTCCTCTAATAAATACCTGGGTTAAAATGGAAAGTATGCAAAACACGAAAAAAAAAAGTTACCTGGAGAATAATAAGGCTCTTCGTATTCACCCTTCAAATGCCTAGGAGGTAAATTGCCTTTTTGTTCCCAATTCAAGTTTGCAACCCAGTCACGGGCTTTACGAATACCATCAAATTCATCATTGGCTAATTGGTCGCTTACTCCAGATACTCGAGAATGCATGTCCGCACCACCAAGACTTTCAGAGTCTGTAATTTCACCCGTAGCCATTTGAACTAAGGGAGGACCGCCCAGAAAAACTTGCGCTTGTTTCTAAACAAAGGCCAGTAAATAATAAATAACGATTTACAGATAACAACAGCAATAACTACCTTGACCATGATTACATAATCACTCATTCCGGGGGTGTATGCACCACCAGCGGTTGAGCTACCAAATACAACACAGCAAGACGGAACACCAGCTTTAGATCTATGGGATATGTTGGTTATTATTTCCAAAATTTCATTTCAGTGACTTACTGAATTGCTTGATTTCTGAAAGAGCTGCCGCCTCTATGGAACACGCGAAACTGCTGTTGTAAGTTTGCCCCAGCCTAAAAAAAAAACTACATAAATTTGTCATTCGTAAATTACATATAAGGAAATTTACAGATTGTATGAATGAGACAGAAGGCAGCTTATTTTGCATTGCAATTTGACCAAGACGGGAACCTTTCAAAGCCGAGGTTTCATTCATTGCACCACCCGCCATTGTAGCAACATTGGCTGAAACAATACAAAGTACACCGCTGTTTTATCAAACATTAGTGATATATAAGACTCAACATACTAATTTTTACCTAACCAGACCTATACCACATACAAGTGATCCTCCTAACGTCATTTCATCTTGATCATAACCAGCAAGAGCACACAATTCGAGAAAAGGAGAATCTTCATCGAGCAACAATTCCAGACGTTCACGAGCTATCAAGTGATACAATAAGCTTTTTTAAATTCTTTCTCCGCTTAAAAATTATATGAGTATACCAGATAATTGACCACGCTTTCTGTGAAGAGCAATACTCTTGGGTTTTCCCTCTCCAGTAGCCTCTTTAAGTCGTTCTTTTAACTCGTCAAGCAGCACTTGCCATTCTTCAACATTATTCTTATACTCTGTGCTTGTTTTTACAATGGCGGTAGGATGACGTTGAACAAGGTGATCTTTACTAGTGAGAGTAGACATATTGTTTTCAAGCTAAAAAGAAATAAAAGAAAAAAAAAAGGGGGAAAATATGCATTTTTTATGTGAGAAGTGTATGCAACACATTGATTAAAAACAGTCACCTTCTCATTATGGTAAATTTAATTTTTGTCAGCTTAAACGTGAAGAGTAATAAATGGGGTAGAAACATTTTATTTCCAACATTTAAAATATCATGTATAAGAAATATTCACACTGCAAGTTAATTTGGCTTTCATTATGTATTCATATGGAACGTTTGCACGCATAAATTAATTCAAAGACAGTTTTCATGACATCATTAGGCAATTTATTTCGAGGCCTCATTGGAAACGAACAATGCCTATTTAAAGCCCACTTGTACTTCCGCAACAAAAAATAAAAAAAAACTTGACATTCCAACAAATACGGCCTTTTTTTTTTAAACATTTTATTTCCTTTCTTTCCTCCAAACTTTTTCCTTTCTTCTAGTTAGCCAGGTAATAATGGGAGATTCGAAACATCCATTATCATCAAAAGAGTTGACAGACGACGATAGTCAAGAAGTGTTTTCGAGACCTAGATCTACTTCTATTCAATCCAGAAGGTCATGGCCCTTGATACCAACTCTAGAAGTAACTAGCTCAACACACAGTAACTCATATCATCATACCCACATTAGTCCAATAATCGATAAAGATGAAACTATAAGTACTCCTACCACCACTTCTGATTCTGAGTCAAGTGTCAGTTCTGAATTCGGTGCATCGGATAAAGAGAAGGATCTTGGCTTTGAAATCGACCAGGATGATGCTGACAATATAGAAAAAAAGGAAGCTTCAACTGATTTAAATGGAAGACGTAGTACACTCGGTGGTACCAGAAGGGATTCGGCCGGTACCCTTGTAGAAGCCGCCTTAGATCAAGTGGAGGCTAGAGATAGACATGTAAGATTTCCCGATCATATTGCGGAAGCCGGCTCACTTGTTGAACGTATGTTAAGTACAAGGCGTCCCAGTAGTAACCATACACCCCTACATCAACAAAGCACAACAATTGATGAAGCTGGCGAAAATGATCTTAACTCAATTGAACGACAACAAACACAGCATACTCATAAATCCCCCAATATGAGTAATTCGAGTAATACTGCGCCGCAAACTGGTGGAAGTGTATTAGCAAGCTTGATGAAGCTGGAATCTCAAAGAAGACAACCAACCGTCAAACGGAGAAAGACAATAAAAAAAAAGAAGGTAGTACAACATATATTATTCTTTTCGGAATTGTTATACTAACTAGCTAGCGGGTTAACAGGAAAAAAAGGCACCAAAAATAAAAAAGCCATCTTCCATGTACAACCTAAAAGCTGAATCTAGTTTTGACGCACTTATGCCAACTTTTCAGAAAGGTGGTGACAACCCAAAGAGACCCAACCTGACACATAGACCTACTAGTTGGCTTTCCACTATGACCACAAGTAACCATCTTGTACCTAGTCTTCAAAAACGAAAAATGGCTAGTTCTGTAAATATGTCCCGCCGATCATCTATAGACAGTATGTTCACAACCGCCTCCCAGTTCGAGCCTATCACACTCGAGGATCGTATCCGTATTACATTCGAAATTGCAAACATTTTACAAAAACAGGAATTCTTGCGCAAATTAGTCAAGTGTCTTATGCTTTACGGTGCACCGGCCCATCGCTTGGAATACATTCTCCGGGAAGTTTCTCGTACTCTTGGTGTTGATGCAGAATATGTTTATATACCAAATGTTATGTTTTTAACATTTTTCGATTCATCGACACATACGACAGAGACCCATTTTATCAGAAGCCCTCAGTTATTCGATATGCATAAATTGGGTGAAATCTATCGACTCGAAAAATTAGTTTCTCATGGCGAAGTATCCGTGGATGAAGCTTTGGAATTCATTGATAATGTCTCAAACGAACCTGCATTCTATCCTATATGGCTAAACCCGATAATATATGCTGTAGCAAGTTTTTGTGGTTGCGTGATGTTTTACGGAGGCCAATGGAAAGAAGGTGGACTATCCGCTGCCATGGCTAGTAAGTTAGAAATCTAAGAAAAATGATCTAGACTAACTTTTCTATAATTATAGTTTTTTTTGCCTTTTATGAGTTGTTTTCTGGACGTTATATGAGCTTTCAACCTATTTGGGAAATTACTGTTTGTATATTTATCGGCTTTATTTCCAGAGGTAACTGTGAACTATAATATACCTGAATACAAGTTACTAATTTTCTTTTCTGCAGCTGTCTGGAGATATGGATTTTGTTTCACGCCTGTTGCTTTCGCATCATTTATTGTAATCTTACCAGGTTACTCGATGGCTGTTGCGATTATTGAATTGGTATCAAGACAGTTAGTAAGTGGCGTGGTTCGGATGGTCTATGCGATTATATATTCTTTTCTATTGGGCTATGGAATCGAAATGGGGTCTGAATTGTTCGGCACGATTGATCCGGAATCGGTCACCGCGCAAGGTCAAGCACAAGTTTGTGTAGAAGCATATACCTCCACGACTTGTGTGACAATCATTTCTAAATGGTTCTACTTCTTAACCGTTCCTCTATTTGCCATATCATACTGTGTATATCTCCGCGCTAGACCACCAAGATGGCCAGTTATGATTTTCGTTGCTGCCTGTGGATTTATCACCAATTACGTCTTGTCATGTCATGCCCATGCACCAAGTCAGGTTTTACAAGTTGTTCCGGCCTTTGTTGTTGGTCTTTTAGGTAACCTGCTGAGTAAATTTACAGGACAGATGTCATTGGATGCAGTTATTCTTGGTGTAAGTGTTGAGAAAATGCTTGTGATCATCCATTAATTAACATTTCTTGTATAGATTTTCTATATGGTTCCTGGTAGTTTGGGTAAGCTACACTCAAATTGAAATAAAATTACGTGGATTACTAACTTGTTGATTTCAGGTTTAAAGGCTGCCCTGGGTTTCTTCGGATCGGCTACTCAAGGTGGTGAATTTGCAAATCAGGGTGCAGGGTTTGCGCTCAGTATGATTGAAACGTCCATCGGTAAGTGAAAAAAAGAGACATACCATTCAAACATACAACTTACGATAAAAGTTTAGGTATCACCGTTGGATTGTTTGTAGCAACTTTAGTCGTATATCCTAAAGGTAGTCAACATACTCCTTTAATGAATTTCTAGTTGCATTTTACACATGTATTTTATTTATTGCAATTCGATATTTTTTGATTCCCCTACTACATTGTATTTTCCTTTGGACCTTTTTCTGCATTTCATTACTCTCCTACTTTATTATTTAAACCTCCTTTCCGTATTAATGCTATTATATATATTTAGATAAAACAAAATTAGACTCTATAGCGCATTATAGTCACTACGACATAGAAAACAACATATCATATGTTTGCTATCGTCATATTTGTATCTGTATACAAATGGTTCCACGAGCCACTCTAAAACCACGTTAGATTAGATTTTTATATTTGTTCACACGATAAGAAAATATCAGCTGCGAGATCCGAATCAACCGCGGATTTTAAGTCATCAAGTAGGTAGTTGGAATTTTTAAGTAACATGTTGTTTGTTTAGTTTGGTTGAGGTAATTTTCGTTTATTCAAACATTTAGATACGTGTGTTGTGGATTTTTACGTCCTTTATTCGCTTATACCTACAAAGGATTCCAGGTAATCGTTTTGAATTTACAGGTTAAATCCCTGTTATTTTTTTTTTTAGCTCTAAGATGTCACCACTATTGCGAGCGCTGTCAATAGCATTAATTCAATATTGACTTCTCCTCAGCTGACATCGTTCTTTTTAAATGTCTAATAATATTGCAAATATACACCTAGTTAGCTTGATACACTTATTGATTTTTTAATAATGTTTTATACCTACTAGCTTAAAACAATAGGGGTCCTCAGTCGTCGAGGTTTTAAAAAATATATTTTTGAATAAAATTAGCCAATCATAAATATAATTTCATTTTTACGATTGAGGACCCCATTTATATTACATGCAATTTACTTAATGTTTTGTAAGGGAAAAAATTCAAAGTTGAAGTATGTACGTGATATATTTATTTGTCTGAAAAAATACATCTGCGAAAGGAGTATATATAAATAGCAATTATGATAATATACAAATAGTTTTATGCCAAGTATTTCTCTTGGTATAATCAATCACTTCTTATAGAAAGCATATCATCATCTCTAACTTCCAATCTTTGATGTTGATAATGTCTCTTTAACGAAGTCGCATATTTTCCTATTGAACGAGCCCAATACAGCTTGAAAATGAAATATTAAACTTTCAGAAAGAACTGCACCTATTTTCTTTTTCTTTTTCTTCTTACCTGTAAGATATTACAGATAAAAACACAGACACCTGAACCTATAACCAATTTTTTTATGAAGTTTATACATTCTGACTTGTCAGATCCACCAGCCACGATTTGTTTCCCCGGTATTTGTATTGGTGTGTAAACGGAGTTTATAGTGGCATTGTTGTACACATTAAAGAGCTCTTGGCAATCGTTCACATACACATCCTGTTTCACTTTCAGATATGTCCAGAAAGCCAAAGTCGTTGTAAACAGTAGCAAAACAAAGAACCAATTTGCTACGTGATAAATACGAACGAGTCTTCGGTGTTGCTATTGTTGTTATTGTTTAATCTATTTTGTTAAAACTATAAATAGTTTTTTTTTGTGTCTCTTACCAAAACTATAGCAACCATACCGACGATAGATACGACAGCATAAGTGATAAATGCTGTTACAAATGCATAGAACACACCGTTAAAAGCATCTAATGTTAAAGGTGTGTCCACATTTTGTTGAAGTATAGACCACTGTGTCAAGTCTATAATAAGTTATAGTTAAAATAATGTGAATTGTTCCACCCCCCCTTTTTTTCCCTTCGTTTATCCGTACCATTTCTGTAATAAAACATCAAAAACGTTGCTACAAAATATATACACTGCGAAAAAAAAATACAGAAGAGTCAGTGAACACCTGTGTACATATACCGTTTTTTCATTTTGCTAATGGCAACTTCGGGTTTGTCCTCGAAGAAAATTAAATGGTAGTGCATATTTTGCATGTAACTTACGAATATTAAAAATGACATGATGAGCACACCAATGCGCACAGGTAAACAGCAGCACACTTTTTCATTGTAACCCATAGTGGTGTTGTATTCAAAATGTTTATAAAACTGAAAAAAGGGGAGCAAAAAGAGAAAACCTTAGTCAATAACAAAAAAAAGGTAATTCGCCTGAATTTTCGATTCTAACTGCACAATCAAGGTGTGGCTTTTATAGCGTGACACGAAATGTGAGGTTTTTGGGAAAGGAAACAAAAAAGTAGGGCTGATTTATGGCTGCAAGTATACAGTGATACAGAAACAATGATGAGCCTCAAAGGACAAAGCTCTATGGTAGTTATATAAGCTCCTAAATCGCACACTCGGCTATTTTCAGAGGGGTCATCGTACGTATTATATAAGACAGATCGGAAGCACCACAGGAAGTTGATTTAATTTAAAGGGTCATGTCGAGATAAACCAGTGCCTCAAATATGTATTATCTTTTGTAATTGTTTGCGACATGACTAAATAATTACTATAATTGAGTTTTTACCGTGCCATGAAATGGTACTTTATATTTAACCAAATTCCTCCAATGCGTATTTTAATTGATTTAATTTAACAGTGCGAGTATCCTTATTGATCGAAAACAAGACTAATATGTATTAAAAATTAAGAATGATTGTTACCCACACACTTTTAATTTATTGATGCCGTGGATGATGAGACAAATATGATATATATTTGTAACGAGTCATATTTGCAAGCATTGCAATACTAATTAGAGACTACAAGTAAGTAAAATGTACCTATATAAGAGTCTACTGTCTACATTTAACATAGATCGCAACTCATTTTCATTGAGTGGCGTTAACCCGTCAAAAAAAAAAAAAAGGGCAAAGACCTAGGCCACCTCAATGAAGCCACAGTAACTGTAAAAAAAATATACAAGAATAAAAAGTTAAATAATTCATGAACAGAATCAGTTAAAGGGAGACTAGTTAATATGATTTACAAAACTTTCAACCGTCCCTTCGTTATGATTTGATAGGAAAACGATCGTGAGATGCAATTAGAAGAATAAGTAACTAAAATTTACATCGTCAGATATTTATTTAAGAACTGCATTAGCATGGTATAATTATGTGCATATCTAAGATTTCATGTGTGATGAAATAAAGAAAATGAAATCGTTCTAATTTATCTATGGTAACTCTCCGTCTTCCATCTCAACTCTTCTCTTCTTTAGATTGGGTGTACTTGCTGCTGATCCCATCTCTTCATCGTCATCCACTATATATATAAATCCATTCTCATCCATGATTTCGTCCGCGACTCTTTTATTGCGCTTCTTATCCACCACGGATATATGATGTTTATTATTCGAATCGTTTCCATTAAATCCAAACTTAAACCATCGGACATACGTATTTTCGATACGTTTTGTCTTTTTGGCGCCAAATAGGCTTAGGCTGATAGGCGCATCGTTATCATGGGGTGGTTCACTGACATAATCTTCAAGCCATTCCCAAGGTTTACTTTGGTCTAAACAAGTCTCTAGGTGTTGTTGTTGTTGCTGAGGGTCGTTGGTGGGGGGTAGGCCCAACATGGAAGATGCAAGTCTGGTGTTGGCCAGATATACATTATGCGTCAAAAATGGCATAATGCGCTTCACACGACTGTGAAACATAGCAGGCACGGAAGTCAATTCGCTATGCATTGAACCGAGCAAATTTAAACTAGCTTTCTTCAAATCCTTCGGTACCTCTGTCAAAGATGTAAATATTAAAAAAAACATACTAATTTTCTACTTTTAGTGTATTAGGCATTACCATCAATAAGTAACGATACAAAGTCGAGCGCAAATTCAAAAAAGCGTTCTTGACTACCATTACCATGAACAACAGGATTCTAAAAAGGGGATGCATAATCAGTATCACTCTGAATCAAAATAAAGGAAAAAACGAGACTTACACCAAGCAAAGGAACAAGTACACGGATCCACTCCAATATATCACATTCATCTTTATTTGGGTGCTCCCATATTAAAGATGCGAAAGGCACAACAAGTCGCAAACGGATCAATAAACTATTAGAAAAAACTTAGAATGATACATAACAGACAGACAATTTCTTTAAATTTAGCTTACCTCGCGCGAATATCTTGTAAAGAAAGCTTCATTTCATTGATTGCCTCATCACCTAAATTGTCGGGTAAGCCTTCTGTGACCAGTAAAGCAATACCCAAATCCTAACAAAACAAAACAGATAGATCAGAAACAAATAGAATGTTCTCGCTCGTGTCCAAATTTACTTACCACGTTGTTTTTAACGAGTTGAAGAGCATTGACGGCACTTGAATAACAAACATTTGCACCTTGCATGACCTTATATATATGCATTGCGCTCCTGAACCGGTTGATCTGTCTAAATACAGTTTTCACAAGATCGATCTTCTTTTCGTTTGACCAAACATTTTCTGCCAACATATGTTGTGTAATGTTTAAAAATGCCTGACTTCGATATGCATATTTTGTAGAATCAAATCGGGAACCTGGCTCTGTTACTTGCATCAATAAAACATTGTTTGGAAAATTCTGTCCTGGATCACCTTCCAAGAGTCGAGCACCATGATGTAAAAGTTCTAAAAGAACTGGCTCACGTAATTCATGTATTAAATTCTTAAAGAACTGGAACCGACGTTGTGCCTTTACTGGGTCTGTTTCTTCCTTCCCATCTAACAAGACCACATCATAAAAAAAGTACACAAATGATTGAAGGTCCTTGTTCGGAGATGAGGTTGCTTCTGTCGGTGTTGTCATGTCCATGGATATATCGTCACCCAGAATATGAGGGTTGTTCGGATTTTGCGAATTACCATCGGATAAAGATATATTGTCCAGTAAAAGATTCACTTGAACACGGCATTGAGCTTCATTCCATTGGCTCACGTTCAAAAAGACTCGATGAAGTTTATCCACAAAATCGGGTGTGCTATCATGTACAATACCTCGTTCACTGACTAGATTATTGCCACCAATTAACTCATCTACAATATTTAGCATCTTCTTCTTCATTCGTTTTTCCGTCGTAGCTTCAGCTTCACGAGCAGCAAATCGTTGATACACCCCATTTAAATCACGAAGACACGCTTGTCGAAACCAAGTAATTTGTAATAAATCCGCTCGGAGCATAACAAGATCCTGCAATAAGGACGAGCTCAAAGGTAGATTAGTAGCAATCAGTACAAGGCGCTCCATTAATCCGAACATCGGCTCAATTCTGTCTAAACTACTCGCAAGCTGTGATTGTCGTTGAACTTCAAGCCGGTAAAATTCTTCTACTCGTAATTGCCACGGCGATAAAGTGGACGATTCTTCGGATTTCAATTGATTACTGGTTTGAACAATCAAAAGCCGAATAAGAATAATCAAGTTCTGACAGAACACATTTAGTTTGCCTTCTTCGGTGCCGTAGTGTTGCTGTCCTTCACGTCCCACCTGCTCAAACCACGGCAATGCGAATTCTTTTACAACCGCACTTAAACTTACAATATTATAGGATACAAGAATTGCAACAAAGACGGGTATCCAAGAACACTCTTGATTCATGTCCTCTAAAACCACTTCGTTGTTGCAAAGCCATTGTATCACTGGTTCATCAGCCTGGCCTGTCAAAACTGTATGATTTGCCACATCTTTTATCACACTTGCAAATACACGCAAGATACGATGAAAATCAAATAAGGCGGGTGAAAGTGTCTTTTGATGAAGTTTGATATCATCCACAATATTTTTTTCTTTAGCTACAATCCGCAACACATCTCCCGCACTTTCTAGAATGGCGCCGATCCAGCCGGCAGCGTTTTGGGATGGTACACTTAGTGATTCAGACACTAACTGCAGGTAGTTGGTTGCAGGTTCTTTTGCTAATTGAGAAAGTTCGTCTTTAACAGAAACACCAGCGTCAAAACGCCCTCGAGATTTCGATTTGACCTGCAAGTCTTGTTGAAGTTGTGATCGAGTTACATCATCCATTTGATATCCTTCTTGTACAAGCTGAACCATATACATCATAATACATCTGTTTCTATTTCCGCGGCTACTGAGGCTCAAATGTTTTGACCATACAGCGTTAGCCACACGTGTACCATTGTTGGTTAATTTCCAGTAATTGGAATATTTACGAAGTGTGTCAATAATATAAGGGTACAAGGCAGGGTCACTTGATTTTTCCAATACCCATAGTGCTGTTTCGGTGATACTAAGATAATCTTTGGCATATTCCATGATACGAATGATTGTAACGTATTGTCTTGTGTTTAATAAACATGAGCCAGGCGATGTCATGACTCTCCAATTATCTTCTCCGATCCTTTTGTTTAAGAAAAAAAGTTTCAGCAAGAAAGCAGGATACTATACATGAATTACTACTTACTGTATACTTTTAACAATAAATCTTTTGACCTCGCTCAACAACCAGTTGCTAGTAAAATTCAATACAGAATAACGAGTTGTAGAATCCATAATATTTACAAAATCGATCTTAATGCCATCTGAAAAAGCTAAATCGTAAGACTGCAGAGAATCGGTTGGGACAGGCTGTGTCATTTCCTTAGCCTCTATTCCAAATAGACAGTCTGTATCTCCGTTATCAAACCCTGCTACTGCAAGCCTAGCCAAATGCTTTAGTTTGTCTAGGGCTTCAGTCTCTACTTTACTATCGCTATCGTTTTTAGTTCCGTATAAGGCGACACGTCGTTGGTTGACTAGATAAGGGGGTGCTGGGTTTAGTAATGGAAAGGAGGCTAGGTGATGTAAGCATTGTTGTATATGTCGAACATGGCGGCGTTTAGGTTCCAGGTCTCCTCTGGCAATCAGTCTGAGGAGATATTTTTGATAAGAGAATAAATGTAACCGGATCAAGACATCGAATAAATATATAATGGGTGTATTTGCCTTCCCTGCTGAGCCTTCTATGTAGTCAGCCCATGTTAGGCTTATATTTCTCATACATAACAATTACTATACAAACATTGAACATACCTTCCTCTGAATTTATTTCGGTATCTGTCGCTTCATTATTACTCTTTGCTGCTGCCTCATCATCTAAAAATCGAATCAAAGCATCTTGTAACAAAACTTTGTTTTCTTGGGTTTTATCCTGCTCTCTCCATGTCAATAAGATCGAGGCAACTAGATAGGCTTTCCAATCACCATATCTTGAATCACTTGTGGCCCAGCAGCACATGATGTTGATTAATTTGATAAATGTCTGTGGTTGTAATCGGTTTGTTCCGAATATCGATTTCGCAGCTGATTTTGCTGTATGACCACGAACATCAACCCATGTTTCGTTATCCAACAACAGGCCAGTGATACTATCAACATTCCTACCAATGCTATCTAAAATATGTACAACGCGCTCCTCATAGACACCCTCATTAAGTGCTGTTGACGATGTCGGCGCTGATTCGTCATTATGTTCTTGTTTGGTGGGTTCAGCGTTATCAGGTCGCATTTCGTTCTCTTCCAATGTACCACAGAATACTTCGTTACGTGCTTTGATCATGGTCCAATATACTTTCATCACACGGCATACATCGGGAAGATTTTTTACGTCTTTTTGTTTATTTTCGTCTCCAAGAATGGTATTAAATAGATAGCGGTATTGATGATACAGTTTAGGAACCACAAACATATCTGGTGTCGAGAGAAAAAGTGACTAAATAAAGTTGAATATGAGAAAATCTTTTTATGCGCTTGACTTTTTGTTACCTGCAAAAGATGCTCAATATCATTTTGTAAACCTTGCTGCACACCTAATCCTATGGGATCTACTTGTGATTGACTCATATATTGGACAAGCTACACGCGTGTTAGTTTCGTGCACAAGATGAAGAAGATAAGCATACTTACCGCGCTGTAAGATTTGATCAATGTCTCAATCAATAACTTGGTGAGTGTTCTATTTCTCTTGTATTCGTCTACATAATCTTGAATAATGCCTGTCAATACCAACCACATGACCTCGAATGAACCACTTCCAGCCAACGTATCCAGAGTCCATTTTAAAAAGGTTCTTTGATCTAGTAAACCTTCAAAATATTGCCAGCGCGCTAGTCTAACGCTGTAAGACCATCTTTGCTCAAACCGTGCTCTGTTTTCAGGTGTAACCCAAGGTTTAGGTGAATTATCGTGATGGCTGGATTGATTGTAACTTTTAAATCCACGACTTGAATTTCCAACTGGTGGGTGAGGACTGGATGCATTTGTAGCTATTGGTATTAATTCGCTAAGTTGCTTTTTTAAGTGACCCGTGACTGTAGCTGTCCATTGGTATGGCTGCGATCCCATTGAAGTAGATGCATTACTAGCGCTACGTTGACTCTAACATGACGATATATATATTAGCAGATAAATAAAATAAAATAAAAAGGGGGGCAAATATTCTGACGTTTACCATTTCTGAAAGTCCAACAATCTTAATATACCATGTGGCCCTAAGAAATGGAACCTGTTTTGATGCCAAAGTCTCCAAAAGCTTTTCACCTTTAAATCCATGAGGTACATTTCTGGCAAGTTTCCGTAATGGTACCAATCCTGCTGCTAATTCCTGCATCCACTGCTCTCGTTTAGGATCCATCAAGGTCGTTCGAATGGGTGGTTTAAACGATGAAGGTCTACATATAAAACCAGTATCAGTTCATCTATTGATCCACATCCAATAATAGTCCACACTTACCCAGTAATGCATCCCGCTCTACTCTGACGTTGTAACACATCAACCATAAAACTACCCAGCTCACCTAATAGTCGCTGATCATCTTGTAGTTTTCCATACACAATGTCATGTGCACATGTATGTTCATTCTAATTTAATTGTTTAAAAAAAGGGGGGGGGGGTTACTTGACATTAACTAGACTTTTTTTCTTTTTGTGTAATTTCTTACGGAAACAACAGGTCTGTCGACGAAACCTTGTCGAACGTTTGATTCGGTCAGGCTATCTTCGTCTTGGCCTGGACGTTGTGGGAACATGCCCGGAAAGCCTAGAGACGGCATAGTCTTACTTAAAGGCAGTTTCCGAGGTGGTGGTTGTAACGTATACTTCTTTAGTGGTGGATTTTGAGTATATTTAGGAATGTTCGGTGAATGGTAGCCGGGGGAAGATGAGGTCGAATAAGGAGAAGCCATGGATGGAGTATTTCCGTATTGCGTTTGTTGATTTGAATATGGCATGTTATTGTTTTGTTGTGGAAAAGGAATATTCAAATTGTTATTGTTTCCACTAGCATTGGGATAAGGTTGTGTTGAAGAAGTGTAACGCGCGTATTGAGCTATACACAAAAGTGTCGTTTCAATACTGTATACTTTTGTCATTTAAGAAAAATATGACTTACGTTGATGTCTACCCGCCATCGTCTTTAGGGATGTTCTATTTTTTTTTTCTCTTTTACAGAAGAAAAGAGTCTTTCAATATATGAATTACAGATATGAACGACTTGATTTTTTCTTGAGTGGAAATCTAAAAAAGAAAACAAAAAATACAAGAAACAATAAATGCGCACCAAGTGTCTCTTTTTTATTTTATTTTTTTGGGAGAAGCGGGAGTATAATTTTAGGCATTATATACGCACACGATATTTATAAATTCGCAATGTCGACACTGTCATTGTCACCACCAAGACCGCCTGTTTCATCATCAAGATCCTTCTTTGAATCATCACCGTTTTCTGTAGCAGCTGCAGCTGCAGCAGCCGCTGCCAATTTAGCTTTTCTAGCAGCTCTAAAGTGAACCATTTTACGATGCTTAGTTAATTGTCCAGTAGTAACAAAACTCTTGTGGCAGCTATCGATACCACACACCAATTTCTTTGTGCCATGCATGTTAGTCTCGTGAGTTTGAAGCTGATCAAATGTTGTAAATGATTTCGAACAGCCAGGTTGAGTACAAAGAAAAGGACGGAAATCTTTTTCGCCGGAGGTAGAAGAAAAGAGCTGATCTATCTCTGCTACAGTCATCGGTTCAGTTGTACGCTTATTGATGGTCATTTTTTCATCTTTATATAATCTTTTTAGTTATCACTGTGATAATAGTTATTCAGTTGCTTTTTTATACCTGATTGCCAGCTTGGTAATTGGATTTCAGATCCATCCAAAGTATAGAATACAAGTGGCTTACTGACCCACTTTCGAACTTTAATATCCTTGTATTTTAAAAGCTCCTTTCGAGATATTGACGCACTGCCTGCCCCCATATTACTAGTCTGGTTTCCGCCACCATTTCCTGCTCCATTCCCACCACTTCCATTCCCACCTCCTCGTCTATGTTGCTGGTTTGAAACTAAATTACAATTTTTTTTTTCTAGTGTTAATTAAAAGCTATTTCAACTCAAATCGTTCTTTTTGTGTACCTTCTTCAGCAACATTACCATCATCGTCTACAGCTATTTGACTTTGCTTGTAAATCAATACTTTAGATTACTTGTACCTTTCGATGAAGGGATTTTATTAATATTATTTACCTGTCAAGAACAGGTGCTCCTTCGACTTTAGGCTTTCTGCTACGACCATTAGGCTTTGCCCTTTTACGAGGACTTTCTACTGTGATACTATCTGGCACTTTTGTGGTTTTGGGTGATACATGTGTTGGAGATTGTGATATTCCTGTGGGTGGTCTTGGACCTGACAGTTTTAAGGTGATTTTTAATGGTGAAGTCATGATTTAGAAGAAAATTGAAAAAAAAAGACAAGTGCATTTGTTGTTTCACGCGATATAAAACAAGAAGGGTGTAGGTCTATTCAATGACCGATGTGACGTTGATCCCTTTTCCTGATCTTTGAGGGACAAAATAGAATGTGCAGCTAGTGTGATCTCTTCAGCTTAGTCTAAAGGGTAAAAAACACGCCTTTTATATTGTAAGTACACATGGCCTTCAATCATTTATATCGCAGTAGAGTGCTTTAAACCCATGCGCTGAAGTATTACTGTGCTATTCGTTTTTTTTAAAGAATCTTCTGGTGTCATATTGGTATAGAAATGTATGAAACCAAGGAGGTAGCACCCATGTCTCTGTTGGGTTTAGGTGGATGAACATTAGTAGCATCTCACAGACGTGTCTGACAATATCATACCTGTAGATCTATTATTTTCCTAGTCTTAAACCATCAAAGGTATCTAAAAGGTACCAAACATATGATATCATCTTCAATAAGAAACTGTCGTGCTTATCGGTTATATAGTAATTCATCAAAAATAGAGTAGAGCCACGTCAAGAACCTGAATGACATAATAAAGTATTCCATAATTTCAAGAATGGTTTATAAAGCTAAAGATAAGATACCAGTCCCACGGTCTCAATCGACTATTTGCGCCTTTAATACTAAAAGTGTGCTAATAATTATTAGCATTCTAGCTAAATACCCTCATAAGGCTGATATTCAGGTGAATTCTACCATATATATGGTTTCAGGTAAGCTAAGCCGATAATCACTCCTAAAATTCAGTAAAGAATCGAAAACGATGCTACCGTATCGTCTAGCATACTGATGATAAAAAATCTAATATGCGTAGTGGTTTAAGATGGGTGAAGTGCGATGCATTCACACTGCAATTATATCTGAGTATATAAAAAAGGTACATTCCAAGGGATATTATGCCGATGCTGGTATATTATGGTGGACCTCTGACATTTTTTATATATATTATACTATGCAGAACGACGATGCTTGACTGGAGACATAGGTACTATGTTTTATCCACTGATGCTTTATAAACCCGGACACTTGCTCATCGAGTTTTTCTTTTCATTTGTTTGGAGAGAATGGAGGATCCCACTCAACTTTATTTTAGCATAGCAAAGATTAAACCACATTAAAGTAAAATATGGCCAGCAATATACTTTTCTCACACCAAAGTATTCGATGTGCACCCAGACATTGGTGTAAACAAACCGTCTGATAATCTCCAGAGTAGCATTATATACTACGATTGAGATTCCTTTTAGTATAGACATGCAAGTAAAAGACGCCCAATTCATAATTGCCAATTACTGCTTCGATGGTGTTAAAGCAAAGTTATTGAACTAAAGGCAGAAATTCTTTTCTCGATTCGGTCGTATTGACTGCTTTACTAATAGATGAATAACAACTACATTACAATGCTGCGTGTATAAATTCAGTTGGCTTCAATGGCAACTTTTCTCTTGAGGTTATAATTAAAGCATGCTATAAAGTGAAAGGGGTCCATGTTTAATAATCCAATGAATAAGCTGAGTTCTATGGGTTTAGTTGTAAAAAGGAAAAAAAAAAAAAGCTGGGCGTTGGCTGGGCCCATTTAATGAGATGTACAAAGTTGGCTTCATGGGCAACGATGAAATCGATTAAAATATAAGCCAATAGTAAGTCAAGGATAATTTTGGCATGATTTTTCATTTTCATTAGACATAAGTATAATTGAGAGTTTTTTTTTTCATTTTCATTAAAGAATAGGTTGAGCCCAGGGAGCCACCCCCAGACCTGTTCCCCCCTATTACCGGCCCTCCAGGCTCGAGGTCTGGTACACTATGCTCACAAACTGAAACTGGCCTTGTCCCAACTTGATCACACTGCCTTCATATGAAAATGCCGACAACGCTTCGCAGACGCACGATTGGTAACGCTAGCACTCCTCCCTTCAGGCGTGCAATAGAGTGAAGAGAAAAAAAAAGGACGAAGTCGTGAAAAATGGGCCTTATTTATACCTTTTTTTCACGATATTTTTAGTTGCGCAGCAATCATGCAAACTCACTCTGAGTTTTAACATGAGCAGTCCCGGACTGTATAAAAAAAAAAAAGTCACTACGTGTACCACCAAAAGAAAAGCGCAGCATTTTTGATTTTTTCGCGCACCATTTTTTTTTTTTTTTTGGCGCGCCATGGTATTTAAAGGAACAACTCTATTCACAATTCAACGTGAATTATTATCCCATGACAAAAGAGCACAGCTTCTTAAAAATTTGGGAACTTGTCAAGTAGAACAATTGTATAATTAGACTGCATTTGAATAGTTGAGACTCAAACCCTCTTTCACTCTATTTGCGAAGTAAGAAGTACAGTCTCTTAACACAACGAGCTATCAAGGAGGGGAATATTTTCTCGGGATCAAGGTGAAGTCATGTTAACGAGAAGCTTTACCGTTTTTACGAATTTGTATGCAATTCCCTTATTCTACGATAAGGTAGATTCAGGATACAAATAGCTGTTTACACAACAACAACATAATACTCATGTGTTTAACCGAGAAAGATTGGATTATACATACAGAATATGGTCAATTCTTCAGATAAGGAAATTAAACTTTCTAGCGACAAGAGAGATCCATAGATGAACACTCAAATCCAAATATACGAAGGGTTTCACAGATTTGGACATTTGAATACATTCATGATTTAAAAGATGTAGTGACTGTAATTGGGACTGAGGATATGGATGTGTGCCCGCTCAAGATCAATATGATGAGGATCGAGTTGAGGAAAATATAATAAAGATTAAATTGTAAGAACTGACCCAAAGTAGTGGCCAGCGTTTGGGAGTCAAAGCACCCGAGCGCTAACACATACCGGACCCAGTACCACCGCCCGCCTTTTCAAAACCACGAAAAAAAAAAAAAGGAGCAGGGAAATACCCTTCTTTTATTCAGAACCCAAATAAATCAAAACATTTGTTAGTGCCCATCAGTTTTGACAGCTGCATAGCGTGATACTAGTTATTGAATGTCACACCAACCCATCTCTTTCCAATAAAATTTACTTTGTTAAAAGAATGCATAATCAAGGTCTTGTAAGCTATGCTCACGTTTAAGCGGTTTTTATGTCATATATACCCAACGGGAGTGTTGTAGAACCCACGCAAAATATTGTAAACCACTTTCAAAAAGGCCTCAGAAACCAATATATTCTATTCCTGCATGTCTAAAGAAAATGAAAAAGACTCCTATAAAAAGTGCACTTCAATACTGTCTTTTTGTAGTAGTCTGATCCATGTTTCAATAAAGAAATGTCATATATTCCTCGTTTTGTCTCTTGTAAATGAAACGATCAAACTCATCGGGCTCTTCTGTCAATGTTGTCTTACTCGTAATGAATCACTAGTAATAATCGTACAATGGGTGTGAGTCACTAAAGAATAAGCACAAAAGCTGATAAGTGGTAGCTTACATGCCACCGATTCTCTTGTTTAGGTTCATCTTTTTAAACGAAATATGGCTTTTCAGTAACGGTGCCTAGACCTTTAGCTTCTTCAATGACATTTTTGCAGATATATTTTTTCATTGAAATGCCGCTTTTTTCTGGGTTACGATTTACCCATCTGAGCCCATTACGTCGATCCATAACCTGACCTTAAGCTTCATCATAAGTCCCATCAACATGCTCACCCTTGATTTTATGTATGATTACAGATTCCGCTTACCTGAAACCAACTTAATATGGTACAATTTAATGGAATATCATAAAAAAAAAAAACTAAAGAAAGAAAAATTGGTCAAGCGTTTTTACCTCTATTTGTAAGGCTATTACTAGCTAGAATACTAAAGATTTATTGCAAAAAGATAACCAGACATATGTTTGAATTGCATATATACATGTACACCATTTATTCGTATAACTCTGTTTTGTATTAACAATATTTAAGAATTATAAAGGCAAAGGTGGATTAACTATGATGTGAATGCTTTGTTACGCAGCTTTTTAGGCTCATGTGACCCAAGAACGGGAACAGTCCTGTTTTTTATAAGTTTCCCACGGGTAACAATCTAATTTGACCTGTACTATAATTTTCCTCTTGTTATTTTCCCCCTTTCCTTTCGCTTCACTTGAACTTGTGCTTTCTTTCTTCAAAAAGATAAAACACGAAAAAAAGATAAACAAAGTTGAGAATCAACTAAGAATCGTATCATCAAAATTACAAACCATGTATTCAAGGTCTGCTTCTATTTTCAAAACATTTTCATCCTCGGTTGCACGACCAAGTAGTAAAAGATTATTTCTCACGGTAAAAGGATAATAATAAACAACAAGTGCCTTATTTTAACAACCTTTTTTTTTCTTTCTGTTAGCCGCGTCTTCGCGAGTTCCATTCATCTTTTCAATTTCAAGCGATCAAACCATTTTTATTAGCTGATATTGGCGAAGGTATTACCGAGTGCGAGGTTATTCAATGGTTTGTCGAACCAGGATCTACAGTTGCTGAATTTGATAAAATCTGTGAAGTTCAATCCGATAAAGCCTCGGTCGAGATTTCTTCAAGATTTGCTGGAAAGGTCTTGAAATTACATCATGGATTAAATGATATTGCAAAAGTGGGTTCTTCTTTGGTGGATATAGAAACAGAGGATGATGAGACGGAAACAGTGCCTGAAACACCTGTATTTGTCTCGAAGCCAGAGCCTGTTGTTACCGAGAATGTGGCTATTGATAATATTAAATCAGATGGAACATCGGTGTTGGCTACTCCTGCTGTAAGAGCTTTAGCAAGAGAAAAAGGAATTGAACTTTCTGAATTGGTAGGAACTGGTAGGGACGGAAGAATTTTAAAAGAAGATGTATTGTTATATGGTACTGTAGATACCCAAGGTAAGATTGTTATAGCGTGGGATAGAAATATAAAAGGTATTTAAACGTTTAAATAGTGGAACCCAGTAAAACTGTAGCTTCTAATAGCGAAGGTCACTCCGAATCACTTGGTATGATTCAAAAAGCCATGTTCAAATCCATGACGCAGTCTTTAAATATCCCTCAACTTGGATACAAGGATGATATTGAGATTGACGCTACAACCAAATATCGTCAAGCGCTTAACAAGCATATTGCAGCCCACCCCAATCTGTATCCTTTTACCAAGATGACATACTTGCCAATTTTTGTGAAATGTCTCTCAGTTGCTCTCGGTCATTACCCTATCATGAATGCCAAACTGGTTGGTGACCAACAAGATGTCAGTTCGGTCAAGATTAATTATCGACCCAGTCACAATATTGGCATTGCTATGGATACCCCACAAGGATTGATCGTGCCTAATATTAAAAATGTCCAAGACAAGACTATCTTTGAAATTGCTTCTGAAATTCATCGTTTATCTGAATTGGGTAAGGCAAATGCTATTCCCATGTCAGATCTTAAAGGTGGTACTATCACCTTGTCAAACATTGGCACCATTGGTGGAACTTATGCCAATCCTGTGATTGTTTCATCAGAGTTAGCTATTGTCGCACTCGGAAGAATGCAAAAATTGCCACGCTTTGACGCACACGATAATATTGTCGCCAAACAAATTATGCCCGTGAGTTGGTCGGCAGACCATAGAATCATTGATGGCGCTACCATTGCTCGTTTTGGAAACCATTGGAAGAATTTAATTGAGAATCCTGCCCTGTTGGCTACTGAACTTCGTTAGAAATGTATTAGAATAATAATAAAAAACAATGACATTTATTGACAAAAATATAAATCAAATGGGGTGAGGCTTATAATACATAATTTATTTTTATCTGGTGTCTACTTTACGAATTAAAGAGTGTGTGTGTGTGTGCGTGTTTGCTGCATTGGGTTAGCATTTTTTTTTAAAAAAAAAAATTAAAGGAAAGAGAGAATTAATTAATAGTGGGATCGGTTTGACCGGTAGGAGTGTCTTCAGGGAATGGAGGAGGAGCAGAGGTCTAATATTTATAGGAGTTAAATCAATATTTTGTTTTTTTTCCTAAGAAAATTGATTACTAACCTTCTTTCTAACGTATTCATCATAAACAGTAAACTCTTCAAAGGGTCTCTTGCCCAAAAGATTCTCCATGTCTTCTCTTGTCAAAACTTCCTTTTCTAACAATAACTTGGCAACCTTTTCAATCTCGGCCTTTCTTTCAGTCAACAATTTCAAGGTACGAGAATAGGCATCGGTAACCAACTTTCTAGCTTCATTATCAATTAAAGTACCAGTCTCTTCAGAATAAGGCTTTTGGAATTGTTGTTCACCAGAAGGGTCGGAAAAGGAAAGAGGACCAACCTTTTCATTCATACCGTAGGTCGTAACTTGAGCATAAGCATTCTTGGTGACCTTTTGTAAATCATCATGGGCACCTGTGGTGATTGAGTCAAAGAAGATTTCTTCAGATACACGACCACCAAGAGTCATACACATGCGATCCAAGAGATGTGCTTTAGAATAAAGGTATTGATCCTTGGGCAAGTATTGTGCATAACCAAGTGCTGCAGATCCACGAGGAATAACAGACACCTTGAGTAAAGGATCAGCGTGCTTCAAGTACCAACCGGCAACAGCATGACCAGCTTCATGATATGCAACTGTCTTCTTTTCTTCGGGTGACAAAATACGAGATTTCTTTTCGAGACCCGCAATAACACGTTCAATAGCATCCTCAAAATCCTTTTCCTCAACCTCTTCTTTCAAATGACGAGCAGCAATTAAAGCAGCTTCGTTACAGACATTTCTCAAATCAGCACCACTGAATCCAGGGGTCAATGCAGCTAATTTACGGGAAAGCTGCTCAATATCAACCTTTGTTTTGATAGGCTTCAAATGCACTTTCATGATTTCAGCACGACCACTGATATCAGGACGATCCAGAGCAATATGACGATCGAAACGACCAGGACGCATCAAGGCAGGATCCAAAACATCAGGACGATTAGTACCAGCTAAAACAACCACATGTTGGTTTGAATCAAAGCCATCCATTTCAACCAACAGTTGATTCAATGTACTTTCTCTTTCATCGTTACCGCCCATTTGTCCACCTTTACCTCTAGCCTTACCAATAGCATCGATTTCATCCACAAAAATGATACAGGGAGCATTCTTTTTGGCGGTGGCGAATAAGTCTCGTACACGAGAAGGACCTACACCAACAAACATTTCTACGAATTCGGAACCGGAAACACTCAAGAAAGGTACACCAGCTTCACCAGCAGTAGCTTTAGCTAAAAGAGTTTTACCTGTACCGGGAGGACCAGAAAGAATAGCACCCTTGGGGATAGTAGCACCCAACTTTTCATAGATGGCGGGATTTTTCAAAAAGTTAACAAATTCCATGATTTCAACCTTTGCTTCATCAGCACCAGCAACGTCCTTAAACTTGACACGAATATCTGTTTCTTGGTTGAACATCTTTGCTTTACTCTTACCGATACCAAAGATACCACCTTGACCACCGGCACCGCCAGCCCCACGTTTTGTCATGTAGACAAGCACACCGATTAATAAAACGGTAGGAGCAAAGTGTAAAAGAGTTTGTGCGATGCTGACCTCATCGCGATAAGCAACAGCGATACGTTCATTGGAGGGGATACCCAATTCGTTTTGAGCGTCTTCTAACTTTTGTTCAAAGTTGTCTGGTGAACCAATGGTGAATACAAAGGTTTGTCCAGGGTTAACACCGACTGAATTGGCTTCTGCCCTTAAATAAACTCGTACTCGGTTACGGTTGACCACAACTAATTTATCCACAAGACCTTTGTCTAATAATTGGGTGCGGAAGCCTTGCCATGTAATTTCTCTGGAAGAGTCTGCGGGAGAGGTCAATTTCCATAATAACCAAGTACCTGCAGCAGTACCAAGTAGCATATTGACATTGACTTGAACTTCAGGGGGTTTGTTACCCTTTGGTGTTGGTGGAGGTTTAGGAATTTGGTTGCTGGAATTTTTGGTGTGTTTAGAAGCTGCTTCTTCGGCCGATTCCTTGGCTTGCTTGCCTGACTTTTTTCCAAAGAAACTCTCAAAGCCCTTAGGAATGTTGAAAGGTCCGTCATCCTTTTTGGGTTCCTTGTCAGAAGAATATTTACGCAAATCCCTTCTTAAAAGGACACTGGGTCTACTAGACACTCGAAGTGCGGTTCGTGGAGTAGATCGACTAGCGATCTGTGCTAAGCGCGACAACATGAAAAAAAAAATGAAGTTATAGAAAAAATGCGTAGTATATAGAAAAAAGAAAAATGTTGAGCCTTTTTAAATCACCAATGAAATGTTCTTTCGACGTCACTTTGCGGGTTTAAAACCCCCCGGGCGCTTACTGCCAAACTTATGCTTGTGTCATTTTAAGATTTTTGGGTAAACCAATTAAAATAATATCGAACCACATTTTTGTATAATTTTATGTGTGCATAAAAGTTGTATTATTTTTAAACAATAAATAAGATATTAAATCAAAAAAAAACAGCGAATACTTCTTCTTTATATATATATATGTATATAAATGATGTTTACTGGCTTAATTCTTCCTTGGTCAAAACACCCAATTCATTTCTAATAGGTGCCAATTCCTCAAGATATTGCTTGTATTGATCTTCGCTGTCAACCTTATCCTTGAGACCTTCAAAAACACGGACGGCAGTGGCGAAATCGTTGACACGACGAGAAGCCTTAAGAGCAGACTCAATGACGGAGGTGGCGGGAACAAGATCATAAGCAAAAGCATTGTTCAAACCACGTTGAAGTTCAAAAAGATCCTCGACACCATCAAAGAACTTGACGTAACGTTCATTGAAAGATTCGAAACTCTCATCCTCATGACCAGCAGAATAAAAACGCTTACCCATGGCTATTTAATAAAATACATGGGTTAATCGCGAAACAAAACCCTTCACATCAAACATTATTTTACCCATGGCCATAGGACGAGCGGCAGGAAGAGCTGAGCGAACAGCAATGCGAGAGACGGTACCAGTGAAAGCAGCACGAAGCATATTATATAAAAAAAAAGTCGAGTGGGGAGGTTGATAAAATAAAGGAAAGAAAAACAAAACATTAAAATCTGAAGAGCAGGGCGCTGTTAAATCACCACACAAAGGGAAACAGTCACTAGTTTAAAATAAATCATAGCTTTATTTCACGAATTAACCAACTATTGGTATCTTTTAGTTGTGTCTTTCCAATAAATTATATAAGGCCCAGATTTTTAAGCCTCCAGGTTATGCTCTTACAACTCTTATGTTTTCCTTTACTCTTCCTCTGCTTTGTTTTCATCAAATTCTTCAACGAGCAAACCACGTTTAATCATCGATACTCTACAGTTACACACTGATTCTAATAATCCAGGTTCATCTTCAAGTCTTTGTGATGCCTTTGTAGCAGCATGTCTACGCGCAGTCTTAATATTCCAATCAGAACCACAAGCTAACGGCTTATCATGTAAAAAGATAACACATTTTTGACTTTCGGGTCCTGTTTCGCCCGAGCCATGATTACTATAAAATAGTCAATACAAATTTCATCTCGAATTTTAAAAACACAAAAAAAAAAAAAAAACTTACCGAAGCATGAATCCATCACAGCCAAATCTCTGCAAGTCTGTGATCAATCTTCTTAAAGGATGAAACCTGATTAACTCGGGAGTTACATGATTATCCAAAATAGGTAAAAACCATTTCGCAAATAATTCCTCGCACGCTTCTAATCTGAATCCAGAATCCACGAAAGCAGCACCCAACATGGATTCGACTACATCGGATAACACTTTAGGAATATTAAAATCCACCCAGTATTCACCAACAGCTTCTCCACTATCCTTGGCTTCTTGTACTTCATTCTGAAACACTTCAATAGCTCTGACCAATCTTCCGGAATAATGAATAATGTGTTTGTATAGTTTGGTCTCAATACAGATAATACCCAGAATATGATTGTTTACACAAGAATCTTTTAGATCCGTAATAATACCAGGATCAGCATCAGGATATTTCGAGAACAAGTAACGAATTACCAAGAAATCCAGAATGGCATCACCCAAGAATTCAAGACGTTGGTAACAAGGCGAGGTCGAGTTGGGTAAACTAGCATGTGTCAAAGCTTCAACTAAAAGCAAAGGTTTGGCAAAGTCACGACCGATAATCTCTGTCAACTTTGGTATATTTAAGAGACGTAATGCTCTGACTTCAGCACGTGCAGGCACTTTCTTTCTAGATTCTTCAAAGGTTGGGTTGAAATCAGTCCAAGTTTTAATTTCGTCAAATGGAATCTGAAGTTGAATAGCTGCATGAAGCCCGCCTTCAAGACCGTTACTCAAATACGCTGCGCCTAAAGAAGCTTCGACAATATCCGCAAGTGTCTTATCCGATAACTTGTGGTACTTTAAGCCTTCCATCGTCTCAACGTTGTCAGCAGGACTGGTGAACTTGGGTGGGCGCCAATATCTACGGTTGAATGCCTGACTGGTAACATAGCGATAGAATTTAAGACGCTTGGCAGATCTGTACAGGGCTCTGTTACAAATAACTCGAATACGCAAATGATGAAGTTCACCTTCGTTACTAAACGGGAAATTAATGTAAAGTCGAATCGTTGCAATGAATTTTAACAATGAATCTAGTCGGCAACAAAATAAAAAGTTAACATACAATTCATGTAATTATCTTATCAGTTCTACTTACCACCTAGAGTTTCCAAACGTTCGTAATTCATTTCCATGCTAGCAGATGGTGCTGTGTAGGCTTCAAGGAAATTGGCATCGTCGATAGGCAAATCGTATCTATCTTTTGCTTCACGGCAAAGCAGAAGAGAGTCCACACGAGTCATGATAGAGGGGATCATCATGGTGGCCTGATACACACTGGCACTCATAAAGAATTTCTGACAGAACTGGGGCAAAGTCCATGTACTCAAAGGTCCCTTTAGCTGTGCAGGAACAATGTGGCCAGGATACAAAAAGTTCATGACCTTCTTTAAGCGTTTCACTTGTAATAAAGGCTGGTTAAAATCCGTAATATCAGCAAACCCTTTTTCTTTGTAAAAATCTGCAAAAGTAGCATATCCGGTTTCACGTATTTTGACACCTTCAGGCACCTTACTGAGAGGTGACATATCATTTCGAACATCAGTGACAAAGTAACGACGTAAGTTGTCTGAACTGTCAATTACAATCGTATCAGTAGGATCATTAGATTCCTCTAGAACGAAGGGCTCGTTTTTGGATTCAATGATTTTGTCAACTTCCTGCCAATCAATCAAATCTTGCAGTTCTGGGCCAGAAAGTTTTTCGTACTCTACGTCTTCGCAATCTTTAACCAATGGAACTATGTAGTATGGAATATCATTAATAGGACAATGGAATTCCTTGTTAATCAATGCTAGCATAAGTTTCATAACGTAGCTTGAAAGATGGAGTATCTGTTCGCGATCAAATATGACTTCGGTAGAAAGGTTCCGCATCTTGACCATAAACGGCACACTTTGATGAAACATTTTGAGTTCTGGTAAATCAGGAAACGGTCTCTTTGAAATCAAGCAAAGTCTGCGGTACGGCACATCTTCAAATTTATGATCTGGTAATTTCACCTCAATGATGGTAAACCAACACGTAAATGGGCCTTCTTCTAACTCTTCTTCAGCGTCATCATCAGCTTCGTCAGCCACAGAATTGACATCCTCTTCTTCTTTAAACTCTTCAACCAGATCAAGATTAAGCATTATCCGGCCATTTTCTTCGTACTCGAGTTGAGGCTTCTCAGATTCTTCAATTAGATTTTCTGCCTCCAGGCTAAATTTCATATTGTCTTGGCTAGATTTTATTGTTTCCTCAACAGACTTCACTAATTCATCGATACTTCTTACACCTTCATCCGTAGGCTCAGGAAGACTTGCATTGATGTTTTCTGAATTGACATTTTTTTCTGTCTCTGTTTCTGCTTCCGTAGTACTAACCTCAACGACTGTCTGGACTTGTGCCTTTAAAAGATCCGCATTATCTTCAATACCGACCTCCTCTTCCTCTTCCTCTTCCACGATTCTATTCCATAATCTTGGTGTTCGCTTCTCGTATAAGCCATGTCTTCGTCTACTACCAATGATCATGCCATTTTCATCGTATTGTGGTGCCATTTCACCTAAAATCTCTTTACGGATGTTACGAGGCATAAGATGGTTATCGAACGCTTTCAGTGTCAGCAACTGGGAACATGCATTGAGTGCTACTAACGCTCTGGCGTGATCCTTGGTTCTAGCAATGGGTGATTCAACTTCTTGAATAGCAGCATTACTGGGTAAAGTCAGCTTACAGATATAACCCTGTCCTGTATTTGTGGTTTCGAAAATCGGCTTTAGGACACAGAAACTATCAGACGGCAAGGAGCTACAATATCGATGGATCAATGGAATGGCGTTTTGTTTGGTAAGTGTAGCACCCGTCTCAGCGATATAAATTGCACTACCCATATAGTCTTCATCGTCCGAATCTGGCTCATCATCTGAATCGTAATCTACATGCATACCAATAGAAAATTTGTTCGCAACATTTCTATCTTCTGGCATAGTTTGGCAATAAGTTTTCATGTCAGCTTCCAGACTACGGAATTCGTCTACCATGCCGTATTGACTGGCATTACCACGTTCAGCTAATAAAATGTATTTTGAATCCTTTCTTCTAGCTCTTCCACGAGATTGAATATAGGCAATTAATGTGTAAAAGAAATCAAATCTACAAAATAAAATTATATAAGCACCTAAATAGTACACTGATAACTTTGTCCTTTTGTACTTTACCTAATGACAAAATTACAAGGTTGGATATCCAGGCCTTCTTCAGCAACATTTGTGGCGATCAATAAATTTAATTCACCCGTTCTGAACTTTGCGATGACCTTGTTTTGATCCCTGAATGTCATTTGGATATCACCTTCATCGGTACTACCATGCCCGATCAAGACATCACTTCGTAAATTTGATAAGCTATCCAAAGAATCGATCAGCAATTTGATGGCAACAGCTGTATGTCGTCTCTCCACAAAGATGATACCGCAAAAATCCGATATTTTACCTCCACCAACTGTAGTTAAAATATCCATCAGCATTCCAATCTTGGGAGAGAACAATGCCTTGTCTTTATAGTTGGGGTTACGAGGAAATTCGATGTGGTCGATGAATTCATGAGTCTGTTTCAATGCAAGATCTTCATCGATCAATGAGTCTTTGTCCAAATCCTGCGTAATGGCAGACATTTTTCGTTCCAGATCCGTCAGCATGATTTTCCACATATGATCACAGCACCATGGACCTAATACACTCAAAATATCTGTTGTAATGATAAAACAACGCTTATACCGCTCAATGGATCCAATATTTTCTCTAATTCTTTTTGATAATTCGGTTTCGCCATATTTTGGGGGTGGGTAGTATTCAATTGTAAACTCTTTAGGTTTGTTTACGGATATATTTAACTCTTCGATATTGGAAGCTGTGTAGATTTTGGCATCCAAATTTTTCTCTAATTGTCTATCATTAAAAGAAGTAAGGTTCACAACTCGTCATAATACATGTTGTTATAAAATTACTTACATTACACTATGTTCGACGCTGGATCTAGCATGCATAGGAGAAGCAGTCATACCAAAAATTTTAGGCCTATTTTCGACTGGACATCTGTCATAAAATGATCGCATAATCAAATTAAATGGATGTTTTTTAGTAGCATGGTGACACTCATCAAAGATTAATGTATGGACCTAAAGTAAAACATGTAAGTCAAAAAAAAAAGAGAGAGAGAGAGACACGCTAAATTACCCTTTCTAAACTAAGGAAACCATGATAAAGTGTATCCAAAAAAATTTGGGCAGTCATAACACACACATCACTTTCTTCAAATATTTGCTTCCATCGCTTTTCGGACCAATTATCCACATCCATTTCTCCGCACATTTGTTCCAATACCACATCACAATTAGCTTGGATTACACTAGCTTGTTGAAAAACAAGAGGGACTCTTTCAACCAAAAAAAATGCCAGTTTTGTCTGAGAAAAACTTTAATACATCAAGTTCAAGTATCAAACCAGTAAAACTTACTTACCTCGCGTCTTGTGAGACGAGCTTCGCGTTCTAACCTGGCCATTTCCTTGATGAGCATTACAGAAATTAACGTTTTACCACTACCAGTGTCTAACACTGTAATGACATTCTCTTTTAAAGCCTTTTGATACAATTCGTATTGATATTCTCGTGGAGCCAACATCGCTGTCTTCAAATTGTCTTCATTTAATTGCTCTAATTCTTCGTCATCGAGATCTAAATCGAGATTCAAATGTTCCTTGTTTTCGATCTCTAATTGTCCAGGATCGATCGCTTTTTCGTCAGGTGTAGCGCCTAAGAATTCCGGATCCAGGTACTTTGACAGTCGTTCTGGGTCACCGTCATTCATGTGGTTTTCTAAAGGAGGCGGCGCTACATATTTTACAGTTTCATCCACATATTCACTAATATCAAGTTTCTCCATTTTTTTTTTTAGAAAAAAAGAAATATGGAAAGATGGAACTTTTTTTGCTTTTGATTTATATAAGTATAACGGTTAAATCGCCGCTTTTATTGATTTAATTTTCATAATCAGCCATGATTTCAACCAGTTCCATCAACCATTCGCTATACTTGGCACTGTTGGCTTTTCGTGCATCTTCTTGGGGATCGATAGCACTTTTAGGCTCATCTTCTTGTTCGTGATTTATATCGTGAATGAATCCAAGAATGATACGGTATTCATCAAATGTAAATTTAGGTCCGTTATCTTGAATGGATTTGATGATTCCCTATTTTTACATTCACATTATTAAATAGCATAGATAAATAAAAGCAAATGATTTACCTCGCTACCCAGGTTAAACAACTGATAGTATTCACGTGCACGTTCCATTATTGAGCATTGTGATAGCGGGACAAAGTTACTAAGGTTTTGTTGCAATGCAAGGATATTGCGCACCATCTTTTGGACACCATTGGCATTTAATCTTTTGATGTATGTTGCTTCAGAGATCAATATATGCACAATTAATCCCGGTAACCCGTCAAATGCAAATCTTTAGTTTAAAAAAAATACTTCAGTTGTCGTTCGACATACGTATATATTGGTTTACTTACAGCTCATCTTGAGAGGGCAAAGAAGCATTGATGCAATCATCCAATTCCATAAGATCTGAGTTGAGTGTGATAACATATGGGTCGGGCTCAAAAGTTTCATCTTCAAGATGATAATTTCCGTCCCTGATAGCCATTTCAAGATAATACATTGTATGACAACGACCTTCAAGACGCAATGTAAAGAGACACGTTTCAGCCAATTGCTGGTATGTTGTTAGTAATGCATCGAAACGTCTTTAATTGTTATGAGATTAGTTTTTTTTTCTTTTTTTTTTTGTAAAATATATTGCACTTACTTTACAATTTCACCGCGAAGAGGTAATAAGACAGGACCCACATCATCAGTGACCTCTTTAATAGGGCGAGGGTCTTGATTAGACCAACGCTTTGAGCTCTTTACTTCGGGAGAATCCTCGTCCTCTTCGGTTTCTGGGCCAAGAATTTTTTGTGTAGGTGTAGAAGTGACCATTGATAAGGGGACGTTAGCTGAACGTAAATCCCAAATTTCGCGCACAAACCATTTCTACGAAAAAATGATAAGCAGAGGGTTTTTTTTCCTTTTTTCAACAACTTACTAATGTGTGATATAATCTTCCCAACGCAATTAGCTTCTTGGGATCAAATATCAGTTCATTAGGATGTAACACCTTATCGTTCTTTAATTTCAGCTCCATAGTTATTTCCTATAAAAATACATAAATTATTACACAGCTGATTGATGTTATAAAAGTTATCATACGGCTTGATTGAGAGCTTTGATGAATTCTTGGTCAGATTTCTACCGAAAAGACGGGTTAGTAAATCTCAATAAAAAATGGTAAATATAAGTGCTTACAGAGTCATCGTTAAAGAACGGATTTTGAGCAAGTAGGCCAACAAGACTTTCGTCCTGTGCCCAATAACCACTCGTACTAATTGCTATATCCGTAACATTCTTCTGTTCTTCAGAGTAAGATGTTCCTCGGGCAACAGTAGCTAGAATACAAGGGTTAATTCAGATATATATTTCTATTATTTTATACTCACAGTAAAATCTTTGGTATGACTTTTCGTAAAATTTTAAAAGGACAATCTCAATTAATCGAACATATTCATCTGTATGGAATGGCATACTGTGCATCGTACGACATAAACTTTGGATCACTGAAATCAATGCAACGGCACTCTATACTAAGAGTTAAAAATCAAACTCCATGTCTCCCTAAGAAATTTTACCTTTGCAATAGGGTATCTAGAATAATTTTTGTAATCACGAGCATCCTGGAATGCATCCAAACCTACGTGAAACTTAATACATGAACCCATTTAGTATTTAAAATATAGTCATACCAACTGTAGCATGTTGAATAAGCTGCATCACTTTTTCTTCGATTTGAGGTAAGAAGACATTTATGGCAAAATCATCCAAGAAACTACTGAAGCCCTCTTCAATATGATCATCACTAGAAATAGAAAAATAAAAACTCAATAATGGAAAATCTAGATATGATAATTCCACTCACTAGCTAGGAAATACTTCTCTCAAACGATGCAAGAAACACATGGTGGGTTTCAACAGTACACTAACATTGTAAGCATCTGGTTTGACAAGCACTTTGTGACCTTTCGAAGACATATCATTGGCAAATCTATCTACAATTGTTGAATGTCGTTTTGAGGAATCCGAATAATTAAATCCAGGCACTTGCTTCTTATAGGATAAAAATAACTTTCTCTTTAAATCATCATAAGACTCTTCCAGATCTGTATTCTCTGTAGCTTCAGCAAATGTAAATAGTTGTTTAGGTTTATCACGCTTTCCACGGAATGTGTTTGTGGATCCAGGTTCATTGACCGAAACAATAGATTGATCTTGACTTGTCAAGTAATCCTGCAAAATAGATCTAACTTCTGTTTGAATAGGTCGCCAAATTTCATGAAAATGATATACATTGATATTTGATCCTGATCCCAATTCCTCCCCACTTGTTAATCTTGATGAAAGCAATCTCTATTATACTCGTTAAATAAATCGCCCTTTTTAATTCCTTTTTTCATGTCTACCTTCTTTATACGTCTTGTACACGATTCTATAAACCGATGACCCCGAAGTACTGCCTCCAACTTTGAATATAACGTCCAAAGCAAATCCTTCAAAACCTCATTTTTTGTGTCTGAATTAGCTTTATCAAGACAGTAAATAGCATTGTCGTCTCCATTTTTATCCTTTTTACGAGTTTGCGATGTCCATTTAGTGACCAAATGACGCTGCTCCACTTCAGAAATTGTTTTATCTACTAATGCATGAATTTCGACAGGCAGTCTTTCCTGGATTGTCTGCATAAAGAATGAGTATCGGCTGAGTTTTTGTTATTGATGCAGATTTTACCTCTAAAGCTGCGGGTATTTCACCTAACACTAACATGGATTCCATTATAATCTCCATGTAATAATATGAGTCGGTTTCTGGGTTTTTATCTGGATCTTCAGACAGCTAAATCATTACACTAGTTACTATATCAGCTTCTTCTTATCTTTACTTTAGTAACTTACAATGTCGTTTTCAATAGAAAACATATCCTCCGAAGTCTGACTTTCATCTGATTTATATTATTAGTGTGTATTAGTTGAAAACTCATCTGTCAAATTACCAATGGTCGGAGTTCCTGACTTTAATTCCTTTACTTCCCTAGGCTTAACAGTTGATTCAGGTACTATATGTTTATTAGTGTAATTCTCTCATCTCTGCACTTCAGATTACTTACAATCCTGCTGCC